TACAGCAAGGACATTACATGACCACTAATTCATGTCACAGCCACAGCAAAGACATTACATGACCACTAATTCATGTCACAGCCACAGCAAAGACATTACATGACCACTGATTCCTGTCCCAGTTCAAGCAAGGACATAATGTATCCAATCTGTTAAAAACATTGTTATGATTTGTCATAATCTGATGTACCAAAATGTAACTCTGCTTATAAAAAGTTATCAGTCTGCTCACTTATACTGTGTAATGTTTTTTTTTTTTTTTATATCAGTTCTACTTACTTATCCTATTGTGGTCTTTTAAAACAAAAACAACAAAACTTACTACTAGTCCAACCCTGGTGCATAAACCCACTGTCCCTTAAAAAAAAAAATATTAAAAAAAAATTATCTTTTTTCTTACTTGTCGTTCTCTTATGCTTGTAGAAAATTCTGGTCACTTGTCATACTCTTGCGCATACCACATATTATGTTTTGATCACTTGTCATATTCTAATGTATATGAAAGGTTGTCAGTTGTCATACGCCGTTGTAAACAAAAGACAGCTGTCAGCTCAGTTCACTTATCATACATACTCTAATGTATGAAGAAAGTAAATGTCATTCTATTCGCTCTTCATATCCGGCTGTTTACAAATAGGATCACTTGTCATATCCGGCTGTTTACAAATATAATCACTTGTCATATCCAGCTGTTTACAAATATGATCACTTGTCATATCCGGCTGTTTACAAATATAATCACTTGTCATATCCAGTTGTTTACAAATATGATCACTTGTCATATCCGGCTGTTTACAAATATAATCACTTGTCATATCCGGCTGTTTACAAATATAATCACGTCATATCCGGCTGTTTACAAATATAATCACTTGTCACATCCGGCTGTTTAGAAATATAATCACTTGTCATATCTGGCTGTTTACAAATATAATCACTTGTCATATCCGGCTGTTTACAAATATAATCACTTGTCACATCCGGCTGTTTACAAATATAATCACTTGTCATATCCGGCTGTTTACAAATATAATCACTTGTCATATCTGGCTGTTTACAAATATAATCACTTGTCATATCTGGCTGTTTACAAATATAATCACTTGTCATATCTGGCTGTTTACAAATATAATCACTTGTCATATCTGTGTGGAAGAAAAATCATCAGTGACTGTTTTAGTGTCAGAATTAACCAGCCAAATACAAAATGAATTCAAACCCAAATCGTCTGCCCTACCTGGTTAAAAAACATAATCAATTGTCACCTGTTAAACACATCTTTAAAAGAACATATGATGTGACTTTTGTATCATGCTGTATCAGAGAGTATCTTTTCTGTATCATTAGGAAATCATGCTAACATAAAGTTTAAGTTAAGACAACAGATCAACATCATGGCACAAGGGTAGTAACCCATAAGTGCTCCATTCTTCTTCTGACTCAACCTGAGTCTGAAGATTCTCAGCACAATGCACGAACTCCGTAGCACTGGTGCGGATCCTGAAATACTTGCTGACATAATTATGTTATTGCCTTTTTGGTTTTAGGGAACTGTTGAAGATGCTACAGGAGTCAGCCTACTGGGAACGACTACACTTTGAGGTGCCAATGTTTGCCCAAGAGCTGTATGCTCGTAAAGATCATTTGAAGCGTATGATTGAGCTAGTGTTATTGATTGTAAGGGATTATAACCGGTGAGTTCTCCGACACATTTGTTTGATGTGCTGGTTATACCAGACTAGAATAAACTGTCTTAACTGCCTTTATTTACTACTTCTAGGGCAGGTTAGGACTTATGCACTTTAGGATCATGTATTTACTACTTCTAGGGTAGGTTAGGACTTATGCACTTTAGGATCATGTATTTACTACTTCTAGGGCAGGTTAGGACTTATGCACTTTAGGATCATGTATTTACTACTTCTAGGGTAGGTTAGGACTTATGCACTTTAGGATCATGTATTTACTACTTCTAGGGCAGGTTAGGACTTATGCACTTTAGGATCATGTATTTACTACTTCTAGGGCAGGTTAGGACTTATGCACTTTAGGATCATGTATTTACTACTTCTAGGGTAGGTTAGGACTTATGCACTTTAGGATCATGTATTTACTACTTCTAGGGGAGGTTAGGACTTATGCACTTTAGGATCATGTATTTACTACTTTTAGGGGAGGTTAGGACTTGTGCGCTTTAGGATCATGTATTTACTACTTTTAGGGGAGGTTAGGACTTATGCACTTTAGGATCATGTATTTACTACTTCAAGGGGGGTTAGGACTTGTGCGCTTTAGGATCATGTATTTACTACTTCTAAGGAGGTTAGGACTCGTGCGCTTTAGGATCATGTATTTACTACTTCTAGGGCAGGTTGGGACTCGTGCGCTTTAGGATTTAATGCCTCATGGCAAATGCCATCACCTGTCAGCCAAAACTGTGCAGGTTAGGATATTTTTGTTTTTATCCTTAACTGGAAACATCTCTATTGCTTACCAAGGATTGAAACCATGTCTCCTGCATGAGAGCCCAGCACTCTAACTACTATGACATGTTGTTTGTCAGATAGATCAGCTGGTTCTGCACCACTTGGTGGTAAATTGATGCCTGACAAGCTAGATGTTGTAAGGGCTCTTTGGGGGCGAGTAAACAGTCCGCAGGCACAAATAGATCATCATCATAAGCTGAAGAAAATGATACAGGGAAGAGTGACAGAGGGATCTGGCTGACGCTCAACACTCAGGGGAGGGATGAGACAGACATAGAATCAGACTGTTACTAGTACTGTTGGAATAGATACTCTCTGCTTGCTGCTGAAGATGGGGACAGAGCACACGGGAATATCTTGAGTGCTTTGATGTCAATGCTTAACTCATAACTCATGTTGTTTTCAGAACTACTAATTACAATTGGAGAATCTCTTGTAATGACGTGGTTAAGCCATACATCTAAGACTTTGAAGAATGTGGGTTTGGTTTCAGACTCGGCCTCAGTTCTTGAATGCAGATATTGTAAAGATGCCTGGGGTTTGGTATTGGGGCTGTGGAGTTTCATGCTTTATTAAATGCTGTCAGCAGGCAAACATCTACACTGCAGAGAAAGACTGAGCCATATGGGGTACAGTCTGATACAGTGAAGTCTGTCCTCTCTCATGTAAACACCCTTTTCGTTTAATTTCAGCTAACTTCCAAGTAATGAAATGTATGTATATAACCACAGTCAGTTAACTTCATCTGTCAGATATATATAATAGTTTTTTTCAGGACAGCTGTTGTATCTGTTAGATGCTTAAGTAAAAAAAAAACAACAAACAAATAATGATTGAAAATATGAGATCTTCTTCATCTTTTTCCTTTTGGTTCAACCTCAAGGTGCGGTTGACAAATTGTGTTGTGGTTTACATGTGTAATATCTGCATCTTTTAACCAAATTCATCAAATTTTAGCTGGCCCAATATTAGTTGCCTTGTACAACATGCTTGTTAAGGAACACTGGGTTTATCCCTCGCCTCTAAATGGGGCGCTGGAACTCATTACAACATGCTTGTAAAGGGACACGGGGTTTATCCCTCTCCTCTAAAGGAGTGGGGGGGGGGGGGGGGGGGGGGGGACTGGAACTCACACAGGAAGAGATCCTTTAACACAGTTGTCAGTTAGGCAGTTTTTACCATATTACGAGTATTTGAAAAGCCAGTTAACTCGTTCCAAGAAATTCGCCATGTGTTTGATGGTAACTCTATACTAAAATGCCTGAATCCCCATCCCTCACTTAGTTCTTATTCCAGTATGTTCCAATCATTATTTTAAGCCTTCTGGTCTATAATTATATTTTTTCAACTAATTCAGGCCCAATATATATTAATTACGAACATAATCTGATTGCTACGTTCATGTTGCCACATTTATCCACAAAAGAACATAATCTGATCGCTGTCTTCATGTTGCTGCATTTGACCACTAAAGAACATAATCTAATTACTGTGTTTATGTTGCAACATTTGTCCACTAAAGAACATAATCTGATTATTGTGTTCATATTGCCACATTTGTCCACTAAAGAATATAACCTGATTGCAGTGTTCATGTTGCAACATTTGTCCACTAAAGAACATAACCTGATTGCTGTGTTCATGTTCAACATTTATCCACTAAAGAACATAATCTGATTGCTGTGTTCATGTTGCAACATTTGTCCACTAAAGAACATAACCTAATTGTCTGTGTTCATGTTGCAACATTTGTCCACTAAAGAACATAATCTGATTGCTGTGTTCATGTTGCAACATTTGTCCACTAAAGAACATAACCTAATTGCTGTGTTCATGTTGCAACATTTGTCCACTAAAGAACATAATCTGATTGCTGTGTTCATGTTGCCACATTTGTCCACTAAAGAACATAAATCTGATTGCTGCTGTGTTCATGTTGCATGTTGCATTTGTCCACTAAAGAACATAACCTGATTGCTGTGTTCATGTTGCAACATTTGTCCACTAAAGAACATAACCTGATTGCTGTGTTCATGTTGCAACATTTGTCCACTAAAGAACATAATCTGATTGCTGTGTTCATGTTGCAACATTTGTCCACTAAAGAACATAACCTGATTGCTGTGTTCATGTTGCAACATTTGTCCACTAAAGAACATAACCTGACTGCTGTGTTCATGTTGCAACATTTATCCACTAAAGAACATAATCTGATTGCTATGTTTATGTTGCAACATTTGTCCACTAAAGAACATAACCTGACTGCTATTTTCATATTGCAATATTTGTCCACTAAAGAACGTAATCTGATTGCTATTTTCATATTGCAACATTTGTCCACTAAAGAATGTAATCTGATTGCTATTTTCATATTGCAACATTTGTCCACTAAAGAACATAATCTGATAGCTATGTTCATGTTGCAGAATTACTTCAGAATTGTCTATTGAAGAACAAGGTCTGTTTAAGGAGAGGTTACGCAACCTGGAGCGGTACATTCAACCAGGGCTGAAGAAAATAACTTGGGTGGTGAAAGAAACAGCAGAAATTTTTCTCCAAGAATGCAGAATGCATTGTGCTTCTGTCCAGGTTTGTTTTTTAAACTTTCAGACCCCAGTTTTCACTTGGATCCTGGAAGTGACACGGGTCGGGTGCTTCCATCTTGTATGCGTTATCCCTTCCTGCTGCACCCAAGCAAATGAGTCTAGCACAGTTGAAAAGTGAGCTTATCCAGCAACTAGCTGCTCTCTCAGGTGATGAAGTCCCAACAGACATGGTCATTGCTCTGGCTAGCAGACCAGGCAGAAAGCCAGATTTGTCTGACAATCTTGTTGGGGCAGCACATTTAGTTGATTATGGTGGTCCAGGCAGGCAATGCCTACAGTGCAGCAAGAGAAAGGTTCAGCAACGCAGTTATTACTGTGTGGGATGTGCTGACAAGTCTCCTCACCTGTGCCCTAATGTATGTTTTAGGGCATATCACACCCATTAAGGTGGCTGTGTTCAGTATCAACATCTTCATCATTGTCAGATAAATAAAGTCTTAAGTCATAACTGGAATTGTCCTCTTATATCATGTAATTAAAAGTAAAGGTCCCTTTTCCATACCTTTACGTGTAAAGGGCATATAGGACTAGACCTATATTTTTTACAGACCGATCGGCACAAGATGGGTGATGTGGCCCTTGAGGTTCATTGCTGCAGATATCGCCCTCCTCCTTTCATCTCTCTGGTTGGCCTTCTCTTTCCAGTTGGTGACACCAAGTGTTTGCAGGTCTTTCTGGACATGATCTTTTCATCATCTTCTTGGTCTGCCTCGTGGTCTACGACCATTCAACTCCCTCGTATATACAGATTTTACTTCTCTGTCATCTGACATTCTTTCAATATGCCCCAACCATTTCAGTTATAATTGCTAATTGGTCTTTAACATTTCAAGTCTAGCATCCTATTGCTGATTCACCTCTGGCATTAATTTGAAGAAAAAAAAGAGGGAGATGGGGGTCATTTTATAGTAAAAAAAGAAAGTAAAAGGTACTTTTGTCCATGCCTTCAGGGGTATTGGGCAAATAGGGCTAGACATTTATTTTATTAGACACTTGGCACTTGGTAGGGGATGTGGTCAACATGGTGCCGACCGCCTTTACCTCACAGGGCTTTACACAATGTCCATTTAAAACTGGGTTGACCAAGGTCATTTTTAACACAAAATCTGACTCTGTTTGGATTTAAACCCATGACCTTGAGATCCACAGGCAGGAGTCTAGCCACTACACTGGCAGCTCTCAGATTAACAAGATGAGTTTGCAAATTGTACCACAGTTGTACATCTTTTGTTTGCAGAAACTAGTGGACTCCTACAAGATGGCTAATCTAAACATCTCCTCGCTGTGTGTAGAGATCAGTGAACATCTCTTAGTCAGGATTAACCCTAAAATGATATATGAAAATCTCCAGTTTGAGGCTGACCAGGTAAGTATGACAGTTTTGTGGGGTTTTTCTGTGCTGCTTTTCTGAATTTTCTTGTTATTAGTCCTGAATGAATCAAGAATTGACATCACTGCATTTGGGACATTCCCACATGTGCTCTGCCTCGCTTCCTTGGTAGCCACCAATGAGTCGATATGCTGATAGTGCCAATGATAACCTTATTTAAAGTTCGCCCATGTTTTCCCTTCAGTGTTGAATATCTTTAAGACTCTGCACACCCCCACTCACTGCATTAGTCAATGTATGGATACTTAGTCTGTTCCATTGCACTGTCCACTTATCCCAGGGAGCCATCTTCACATCTGCTTTGCTATAAAGTAGCTCATCACCCCGAGCAGCTGATCTATCTATCTGCCCATTACCCCATACATCCGTATGTCCTGGGCAGAAAAACCATGATAGGTTCCTCATCTGAGTCTTATAAGGCAAGGCAACTACTCTGTGTATAGTTTAAGACAGTTTTTATTTTCTGAAGCATGCTCTGCTCTGTAATTACCACATGTTGGGTTGTGCTGCTGTCCAGCCATCGGAAAGCTGCTGTTACTTCATGCACCTCTGTTCTCACACTGGATGTTGAAAGTGATGCTCCCTGTTTTCAAATAGTGTCCATTCACCTTTGCAATAAAACCCCCTACACTTTTTTCTACCTCTCACTACAGATCCATCTGTGTATAATTCTATAAGAGTGAATTTTCATTGATCAGCTCTTGCACCACTGACTCTGTTTCATCATCTATCCACTGCCGGCATCCTAGGTCAAAGGTAGCTGTCACTCTTTGCAAGTTTTGAGAAAGGGGGAGGGGGCACTGTAACCCATTCCCAGTAGCACAAACATTTCTGCTCATGACTTCTGCCTGTGCCCTGCTCCAAGAGCTGCCTCTTTTCAGCAATGACCCTATCTGTTCCCAGAGGCCTCATGTAAGTGTTCCCTGCCTGTTGAGACTTTAAGGTACATTTTTGCCCTAATACCTGGCATCTTTATTGCATGGATGGCAAAGCAAGTATGTGCTGCATGCACACGATTCACATGTCTCGTATACATCCCAAAATGACTCACATGGCTTCATTTTGCATGTATTCCAGCTTCTCTATTTGGCTGTTAGATAAAGTGAGTAGGCCCAAACCAAACTCCATCACCAAAATAACCATTTGCTGGTAGGGTCTGTAGAGCATTATCTGTTCCATGCCGGCTGGTGCCATCACCTTCAGTGTTTTGAGGCTTTTCCTTATCTCCAAAACTAGCACTTTTATATGGTACTTTAATTACAGGTTCCTGTCAAAAGTTATTCCAAGATATTTCAGTGAATTCTCTCTCTTCATGTTACTACCATTTATTGTGATGTTTGGTACCTCGTCTCTAACAATTCTATTATTTAATCAACACCACACTACAACTGTCTTATCTGGGTTGATGATAGAACCTGTTTCCTCACACCACTCCCCTACCTTGTCTACCGCGTCCTGCTGTTCTCTAGATATTTCTGTTATATTTCACCCTTATCTGTTGACGATGAAGATTGCTGTTGCTGAGCTTGGATTCAAAGCCACACTGAGCTAGATTTCTGTAAATGTGAAGGGTCTTTTACTGAATAGAAGCCTGGGAAAATAAACATCAGATTTCAGGGAGGATGATTTGTTTCATCCACTTGTGATCTTGGAAGCCGCCGTGTTCTTGTGGCTAGACGCTCCGCTGTCTATCGGCAGGTCGTGGGATTGGCCAGACTTTAAAAAAAATGACCCTGGCTCCCAGGTTGACCCAGCCTTGAGTGGGTACCAGGTACAGTCCTGGGAGGTAAAGGCAGCTGGCATAATGCTGATCACATCACCCACCAAGTGCCGTTTGGTCTATATAATATAGGTCTAGCCTTATATACCCAGTACACCCGAAGGCGTGGAAAAAGGTCCTTCACTTCTACTTGTGATCTTCATCATCCTACAGTGCCAATGTTACATCACTTAGAACTTGAGGTATAGACTTCACCTTCATTTTTATCCTGTTAAATCATTTCTATATGAGAATGAATCCTGATATACCTGCCAAAACAGCTCTCACATGGATACCAGAGGGAAAGCAAAAGCGCCCAAAAACAACATGGAGACGAACAATGGAAAGTGACCTGAGTTCAGCATCTCTGACATGGAAAACTGCACTGAAGATTGCACAGGACAGGAAAGCATGGAAAGTCCTCTCTGAAGCCTCATGTGCCACTAGGCATAAACAGAATTGATGGTGATGATGATGAAATCATTGCTATATCGTACGTCCCTCAGGCATGGTGCATCGGCCTGCCAGGCAGCATAGGTTGCACAGGCAGAGAAACGGAGGCAGACTAGAAAAAATCATACTGTTAAACCCACACTTAATGTGGCTTCTATCTGTTGTCCGCACTGCTCAAGAACTTTCCCAGGCTCATATTTGACTAATCAGCCACCTTCGTACTCATAATCATTGATCTTTGGATGAAAGTGGTCTTCATCACTCGTGATGGGTGAACAACACATGCATATATAAAGAAGACCGCACAGAACATCAAGTTAAATTTAGGAATACTTAGAATGGACACAAAAAAAATTAAGGAACAGTACAGTTTGAATGTGCAAAACAGATATAATGCCATGGAAATAATACAAACTATTGATGAACATTGGGATGAACTCTGTAGGAGTCAGTTCAGCAGATATCAAAAGCGATTATTCCTATGACACATAATCACAAAAAAGACATGGATGACAAATAAAATTCTGCAGACGATGGATGAATAAAAGAAAGAAAAAGAATGACAAAGAAGAATTATCTAGTGTACATAAAGAAATAGTAAACAAAAGCAGAAAAGCTAAAGAAACCTGGCTGAATCAGGTTTGTGCAGAGATTTTCAAAAATCACTGGGACGGCTCACATTCCATGCACCAGTATATTAACAGGAAAGAAGAGACCTAACCTCACTGAATGTTTAAAATCAGAAGAAAGTGAAATATGAATGGGACAAAGTCACATAATGAAAACATTGATACTGTACTTGGGAGATTTGTATGATGATAATAGACTAGAGGTATATTTGCAGGACAACAGTGATGCCCACCAATACTGGTTGCAGAAGTTGAGGATGCCTTGCATCACATGATAAAATGAAAGGCACCTGGGCGAGACATCACATTGGAAGAAATTGAAATTTTTTGATATTTTGAATTGAAATAATAACAGAATTGTTAAAAGACCTTTACAGTATTAGTTATATTCCTAATGACCTATTAATTATTTATTGCTCTGACAAAGAAACCAGGCAATTTAAAATGTGAAGACCATTGCACCATAAGAAACAAGATTAAACCAGAAATCAGGGAAGAACAGTGTGGATTTGTAGAAGGAAAAGGTACAAAAAATACATTGTACATCTTCAGGAAGTAAAAAACAATCTATACTTATGCTTCATTGACTAAACAAAAGCATGTGATTGTGGGAAAAAATGAAGAAATAATCAAACTGCAAAAGTTAAACATTGATGGAAAAGATTTAAGAGAATGATAAAGAACATATATTGGTACAAACAGCACCTATTTGAATTAATAACCACTTGGGAACATTTCAGAGCATAAAGAAGGGAGTAAAACAAGGTTGTGTAATATCACCTGATTTGTTTTCATTATACAGTGAATATATAATGAGATCTATCTTGGATATCCAGGAATTGGGGTTGGTGGTCATAACATAAACAACAGGCTTTTTGCTGATGACACCATCTTGATAGTGACAAGTCAGACAGAATTACAGGAATTATTAGATACAGAAGTGGTAGAAAGTGATAAAATGGACCTTAGTTTGAATAATAGGAAGACAGAAGTAATGGTGATTGCCAACAAAAGAATAGTGCCTAAATGTATAATAAATGTCAAAGGTGTTATTTTTGGACAAGTACATAAATTTCAGATGACACAGTCCTCCTTTCGAACAGTGTAAAGGGAATAAAAAAATTAAATATTGTCTGTCTAAAAGCAGTGAAGATCAAAATCTGTTCTTGAATTTAAAGAAAACAAAAATAATGTCCACTGATAAAACTGGTTGTCACCCAAAAATAACAATAAATGAAGAAATTGAAAATGTCACAAACAGCAGTGGAGACTGTTTGACAGAAATTAAAAGGAGGATGGCCATAGCAATGCAAAGATTGAACAACCTTGAAAGTCTATGGCTAAGCACCAGCAAGGAGATCAAAATTAGAATTTTGAGAGCATGCATCTTCCCTGTAGCTACATACGGATGTGAGTCGTGTACTATCTCTCAGTCCTTAAAAAGAGAATAGGGGCTTTTGAGCTGAAATGCTACAGACATGTTCTCAGAATATCTTGGACAAAGAAGAGAAGAAATACTGACATCTGGATAGATCTGAACATCAAGGAAGACTGGATAATAAACAGCATTATGTCTCGGAAGCTGAAATGGTCATATCAAGTACCACGGCGGATTGCAAAAAATTATAGCAGAAGGCATGGTACTAGGAAGGAGGGACAGGGGTCGACTGACACGAAGATGGGCACAGGATATAAGTGACTCCTTGAGCATGAAAGTACATGAGGCGGGAGAACTGGCAAGAGACCCAGTTTCTTTCAGGTAGACTGTAATGAGAGCGACGTTCTGCAAAGGACCTGCTACATGATGATGACAAAAATTTCAGTATCTAGGCACATGGATAACATCTGATAGAAGTGTTATAGAGATAAAGAAATATAGAGAGAGAAAAACAGAGGAAGACAGTGCGAAAAGATTCTCAACAGCCTTTTGTTATGGCATGGAGGTGTGTCAACACATGAATTAATACACGCAGTTGCAAGTTGCAGATTGTGGAAAAGCATGATCGCCCACACCAGTCTGCAAGGCACTTGATGAGGATATACACATGGAATGACAATGCCAGTGTGAATAATCAAGTGCTGGACCCCAAACTGTTTCTCCCACATCACTTAAAGGTGGAAATTTATATTGATGACAATGGGGATAAGCCATAGTTGGTTTAAAGGTGGAATTATAATGTGGATATGTCATAAGAAAGAATTAACTCTTTCAGTTCCACATAGTCTCTTTAACCATTTCTATCCTGTAGCGTTTGTACTTCAGAGCAACATCTTTTGCATCTTACAGAATGTAAAAAAAAAAAAAAACACACACACACATACACACCAAAAAAAAAACATAATAATAAATAAATTAGGTTCACTGCTGCAAATATCACATGCCCTCCTTTATCTCTTTGATTGACCTTCTCTTTCCATTTGATGATTCCAAGTGTTTAATCTCAATGATATCATCACCTTGGGTTTTATCCAGTCTGGCTCAGTCTCTCTTTGTAGAGCCCTGGTTGCCTGTTGAGATTATCACACACACAGCAGAAACTCCAGAACTTAGAAACTCTGAAAGAAAAATGTGGAGAAGCCACTAGGGATCTCTTAAAAAATTGCACTTGTAAACGGAGTGACACAGTCTAGAAATAAACCCATGACTTTCAGACCTCCAGGCAATTGGCTTGACAGCTTTACCATGCAGACTTCCAGGTTTCTTAAAACATTTAACAGTAAAAGTGCATCAGACAGCAGACCAAGATAAGAATTTTCAAATTTCAAGTCAGAATGCATCCACCTGAGAGTTGAGGAACTAACAGTGTGTATTTACATAAGCTAGACCTGTAAAATTGTTGTGCATACATACATACATGGATGAACAACCAGAAGTTTCTGCTGGAATTTAGCAGAAGAAGATCAAATTGTTTTTGTTTTTCAGGGTGAGATTCAAGAAAGTAAAAATGTTTTGCTTGTTGCAACTTATTGGTCTGCTCTTTTTTGTTTGATTTGCTTCAGGCCAGACACAGAGATCATGTTGTCAAGAAATTGAATGAAATGCATGAGTCTATTGTATCAACTCTACAACAGTCACATGAAGTGTACAAAAATGATGGGCCAGAAGTGCAGTTTTATTGGTACAGTTACACAGATAAGATGGATAGAATGGTGGAAGAGGCATTCAGGTACTTTTAATGGGTTTTCTGCCAAGATGTCTTTGATACATTGTTCAATAAGTAAGATATAAGAACAGGGTGATGGCTGTGAAAAAAACTTTCATGTGGCTAGAATCACAGGACTATTCCCGCGTTTGTGTGCTGAGTGATTATTTGAGCATGATCAAGCGGGTCGAGGCAGGCTGGTTACGCAGACAGTGGTTTGAGTCATTGCAAAACTCTGCTGTGTGTGTGCAGTTACCTTCATATTTGTTCCAGGGCATGTAGGAACTGTTGGTAATGAAAAAGCTGATAGACTGGCAGGTCCTGCATTAATTGAAGATAGCCGGCACATGGATCACACAGACATTGTTATTGCCTTTAGAGAGATAGGACGTTCTAAGGATTTTGGAAGCAGCATGTCCACATCACTGCTAAGAATATGAGAATAGGGTGTAAAGATCGGCACAGCCAAACATGAGAAGCACACCGTACGCACACGAAGTAGGACTGGCACTATTAACCGCGCGACGCTAATGAATAGGTTGAGAGGGGAATCTGAGCGCCTATGGATGTGTCCGGAGTGCTGTGAAGATAATCTAACTTATAACTCATAAGAACAGGATTTCAATTATGACTGAATAAATATACAAAAGAATGAATCACGAATATACATCAGTGCCCTCAGGATATTCCCACATGTGCTCAGTCTCCTTCCTCAGTAGTCAGTAAAGAGCTCCCATGCTGTTGGTGCCAGTTGCACCTGATTAAAAGTCGACTGATTGGGTCTACAAGTATACGTACTAAATCTAAATTACATTTCTTGTCATTAGTTAATAAAAGAGGCTTTCAAGTAATTCTGATTCAACCAGATCAGTGAAAATCTTTGAATACAGAAAAGACGTAAATGGTAATTTTGAGTGAGGTTGGTTTTGTATTTCATTTGAAACGATCATTTATGTGCTTCATTTTATTAAATTGTAACTGTTGTGTAGTTTGCAATCGATGAGATACAGCAAAATGTGCCGGACAGTGAGTTGTTTTTGTCTTATTTTTTTACACTTACCAGGGGAAACATTGCTTTGAAATTTATATGTTTATATCTAACAAAGTGGGGAAAAATGAAAGGTGTGGACTACATGTTTATATCTAACAAAGTGGAGCAAAAAGAAAGGTGTGGACTACATGTTTATATCTAACAAAGTGGGGGCAAAAAGAAAGGTGTGGACTATATGTTTATATCTAACAAAGTGGGGGCAAAAGGAAAGGTGTGGACTATATGTTTGTATCTAACAAAGTGGGGGCAAAAGGAAAGGTGTGGACTATATGTTTGTATCTAACAAAGTGGGGGCAAAAAGAAAGGTGTGGACTATATGTTTATATCTAATAGTGGCGGCAAAAAGAAATGTGTGGGCTATATGTTTATATCTAACAGTGGGGGCAAAAATAAAGGTGTGGACTACATGTTTATATCTAACAAAGTGGGAGCAAAAGGAAAGGTGTGGACTATATGTTTATGTCTAACAGAGTGGGGGCAAAAGGAAAGGTATGGACTATATGTTTGTATCTAACAGAGTGGGGGCAAAAAGAAAGGTGTGGACTATATGTTTATGTCTAACAAAGTGGGGGCAAAAGGAAAGGTATGGACTATTTGTTTGTATCTAACAGAGTGGGGGCAAAAAGAAAGGTGTGGACTATATGTTGTCTAACAAAGTGGGGGCAAAAGGAAAGGTATGGACACAATTTTTATATCTAACAAAGTGGGGGCAAATGGAAAAGTGTGGACTATATGTTTATGTCTAACAGAGTGGGGGCAAAAGGAAAGGTGTGGACTATATGTTTATATCTAACAGAGTGGGGGCAAAAGGAAAGGTGTGGACTATATGTTTATTTCTAACAAAGCAAGGGTGAACGGAAGAACGAACAAACTTAATTTTCAAAGATTTTATAATTGGGATAAGAAAGATTTGTAAAATATGATTATAGGAAAAAGAATGATATGGACAGTATGTTTATATGTAAAGAAGTGGAGAGAAAAAAAAAGATATTGACAGTGTGTTTATATCTAAAAAGTATTTTTTTTTAAAGAAAAAATATAGATATGGGCAATATAGTTATGTCTAACAAAGAAATGGAAAAGATAAACATTAACAATATGTTTATATCTAACAAAGTAGTAGAAAAGATAGATATATAACAAAGTAGTAGAAAAGATAGATATATAACAAAGTAGTAGAAAAGATAGATATATAACAAAGTAGTAGAAAAGATAGATGTATAACAAAGTAGTAAAAAAGATAGATATATAACAAAGTAGTAGAAAAGATAGATATATAACAAAGTAGTAGAAAAGATAGATATCTAACAAAGTAGTAGAAAAGATAGATATCTAACAAAGTAGTAGAAAAGATAGATATATGACAAAGTAGTAGAAAAGATAGATATCTAACAAAGTAGTAGAAAAGATAGATATCTAACAAAGTAGTAGAAAAGATAGATATATGACAAAGTAGTAGAAAAGATAGATATCTAACAAAGTAGTAGAAAAGATAGATATCTAACAAAGTAGTAGAAAAGATAGATATCTAACAAAGTAGTAGAAAAGATAGATATCTAACAAAGTAGTAGAAAAGATAGATATCTAACAAAGTAGTAGAAAAGATAGATATCTAACAAAGTAGTAGAAAAGATAGATATATAACAAAGTAGTAGAAAAGATAGATATATAACAAAGTAGTAGAAAAGATAGATATCTAACAAAGTAGTAGAAAAGATAGATATCTAACAAAGTAGTAGAAAAGATAGATATCTAACAAAGTAGTAGAAAAGATAGATATATGACAAAGTAGTAGAAAAGATAGATATCTAACAAAGTGCAGCATTATGAAGTGGTTGCTCAACACTGCTCATGCACTTGGATCTCCATAGATTAAACATCAAGTGGTCCCTTCAGGAGCTGCTGAAAGCTATGAATGGAGATGGTAAATCAGCCCCCAACCCTCTATTCAGACTGAAGGTTGTCCTGGAAAGAGATAAGGTAAGTACAGATGCATGATTCCACCCTATAAAAAATACATCTCTGCAGCCTTTACATGTTGTCGTAATTAATCAGCTGGGTATTCATAGCTCTTGTCCATACTTCAGGGTTGGATTTTGAACGCATTTAGTACCAAGCAACTCACAGTGAGTTTCTTTTGACATTCTTAAAGATGATAAGGTCATCTGTCATATGCAGATGTTATAGTAACCCTTTGGATCTGAATATTTAGTTTAACTATTTCTGTTTCATAAATGTCTCTTTTCAACTTCTTTAGACCCAAGTGTTTACTTATTTTAAATTCAACTCATTTGAATTGGAAGGAAGTTAAAGTAATAACTGCTTGGAACTGAAAGAGTTAATGTGAACGTACCCTAAAAGAAAGGGCAAATCGAACTACAGGCATCAGTTTAAACCTCTGAGAACAGAATTTAGTTTAGATTGCAAAGTGGATGAAAAAATATAATACATTTCATAATATAATGTCTAATGCATGAAAGAAGATCAAAAATAAGGGCGACTAGTTTCCCTCTCCCCCTCCCCCCCCCCCCCCCCCGCCCCCTTTTTTTTTTAAATTCCCCCAACCCTTGTTTCCCCCTTTTAATCTCATAAGTATAAATAAACATCTCATACGAGGGGAAATACAATCACTACCAGCCTGACAAAAAAGTTCTTCAATGCAGTGGAAATACCCTTCTTCGCCTTGTGTTAGAAAAATTCAATGTTGCTAAATCAGCAGGGAAGGTTATGCTGACAGTGTTCTGGGATTTAAAAAAGTGACAATGTGAATGCTGATTCATACTGTAAAGTTCTATCGATGCTTCATGGTGCAGTTTGAAGAAAACGTTCTGGCCTGCTGATTAGTGTACTACTCTTTCATGACAATGCCAGACCACACACTGCTCAGTTAACTCAGGAGAAAATTAACCATCTAGGATGGGAACTTCTAGATCATCCTCTTGCAGACCTGACTTACCCCTTAACCATTTCCCCCTATTTAGTGAACTGAAACCCACCTTGCGTTAGACATTTCATGGAAGACGCAGAAGCTGAATGTGAAATGAAAATGTGGTTTAGAAAACAGAGCATGCAGTTCTAGGCAGAAGGTTGGGAGGACTGAAAAATCGATGGGACAACTGCATCAGTTTTGGTGGAAATTATGTTGAAGATATAACTGATAAACAGTTTGCAAGTTGGTATAGTTTTGAAAAAACCGTTTGGACTTACTCATGATGGGTCCCCTCGTATAAAGCATATTTATCCCCATCGTATTTCTACCAGTTCCAGACATTGTCATTCACTACAGAAAATGGTGAAAAAAAGGTGTCGGGCGGGCGGGCTGAATGACATGGTACATCCATATCATCAGAACATCAAATTGTTACCAGTACGAAAGAAGATAACATCAGAGAAACAAGACGGAAAGATAACATCAGAGAAACTCTACAACAGTGCTGTGTGTCCATGACTGGAGCTGCCAGAAGAGCAAGAAGAAGGAATTGTTGTCCCTTCGGACACCAGTAGCAGTAGGAAAGTGCGAAAGAAGAAAGTCAAATGTTTACTGTGACAGTGTTTTTGCTATTATATTTATAGCACAGTTAGAATTAGAGATTAAACTGGTGGAAACAAGTTAGTATGTCATGTTTACTGTGCCAGTTTTTCTGCTGCTGTGTTTATTGCATTTACTTAAAACCAGAGATCAAGCTGGTGGTAATAAATTGACCAAAATGACCTCGTGTGTTGTCCAATCCATTTTTTTTTTTTGCTTGGGGTTAAAATCTCAACCTTCCACAGGATTTCAGAGGAAGAACATGGTACCTAATGTGTAGGTAAATTAGACAAGAAAGAAAGACTAAGAGACATTTAAAGTCTTGTATTGCACATCATTACTTGATTGTCTCAACAGTAAAGTGGTTAAGCTGTTTATCTTATGCTGTGAAGGTCATGGGTTAATTTCACAGCTGTGTCGTTGGGTTTGCAAGTGCAGTCTTTATGGAGATTCCTAGGGGATCATCCCCTGAGCTGTGGAGTTTGTGCTTTGTGCGTGACAGTCTTGGCAGGGGGCTAGCCGTTCTGTAGAGAGAGGCTGCACCATGTGGGATTAAACCTGGTGAAGTCGATCCTCTCGTCTTTTAGGCTTTATTTTTTTTTAATTGCTCCATTAGGACCTTTTTTGCAGGCCTTATTTGTGCAGTGATGTCAAGGGTAATTCATTTTTTCAGGTGGAGTTCTCCCCCAACACTGTTCCAGCTGGCATCTATAGTAGAGGACATAGGCAAGATCCACCTGATCAATGCTGTTAATACTTTCAAACGGTTGCCAGAAATACTGACCAAGACCAAGTCAAGCAAGATGGTGAGTAATGTGCTGTCAGCACCTGTTCTCCTCCTGCTCCTTCTTCTTCTTCTCCTCCTCCTCCTCCTCCTCCTCTCCTTTCTTCTTCTTCTTTTTCTTATCCTCCTGCTCCTGCTCCTTCTTCTTCTTCTCCTTCTCCTCCTCCTTCTTCGTCTTTTTCTTCTTCTTCTTCTTTTTTCTTTTTCTTCTTCTTCTTCTTCTGCTGCTACTTCTTTTTTTTTTTCTTCTTCTTCCCTTCTCCTTCTTCTACTTCTTCTTCTTCTCCTCCTCCTCCTTCTCCTGCTCTTCTTCCTCTTCTACTTCTTCTCTCCTCTCCTTCCTCCTCCTCCTCCTCTTTCTCTTCTTCTTATTATTATTATTCTGTTTTGTTTTATGGTTTACAATTAGACTGATATCTGCATTTTTGGCCTGACACATCCAGTTTCAGCAAACCTGTAATTAGTTACCTCTAATGATACTCTTGTTGAGGGGCAGTTAGTCTATCTTCTTTTTATCCTCCGCCTCCTCTTTCTCCTCCTCTTCTTCTTCCTTCTCTTTTGTTATTTTTCTTTCTTTCTTTCTTTCTTTCTTTCTTTCTTTCTTTCTTTCTTTCTTTCTTTCTTTCTTTCTTTCTTTCTTTCTTTCTTTCTTTCTTTCTTTCTTTCTTTCTTTTTCTTTCTTTCTTTCTTCTTTCTTTCTTTCTTTCTTTCTTTCTTTCTTTCTTTTCTTTCTTTTTCTTTCTTTTCTTTCTTTTTCTTTCTTTTCTTTCTCTTCTTCTTTCTTTCTTTCTTTCTTTCTTTCTTTTTTTTTCTTTTTCTTTCTTTCTTTCTTTCTTTCTTTTTCCTTTGTTTTTTCCAGAGATGGATACAAGAATCTGTGCAAGAAGAATCTGTCAATACATGAAATCAGTTATAAAAATAAAATGAAATTTTTCTTTTCTAAAATTACCTTTGGCCTACGTGTTTCTGTTCTTGGCAAAGGTGGTAGTTTTTCTATCAGGGGCAAAAAAAACACTTTCTGAGCTGCACAGCTGGTGGCTGCACTAGCCACAGTGGACCCTAAATCTTCAGACTTAAGACCCTCCTGTCCTAAGGAATGCATAATAGGTTCACAGGCTCTACCTTGAAGCCCAATGAATGCAAGATGGTCCGAGTTTACGTCTCTCTTTTCTACCCCTTGGGCATCTCATGCCTAAACTCTGTGGGACTAAAAGAGTTAAGACATTCCTGCCCTACACTGCCATAAATGGGAAATAGGGGCAGAGCAAAGACAGTTTTTTTCTACCTATGGGTATTCTTGTTTTATAGTATGATGTGTATGAAGAGTCAAGTACAAGAACTAAATCAAGTGTTCTCACATCATTTTTTTTTTAAATTGTGTCTTATTTTTTTATGTTTATTTCAAAGAGCTAATGGCTTTAATGAATGTCCCCTTCTCTTCACACCCCCCCCCCCCTCCCCCCCCCCTCCCCCAACATGTTCTATATTTCTTATCAGCCAATCTTCGAGAGCATTCGTTTAGATGAAGAAATCAACAAAATACTAAACTACATTACTGCAAGTATGCAAAATAATGCTATGCACTTACAGAATTACTTGAGTACTTGGGACACATACAGGTTTGTTATTTTCTGTACCAGCCAACTTGCGATTGCTTGCTACATACACAATGTATTTAGATTTTACTTTCTAACACAGACAGTTTAAGTATTCACTACTGTGTTGTGTTTGAAATCGTTTTTCTATGATAATATTATTTTAATTGTTTCATACTGGAATAATCCAGAAAGTATTTCTAGGGTTCAGCATAGTTGAGGATGAAGCTGACTTAACAAAAAAATTAGAGAAAAACCTGCCTCTGAAAGAAAATATTAAAGAGAAAAATGCTTGTGACAGAAATAGTTGAAAAGAACATTGCATTTAGTAGAAAGAGGTACAGAAACAATCACCTTGGACAGAAATAGATATGAGAAAACTGTGTGGGAAAGAAGTTACAGAGGTGATTCCTTAGGACATTAAGAGTAGAGACAAACAGCTGAGATAAACAGAGTTGCAGAAACAATTACCTCAGACAGAAGGATGTATGAGATAACTGTGTGGGATAGAAAGATGCAGATGTAATTCCATAGGACAGTAAGAATACAAAGACAAGCAGCTCAGATTAAAGCGTTAAAGAAACAATTACCTCAGACAGATGGAGGTATGAGATAAACTGTGTGGGATATTAAGTTACTGAGGTGATTCCTTAGGACAGTATGAGTACAGAGACAAACAGCTGAGATGAAAGTTACAGAATCAATTACCTCAGACAAATGAACAAACGAGTAAACAAACTTTATTTTCAAAGGGTTACAAATTGGGCATGCAGGCCTGTCTGACATTATGAGATAACTTCTAAGCACTCATCTGATTCAGAGTACCAAACAGCCTGTTATCAATTATGCATGTTATGTTGGGATATAATTTAAAGTAAAATAGACATTAAAGTTACAGAATAATACATACACGCATCAAACGTAAACAACATCATACAATTGGGCACAGCCTGTCTGAACACGGCACACACACACACGTACACATACTCTGCCTGTCTTATAATGCATACACCACTCTATAATACAAAAATATACATTATATAATACATACACGCACACAATCATACACACTCAACATACACATACGCACCACACACATGCATATTCATACAACACATTCATACACATAAGACCATACGCACACGCACTTACACACACACACACACACACATACATCATTACACTCACTCACTCACACATCCCCCATGCACGCACACACACCCACCCACCCATTCACTCACTCACTCCACTCCCTCTCCCCCACACACACACCACACACATATTCCCCGATTGGTCAACTTTCTATGACATGCTTGTTTGGTGAGGGGGGGGGGAGGGAAGGGGGGGAATTAATGGGGCTTTGGAGCCCAGGAAGAACAGATTGAGAATTAGCAACAACATTTTAATCTGTTTAAACTACTAACTAATTAATGTTAACCAAGGGGAATTTATCCTAGTAAGTGGCTAGACATTCACCGATGGATCAGAAGGTCGTGGGTTCAGATCATGGCAAAACTGGGCTTTTTTCAACAACAAAAAGCTAGGTCCCAGATCGACCCAGCCATGAGTGGGTACCAGGTGCAGTCCGGGGACGTGGATGTGGATGGAATGATGCTGATCACATCACACACCAAATGCCCATTGTTCTATAAAATATAGGTAATGCCCAACACACCTGAAGGCATATAAAAGGGTCCTTTAAATCATAACCAAGGGCTGATAAGTCTGTAGTAGTTGGGACATTTAGAGAGGATGCCAGAAAACATAAAGACACGAAGAAAAAAAATAGCTTGCAAAAAGTTAAATGGCAGTGAACCACAAGGCAGACCAAGAAGAGGGTAAAGGGATAATAAACATCAGACCTATAAGCACTTGAATTCACCCACTGGAAAGAGATAGCCAGTCAGATAGATAAATGTGGTTAGGTGATATCTACAGCATTATACATAATTAGCTGAGAATGCTTAAAGAAGAAGTTTCTAGTTGAAGCTGTTAGAATTAGTGAACCACAAGCATTTCAGTTATTTATTTGGTTAATTTCAGGGAAATCTGGGAAATAAATAAAGATGCATTTATTGGAAGATACCAGAAACTGAATCCACAAAATTCATCCTTTGATGCTGATATTGCCAGGTAGGTTAACCCTTTTATTGCCAGAAGAAGGTTTTGTAGGAGATGCTTGTGAAGAAATATCAGTGATTAATGTTTCTGACCAAATACAAAAAGTAAAAGAAAATATTATGCTAAGGAGGGGATTCAGCAGATGGAGGGATTCACACATCATACATTGTTTCTGACTCAGAGAGTTAATAATTCATTTTTCTTTTTTTTTTAAATACTGATTGTTACATTTATTTGCATTAGGTGGGTTAGTGATCTTTGTATGTGTGTTGAATTTAAGCAGAAGTCTTTTCATACAATAGCATCATGATCATGTAGCAGGTCCTTAACAGATTGTCGCTCTTAACAAGGTCTGCCTGAAAAAAACTTGATCTCTTTCCAGCGCTCCTGCTTCCTTGTGCATTTTTATGCCCAAGGTATCACTTATATCTTGTGCCAGTCATCGTGCAGGTTGGTCCTTGCTCCCATTTCTTGGTATAGCCTTCTTTCTTGGTGGCAAAAATGAAAGAACTCTATTTCCAGAGGGTCATAAATTGGGCATCTAGGCCTGTCTTACATTTGGCCCTTTGAACTAATCTTTCACACAGCAGTTGTATTTTAAAATATAAAAGTGAATTAAAAATATGGAAGCATTGACGGCACATAAAATATTCTGGGCCAAGCTGGGAACCCTTGTGCTAGCCGTTTCTTTTCCTACTGAAGTAGACTAAGCACAAACCCATTGACAGTTGTACTTTGTGTGGGCTTTATATTGTTTTTTCTCTCTCTCACTCTCTCTCTCTGTCTGTCTGTCTGTCTCTCTCCCTCTCTCTCTCTATCTCTCTCTCCCTCACTCTCTCTCCCTCCCCTCCCCTCCTCTCTCTCTCTCTCTCTCTCTCTCTCGTATTTGCACATATGTACACAGAGAATCAGCAGACATTGAAATAGTAAATAAAGGAATTGAGGTAACAAGGACATCCAAGAAAAACACTAAGACAAACATTGATGAGAGAAGCCAAAAGTGCTGAACTGGATTCTATCACGGCTTTCTCTATTTATAGGCCAACTGGGTCAACAGGGATTCCCGTTCTTGTGCAAGAATGGAGTCCCTCTGTGTTAACAGTTTTTGTCGAGGAGATGTATACACAAATTACAGTTTCATTAATTTTCAACATATTTTATAGAACTATACGTCATTTTTAAGGTAAATATGTGTGCTATTTAAATATAACAAGAAAGGCTCTTACAGACAAACAAAAATGCTTTTGCTACAGTCAACATGAACATAAACATCGATTATGTGTAGAAAAAAACTGAAAGCTATTCCAGCAAAAGTAAAGAAATATCAGTGCGAACTCTTTGATCAAATTGAGCACATAAAAATACTGCTGTAAAGCATACACAAGACTAAAGTCCAGAATTAGATGAACAATCAGAAGTTTACAGCCAGTGTTCGCGAAGCAGAAATGAACACAGACCGTACAATTGCAAATATGCATAATAAGTAGATGAACAACCAGAAGTTTCTGCCAGAGTTTACAGCCAGTGTTCGCGAAGCAGAGGACAATTTTTGAAAATTATAATATTGTTAGTGTATTTCTACAACATATAATTATACTGTTAGTCAACAATTAGTAAAGAGGCAAAGAGTGACTTGCTGTAAGAGGTTAGTTAGTCAATTAAATATTGTTTTCATGCACTTACCCAGAGCTCCGAAATATCTTGACACAATTTATCCACAGTGTGGTTGCACCATTTATGCACAGTCAATATGAAAGCAGTAGTTTTCTTCCAACACAAGATAGTTTGCACCCGACAACTGTCAATATTCTCCAGATATGGTTTCTAAATTACCTGTTTGTAATTTCCCCAAAAGTAAGATTTCTACATTCAAAGTAGAAAAAGAATAAACAGCCAGTTACAAAAAAATCCAAACTTCTGACTAGAAACAGTGACACACACATCACAACATGACTGTCTGCCGTGAATTTAAATTCAAATTTCTGTTATTTAACAGCAAAGTTTGAAAATCTTGTATATCCACTTCACAATATCCGCTTGTCAATTTGTAATACGAATACATTCAGAACACAGAACTTTGTAAGCAGGTTAAAATGTCACACAATGCAACATGGAAACGCTTTCAGTAACTAATTTTCGAGGGGACTCCACCAAAATGTACCGTGAGTTGTAAGGACCTATATACAGCCGGACCTGATTCTATCCATGATATCACAGGATTGATCAGAATGGATAAATAGACTTTAAAGCAGTCGGGCTTTCACATATCAGTTTCATTTTTGTACCAGGGTACGCAGATGTGCAAGGAAATAAACAAGCTGATAGGCTTGCAGATGAAGCTACTGTAGATGATACATGGACCAGGCAGATATTCCTAATGCTGTACGAGAAGTAGGACGTTTGTGAGAGCCAAGTGATGACTGTAAATCTGCAAGCACGACCAGGCTGCAAGAAAAACATGTTTAAAGGGGTGTGGCTAGACAAGAGCACTGTGCAGGAAGCAAAAGAAGAATAAGAAACCATCATAGAACTAGTGTTGTGAGCAACTACCGCTACAAGATTTAATAAGGAGGGAATCTGGGCATTACGAAAAATCTGTCCACTGACAAATCAACCAGTTAGAATGTAACCCATATGTGACATAATGGCACAACAGGACAGTCAATGAATGAACACACACATATATATGGTGATTTATATCTATATATGTCAGTGCTATGTAATCCTAATCAGCCACATATCTCTCCTGGCAGGTACAATGAGGTAGCAAACAATGTCCAGATGCAAGAAACCATTCTCAGCGTTCAGTTTGTGCTGCTGGATTGCTCCTCTCTGAAGGCTGCAATTCTCAGCCACTGCCAGGAGTGGCAGAACAAGTTCACCACTTTGTTGCGTAACATTGCCACCAGCTCCCTGCAGGATTTGATGAACTATCTGGCATCCAACAGCAAGAAGTCAGTTGCTGGTGACATTCCTGTCATCTTTTATACCTTTAAAGAGCAGTTAGCATGTTGTGTTCTGGTTTACAGCCAGGCTACAGTATTTGTGCTTTTTGGCCCAAAACATACAACTTCAGCAGATCCTTAATCATTCATTTGCTATTTGTGACATGTTTATGGTGCAGTGGATGTGTTCTTCTCTTGTCCCTCTTGAATGGGTCCCTGGAACCCACATGGTGAACTTGCTTGTTTCAAGATAGTAAAGTAAAGTAAAGGACCCTTTTCCATGCTTTTAGGCATATAGGGCAAGACCTATATTTTATAGACCAATCGGCACAAGATGGGTGATGTGGTCAGTATCACGCTGGCCGCCTCCACTTTCCGAGACTGCACCCAGTACCCACTCAAGGCTTGGTCAACCTGGGAGCCAAGGTCATTGGAAAAAGTCCGGCTCCACCAGGAAGCGAACCCACAACCTTCCGATCCACAGGTGAGTGTCTAGCTGCTATGCCATGCCAACTCCCCGCTTGTTTCAAGATGCCAAGATAAATCAGGATTCTAGTTAACAGATAAGAGAATGTAGATGCCATTAGCCTATATGTTTTGAGACATGCTATGAGAAGGAATGGGACTCTGAAACATGCTGACAGCTGACTGACAGACTAAATTAGATTGGAAATAATAGACCAGTCAGGTAGGTAGGTAGCTAAAAGGGAAGAAATAAAAAACGAATTGTTATTGAAAACAAAAAAGAGATAAGTGAAATATTATGATTTTTTTTTCTATGTTGAGCTGAATTAAGAACTGACATCACAACACTATGGATGTTCCCATAAAATCTCTGTCCACATCTTCAGCAGACAGTACACAGTTCCAGTCCTAGGTAAAGTCCTTGGAAGTTGTTGTTGACCACATGGCCCACTGAATGTCAATTGGTCTATAAGATATCAGCAGAGCTGAAGCAGGAGATCTCTGAATTGATCACAGTGTTACACCACACAGCGTCGTTCTCCTCATTTCTAGCTTTTAGCCGAAGAAGACCATGTGCAAGGAAATGGAGCAGTTAATTCATCACGGTCTAAATATCTTCAACATTGATCATTTACACCCAGATCCCTCTGTGGGTTCTGGGGTCCCATTGTGGGAGAAACAAGAACAGCCCTAGGGCCCCCCCGGACAAGCATGTCATAAGAATCGACTAACTGGGGGTTTCTGTCAAAGTCAGAGTGCATCTTCCTGAGAAGCAGGAATCAACAATCTGCATAGAATTAAGTCAGACGGATGTACACGCAACACTCTGATGCTGCAACAAGACCAAAGTCCAGAGGTGGGCAAACAACCAGAACTTTCTGAGAGAGTTTACAGCCGGTGAATGTGAAGAAAAAGAAGATATACACCCAGTACACCTAACAGTGTGGAAAAAATTCATTTCAGAGGCAGTAATGTCACCTTACCTTCTGTGTGGAGTATAGCGTTACTGTGCTGAAGGAAGACATGAGAATAACCACCCAGAGGGATAGCAGCTGTAGTTAGAGACATAAACTCACCACACTTGCCTTTTAGTTAGTGATATTTCTTGTTTGGTACTTTATCAATTTTAAGGGCTGCAACAGCTCATTGGCTAGATGCTTGCATACCAGCCCGAAACTATTGGGTTCAAATCTGCATACTGTTGGGTTTTTGTCAGGTCAACTCAGCTTAAAATAGTTACCAAAAGTTTTCTTGGGAAGTTTGAGGTTTGGACAACGAATCAACATCATGGTACACGGGTAGTAACCCATAAGTGCTCTGTTCTTTCTTCTAACTCAAGTCTGAGTTCGAAGAAGCTGAGCACAGTGCACATGCACTGTAGCACCGGCGAGGATCCTGAAATACTTTGGTAGATTTTTTTAACACCTAATTTTTTCCTGGGCAGCGCCGTTAGGCTACGCTTTTCGATATTCAGCTGCCAAAGGATTTGTTTACTTGTGCAACAATGCACACGGGCATCCGATCTCACCACTCAGAGACCAGGGGGAATTACTAGAAGTCCAAGTCCACGTGAAAAAATCTCAGCCCTTACCGGGGATTGAACCCGGAATCTCGAGCACTCGAGGCGAACACCATGCCTCAAGACCACACAGCCCCCTGTCCTGGGAAGTAAAAACTGACCAACATGATACTGACCTCATCACCAATTGTGTGCTGATCAGTGTATAAAAATATGGTGAATTAATGTAAATTACTTTTTCAACACCCTTAGCTGTATTGGACTTATAGTAAAGTAAAGTAGAGGTCCCTTTTCATGCCTTAGGCACATCGGGCATATGGGAAGAGCACTCATATTTTCACATACCAATCGGCACTAGGTGGGTAATGTGGCCAGCATTACGCAAGCCGTCTTTACTTCCCCAAAACACACATCCTCGTACCCATTTTAGGCTGGGTCGACCTGCGAAACCCCATACCATGATAACAATCCACGCAATATAGTGCTTATAGTGCTAGACTTGTATTTTATAGACCAAACAGCACTTGGTGGGAGATGTGGTCAGCATCACGCTAGCTGCCTCCTTTACTTCCCAGGACTTTACCTGGTATCCATTTAATGGTTGAAATGGGAGCCAGGTCATCTCTGAAATTTAAACCAAAAATGTCAGGCTCCATTGGGATTGATTGGGAACCCATGATTTCCAGGTCTGCAGGCAAGCAGTATCTAGCCACTAAACTGTGGTTTTACCCAGTAAAAATATAGGTTCACACCACATGACCAGTGTGGCTGTGGTGTGAAAATTATCTTTTTTTTTCTTTTCTTTTTTTTTCTTCAAATTTTACATTATCAGTTTTGGGAACAGGTTGTTTTGATTGGTCATTCTGGCTGTCCAATGTTTCAACAGTGTGAAATTTAAAATAATTGAAAACTTGTGAGTAGAGTAATCATTAAATCTAGTTGTTGTTGCATGCCAGGGTATCTACAATTCCACAAACACTCGACCAGCTGGTGGAGCGCCTTCAGCTCTGGGATAAGCTGAAAGAGGAGGCACCACTGATAGAGAGAAAGTTCCCCCCACTCGTGGAACAGTTTGTCATTCTGGACAAGTATAATGTTGACATATCAGCAGGGGTATTGGTTTTTTTTTTTTTTTGGGAGGGGGTGTGTGTGTGTGTTTGGGGTTTAAATGTTGTTTGTGTTGGATTATTGACTAAGCTGTTTTGCTAGTGTTTTTTGTGTGGAGATATGTGTTTGGTTTGTGTTTGATTGTTGATTAAGGTGTTGTGTTTGTGTTGGATGGATGAGTAAAGTGTTGTATTTGTATTTGATTGTTGAGATATGTGTATTGTTTATGTTAGATTTTTGTTTAAAGTGTTGTTTTTGTTGGATTGTTGAGTAAGCTGTTTTGCTAGTCTTTTATTGTTGAGATACATGTTTGGTTTTGCGTTAGATTGTTGAGTAAAAGGTTGTATTTGTACTGGATTGTTAAGATAAGTGTGTTGTTTATGTTAGATTTTTAGATAAAAATGTTGTTTGTATTGGATTATTAAAGTATTTTGTTTGTGTTGAATTATTGAGTAAGATGTATTTTTGTGCTGGATTGTGGAGATGAGTTTGGGTTATGTTAAAGGGTTGAGATAAGTGTTTTGTTTGTGTTGGATTGTGTGAGTAAGTGTTGCTAAAGAAAGGTCGCTCTTGGATGGCACAGACAGAAAACAGAATAAGACATTTTTGTGGAATTAACAAGATAATGAATGGTGAGGAGTGGGCCAAAGTGCTCCCAAAAACATTATCTTGCTTTGAGTTGAAGTTTTTTTTCTTTGGGGGGGGGGGGGGGGGGGAGGGATGGGAGACCAAGGGTGTCAGGACTGAACAGTGGATGACACAGAGGCATCACTGCAACAGCATGTCAAGGACATTTCAAGCTCAGGCTGTGGGATCATATTCACATACAGCTGTATATTGTAAACAAATGAGCTTGCTTTCTTTGCACAGATAAAACTGGGCATTACTGGTAAAAAGCATCTCACATATAACACCACAATATTCAGCATGAGAATGGAGCCATGGTGAAGGCAGTAACAGCAGGGTTTACTGCTAGTGTGCATAGACTTACATTTTTGCTCCATACAAATAGAAAGTAGTGTTCTAGCTTAGTACCACCCTCAAGATGGAAAATAAAAAAAAGTAAAGGACCATTTTCCACGCCTTTAGGCATATAGGGCTAGACCTATATTTTTATAGACCACTTGGCACAAAATGGGTGATGTGGTCAGCATCACGCCTCTCAAGATAGGGGGACATCATAAATGTTCTGCCTGTTACATGTGAGTGGGCAGGAAGTGGACAGGATTACAAATGAGCTGCACCGCTTTGGAGGAAATCTGCAGGAAGTAGTATTAACCAAGAAAACTTAATAAATATGTCTTTGACTAGTTCTTTCTCCTACTTTCTTTTACCCCTTTATCACTTGAGAGTGTCAGGTTAGGAAGTGCTTAGTCGACAGAGCCTTGATGAAATATCAAAGGAAAACAGAAACATTGTCATGTTTGTTTCGCCAGGTGAGGAAGCAGTTGAATGACCTGCCTGTAGAGTGGGAAAGTTTCCTGGATACACTTGGAGAGGCTGAAAGTATGCTCAAGAAACAGAAGGTGAGACACAGGACGTGAGGTCAGAAATATATATATATTATAACAGTGAAATATGCTAGGCAGTAAATTGTGGAAACACTGCTTTGATTTTCTTTTATCTTTCCTTGCCTCTCTTTCCATAATATTCCAACTTTTGCCATAATCCAATTTGTCGATTGTACCCTCCTAACTGCTATCTAAAGATTCAAAGTACCATCATGAGATTAACAGTTTCAGTATGTACAGCAGACTAACAGGGTGACCCCAGATATCCTGTTCGACCTCCTAGAAAGTTATAATTAGGGCCGCTGAAATGGCTGGGCCACCTTGGTGGAGCCTGCAATCCTGTTTGGGTAAAGATGACAACTTGTTCCGTTTGTTCTCTTTTTATATCCTGGCCAAAGAATGGGTACATTTCATCACCAGTCATCATCATCATGAAATGTCTTTCATTCTCACAAGATCCCCTACATCACGGATCAGGTCAATGCTCATGTCTAGTAGCCCCAATCCATAATGGCCAAGCAGTCCAGGTATTTATCTCTTTGCCTTCCCCTTGTTCTTTTTCCATCAGTTTTGCCGGTTCTTTATTAATATCCTACCCCAGATGACGTCACAGGAAAGTCTAAAAAGTTGTAAGACGGTTTCCCGGCTTTGTTGCTTTTAACGACCCCAAAACATCTAGAACTGACCCTAATCCCAACCCACTTATGTCCCACGAGATAGTGCAGCCTAGGTCCTATGACTGCATGCAGCCTAGGTCCCACAACTGCATGCAGCCTATCTACCACCCCCTGAAATATTAGACTGTCCTGTGACCTGTGGATTTCCCCTGTTTGAGGTAAGATATTATTAAAGCACCGTTCTGCCAGTCAGCACCAAGTTCTCAAGTCCATTCCTTTTCATAACATGTCCACACACACAAAAACAAAATACTATTTACGTTTAATTTCTCTGATCATTTTTATGGTTGTCATCTGTCTCCAGGAGGTTGGTGACTCATTTGTTTTTTGTGTGTTTAGTTTTAATTTTTCATGATATTTGCCTTCTTCTTTTAAAAAAAAAACATCTCCACTCTGAGTATGAGTTTTTCATCTTATAGTTAAAAAACAAATACTGTTTATTAATTTAGAAATGGAAAGAGGACCCCCCCCCCCCCTCTCCCTTTTCCTCCATACACATACTCTCATTCACTTTTTCATTCACACACACACACTCGCATGCACACATCCACCCACCCGCTCACTCTCGCTCACACACACACACACTATTCACTCTCTTCTCATACACACACACACTCAGACACACACCATAAATGTTCACATATTTAACTTATCTTTTGCCTGTGATTCCCCCACACTAGGAAATATTCAAAGCTGAGCTGTTGCGGCAGGCAGCAGAGTTGAAGCAGCAAATCTCTGAATTGATCACAGAGTTTGACACCACAGGGCCCTTCTCCTCAAGTGTTGCCATCAGTGACGCTTTTATAGCCATTTCTGGCTTTCAGCACAAGAAGACCGCCTGTAAGGAAATGGAGCAGACGATTCGTCACGGTCTGAATATCTTCAACATTGATCATCCACCATCCAAGGAGCTGGCCATTTTAGAAAAGGTATTTTTATGTTTATTTGACGGGTCACTATCATGGCACATGGGTGTGACCCATAAGTGCTCCGTCCTACTTCTAATTCAATCCTGAGTCTGAATAATTTCAGTACGGGCGAGGATCCTGAAATACTTTGGGTATATTTTGAACTCCCAATTTTGCTCAGGCAGTGCTGTTAGGCTACTCTTTTTGGTTTCCAACTGCCAAGAGATTTTTTTAAGTGCGCAAGAATACACACTGGCAGCGAATCTTACTACCCTGGGACCAGGGGAAATTACTAGCACTCGAGGCGGACACCATACCTTGAGACCACTCAACCAATTTTTTAGGAAAGCTAATGAAGGTGGAATGTGTGTTCTCTGGCTAATTTTGCAGATTTGTTCCACTTGTTTTTCAGCGTTAGTTAGTCACAGAAACTTCATGGCAAACAAGTCAGCCCCTAATTCCACCATTTTTGAGCAGGTGAAGACCACAAAGGATGTCAGTGACTGTCCTTTGTGAATAAATTGAAACGTACTGCAATCTGAGCAAAACAAGTTGCATCTTCTTCTTTGTGAGCGGTTTTGTATGCTCAGGTCAGGCCATCAGGTGGGTTGCCTCTATCAACTCGCATATCAGCTGCAGGTCCTTCATGTCAGCTGCAGGTCCTTCATGTCAGCTGCAGGTCCTTCATGTCAGCTGCAGGTCCTTCGTGTCAGCTGCAGGTCCTTCATGGTTCCCTGCAGCTTGCTCTGCACACTTTGCTCTTGAGGCCAGGTTTCTCTTCTAAGTTGTAGGTAGAGTGGGCAGGTTTGCAGAATGTGCACAGGTGTTTATAGTCCGGTCTGACAGTCACACTGTGGGAACTGCACAGTTTTTATTTTATGCGTGTGATTGTTGATCCTGCAGTGATCTGTTCATACATGGAAAATTATCTGGATGAATTAAACATTTAGTGGGCTTTTTGGTATTTATTCATTCCTTGTCTGTTGTGCCATGATATGTCCTGTAGAGCTCGCAGACTATTTCTCCATTCCATTCTTTTCTTCGTAATCACTTCACTATCATGAATGGAATCCAATCCAGCAGCTTTGGCTTCTCTTGTCTGTGTTCACGTTAGGGTTTCTCTTGAATGTCCTCATTTTCTTAGTCCCTCTGTTTCCCATTTCACTGCATGTTTGCTGATTTTTTTTGTTCTTTTTTTCTTTATTTTTGTCTCCTCAAAATCTGTGAGTATAGTTTCATCTTCTTGCCTCATAAATGTTGATACTGGTGTTTGCCCAGACATTTTCTTAGTTTTTTCTCTCCTTTTGAATTATCTCATTGCATGTTCAACATTCTCCTCAGGCATTTGTTTTTGAATGCATTCACTTTGACTCTGTGTCTTTAGTAGTTCCTCCAACTTTCACTGACATATGTTAAAGCTGAAACAACATTAGATTTCTTGATATTGAAAGAGTTGAAACTTCAATACTTGATTTTATATTTATAAATTTGTCACAGTTGGGAGCTGTTGTGGTATAGTAGGTAGGTGCTCACCTGCTGACCGATACAGTCTTGGGTTCATATCTGTATTGAGAGAATTTTTTTTTTTTTTTTTTTTTAAATTGTCTATGACGCCCAGGTCGACTCAGTACAAAATGGATAACATTGTCTTGGGAAGTAAAGGTGGCCTCAGAGTTGCAGTTGGTGTATACAGTGTAAGTTAAAGGTGGCCTCAGAGTTGCAGTTGGTGTATACAGTGTAAGTTAAAGGTGGCCACAGAGTTGCAGTTGGTGTATACAGTGTAAGTTAAAGGTGGCCTTAGAGTTGCAATTGGTGTATACAGTCTAGGCCTGGTAGCGTCATATGTCTGATGGGCCAGTAGCATAAAAAAATGATCTTTTACTTCTACTTACTGTTTCATGCATTACCATGGCAGGATCTGGGGTCTTCATGACTCCATGGTCAAACTGTTTGTCTCACTCTGAAGGTCCCGGGTTTGTTTCATGGCAGTGTCGTTCATTTCACAAATGCAGTTTTAATGAAGATCCCTGGGGATTGTCGCTGTAGCTAATGGAGGTTGTGTCTGTGCGATGCTCTCGGCAGGCAACTAGCTGTTCTGCAGAGAGAGACTGAGCCATATGGGATAAAACCCGGTGCAATGAAGTCGATCCTGTCACCTTTACCTTTACTTTTACATTGCAGGATCTGGAGAACATCAAGAGTGTCTGGGAACTGACTGATGAATGGATGAAATGCTGGAACAAGTGGAAGACTCATACTTTCACCGTTTTGAAAGTCTCTGAGATGGAGGAGACGTCTTCATATCTGCAGAAGAATTTGACACGACTCAGTAAAGCTTTCAAGGTACGACTGGAGAGGTGTCACTGATGTATGTGTTATATTATTGTTATGTTTATGTTATCTCAACTGAAGTCGTTGTTAGTTGTTTGTTTTTCTGTGCTCATTAGCTATTAATTTTCACCAAAGACCTAGTAGTCATCCATTTTTTAACATTAGCATTGATCTGGGACTTGGGTTGTGTCCTTTAGTAGGAAGCTGAGAGGAGCGGCTGGCCATAAGGTTAGAACTCTGGGCTCTCAAGTGAGAGCTCCGGGTTTGATTCCTCGGTAAGGCTGGGGATTTCTTTTGTCAGGGACCCCCAAAAAAATCCTCACCTGCACAGAAGTGGTGACAGCAGTAGCCATGCTGCCATATATTCTCAGGCCCAAAGACCCCCCTGCCTACACTGCAAAAGTGGTTTTAATAAAGGCAGTAATTGGCAGTAGGAGGCTGAGGCCTTGAGCTTTACTCATTGTACAATGAGTTATCAGTAAATGTTGTCAGCCATGCATTGGGGTTTTGCTGATGAATGCCAGAGACTGTCTGGACTCTGCAGCATCTTATGCTCGAAAAACAGGCTTAACTTGTCCTCATGTCTGTGATCAAAACCACTGCACCTCACTAATGTCACTGTCCATTCTCATGCTTGTTCAGTCCTCTTATATAGCAGCTATCTACAGATTGTTCTCATGAGCTACACTGCAAAGATGGCACTGTGAGCTGCGGTAGATTGATCAATAATTTTTTAGGGTAGGGGCAGGGAACAGTTCTTCCCATTAATCACCTCCTTTCTCCCCCTTTTGTCAGTCCAACTTGTGGGGCAACAGTTTGTGGAGTTTGTGAAACTGCGGAGTTTTGACTGCATATACGAAGGATACATTTTCTGTCACTATCCCTAGCAAAGCAGGGCAATTAAATCTAGTTTCCAGTGGTTACTTTCTTGTAAAAAAAATGTTTCTTGGCATCGCCATCATGGGTCTGACTTGCCAACATGTGGGCCAACCACTCACCTCCCCAGGGTAAATTTTTAAGTGTAAAAAATTTAGCCCTCACCGCCGACACATCTTTTGCATTTGGAGGGTAGAAAAGTATTGCGCACAGGAGAGACATTTTTTTTTTTTCAGATTGTTTAGCACAGGGCAGATAGCTACTGCCGGGAACGTAGCAATGAAAGGGTTAAAGGTAAATGCAGAAGTGTCTCTCCAGTATGGCAGTAATACACTTGCCTGCTGGCAAGAGTGTCAGGGAATCAGGACTCCTGGTTGCTGCTACTTTGGTGGACAACAGTATTGATTCTAGTGAAAAGTGGGCAACAGTATTGATTCTAGTGAAAAGTGGGCAACAGTATTGATTCTAGTGAAAAGTGGGTAACAGTATTGATTCTAGTGAAAAGTGGACAACAGTATTGATTCTAGTGAAAAGTGGACAACAGTATTGATTCTAGTGAAAAGTGGACAACAGTATTGATTCTAGTGAAAAGTGGGCAACAGTATTGATTCTAGTGAAAAGTGGACAACAGTATTGATTCTAATGAAAAGTGGACAACAGTATTGATTCTAGTGAAAAGTGGACAACAGTATTGATTCTAGTGAAAAGTGGGTAACAGTATTGAAGCTAGTGAAAAGTGAACAACAGTTTGGATTCTAGTTAAAGTGAACAACAGTATTGATCTTAGTGAAAAGTGGACAACAGTATTGATCTTAGTGAAAAGTGGACAACAGTTTGATTCTAGTGAAAGTTAAAGTTACAGTCAAGAGGATCAACTTCATTGCACCGAGTTTTATCCCATATGGCTCAGTCTCTTCCCACAGAATGGGCTGTTGAAAGCGCCATGCAGAGCACAAGCTTTATAGCTCCAGTGACGATCCCCAGGGATCTCCATAAAAATAGCACTTGTGAATTGAAGGGCACAGCCATGAAACGAACCAAAGCCCAGACATTTAGAGCGCATGGCAAATGGCTTGACCACTATGCCACAAGTCGGCTGATTGTAGTGAAAGTAGACAACAGTAATTGATTCTAGTTAAAATGGATAATAGTATTGATTATAGTTAAAGTGGACAACAGTATTGATCCTAGTGAAAAGAAGACAAAAATATTGATTGTAGTGAAAGTGGACAACAGTAATCGATTCTAGTTAGAATGGTGAAAAACAATACTGATTATAACTAACATGGACATTGTTCTAGTTAAAGTGGACAACAGTATTGATTGTAGTCACAGTGAGGAGAAAAAATATTAATTATAGTTAAATTTATTATAGTTGATTGAAGTTGACAGTAATATTGATTAAAGTGGACAAAAGTATTCATAGTTAAAGTGGACAATATTATTCATTACTGCTAAAGTGGACAATAATATTGATTATAGTTAAAGTGGACAAAAGTATTCATTACTGCTAAAGTGGACAATAATATTGATTATAGTTAAAGTGGACAAAATTTGTTAAAAAAGTTAGTGCAGTGGACAAAATAATTGGTTATAGCTTGCCCTGCAACAATATAGATTATAGTTAAACCATATAGCAGTATGGATTAACGTAAGAGTGTAGTTAAAGCCAGACATTATTTATGAAAGAAGTGTTTTGTGGAATAAATGAAGGGTATATTGATAGTTTAAGCTACACTTTTGCATGTCAGTTTTCTGTGACGATGTTTGTTTTCTCCCTAGGACAAACGATGTGAGATAGTTGAGGATACTCAAAGTAAAGTTGATCAGATAAAGAGAACCCTGCCTTTGATCACTGATTTAAAGAACCATGCCATGAGACCTCGACACTGGACACAGATTCAGGTTCACTCTTCAAACATTGATGTCTCTGTTATGTAGGAACAAAATCAGTTATATGGAGATATCTTGGTTATATGGAAACACCTTAGTTATTAACACCTGAGTTGATTTGAAATGACTTGAGTTGTATGAATATTCTTCAGTTGTAGAAATACCTCAGTTGTATAAAAAATATCTCAGTTGTATAGAGACACTTCAGTTGTAGAAACACTCATCAGTCAGCAAGTCCTTTACAGAACGTCACTCTCTTCACCGCACGCCTAAAAGTATTCCTTTTCTTAGCCAGCTTTCCAGCCCCATGTACTTTCAGTACCAATGCATCTTCAATGTCTTGCATCCATCTTCGCGGTGGTCGACCCCTGCCTCACCTTCCACAAACTGCACCTTCCATCACTGTCTTTTCCAAGCCACCATGAGGCTTGATGTGGCCAAAATACTTCAACTTTCGGGACAGGATGCTGTTTATCAGCCAGTTCTCCTTGATGTTCAACTATTTCAGAATGTTGATGTTTTTCCTCTTCCTGATTCAAGGTATTCTAAGAACTTTTCTATAACATTTCAATTCAAAAGCTCCAAAAGAAACACTATTTATACAGAAACACCTCAGCTGTTGAAGTTTGACCTGTACAAGTATGGTGCAGGTATTGAGATTGGTTCCTTTGATGGGCAGATGTTTTTGATATCATATTGCATGGAGGTTGAACAATCAGGAAGGAAATAGTGACACAGGAGAAAATCACTGCAGACAGACTAAGAGCATTTGGGAAGAAACACATCACATAGGTTTGTTATGGAAACAGTGATTTACAGGTCACATGCACTAACTCTGGAAGACTTTAACTAATATGGTCTGGTCTTAATAGTCACATTGACAGTCACCTGGGGCTTGTGATTCTCCAGCCTCCCTATCCAATCATTTTTCCCTTAATTCTTGTTCCTTTCCTGATTTACCCCTCCCCTCACCCATGCAGTACAATGTATAGTATTTTGATCCCATTAATCTACCTCAGTACCTGTATATTCTCCTTCCTTGCTTTGCACAACATAACACTATGATCTTAAAAGACTGAAACTTGCCGCTAATATCATTTCCATTTTAACCTACCGTTCAACACATCACATTTAATGCTCAACAGACTGACAGGCGGACATACTGGCTGGCTCTAATATTGATGCTTGATAAGGCAGACGTGGTTAGGGCCTTGTGGGAGAAACGTTTTCTAATACGGAGAAGCAAATGAAACACCACTTTCTGGTGAGAGTGATGCAGTGGGGACTGACAAGGGGATCTGGCCGATGCTCCACGCTCAGAGGAAAGGCAAGATGGACGTGCTGCTGGCACTTTTGGTATTGAAACTCTGCACTCGCTGCTAAAGATGGGGACGGAGCGCTTATTGGAATGCGCTGAGTACTGTGATGGTGTTTCTTGAATCAACTCAACACAGCTCATATAAGGCTCAACCTGACAAATGAACAGTTTCACACAGCAGAGGGTGTTTGGATTAAGCAACACGCCTCAGTCACCATCTGCAGTTTAATCATATCTATGTGGGCAGTCTCCAGTCAACCTAGGCCTGGCTGGTTTGCAGTGGTGTATAAGTGAGAGGGAAAACATACCCCATTGAGCTCCCAACCTAGGCAAGCCGAGAATCACAACCCTGCTTCCACAATAGTCACCTGAAAATGATGAAGAAACACTCACAATTGATCTGTCCCTCCCTGATGCTGTGGTTGCCTAGTCCAGGTGGACCTTAGTAACTAAGTAATGTAATATGTCTCAGAAGCTCTTGACTGATGTATAGCATATCTAATCTATGTCTCTTCCTGTTTTAGCTCTCTCTTGTAAAGTTTATCAAAATATATGATAAATTCTAGTATACATAAAGCCATTCCAGAAAGAGGATTTGATAAACATTCTGTACAACTGCACATCTTGTCTGGTCAAGGTGCAAATGCTGACTGCCTGTTAGACACAAGCTTTTAAAAAGAAATTTGACATGCGTCCTGGTCATAAACTCTTTCAGTCCCAGCTGATTTAGCACCAGAGGCCCACGGGTTAGTAAAAAGAGATGTAAAATTGGTGCACCTTGCATTCACTGGACTTGTAGGTAGGAACCTGTGAACATTTGATGTGTTCCTTGGGACTAGAAGAGTTAACTTGGGTGAATATGTGTATGTCTCATGTTCAGGCCTGTCTTGTGACTACCTATATTAAATCTTGCCTGTCCATTTGTTGGTCTTTTAGTAAACTTCTCATCTCTACATTTGCCACACCCTGACACCAACTGTGGCAGATTTTTCGAAGCAGTTTGGCTCAATGGTCTGACGAAGCAGTCAAATGCAATGGATATCAACATCTTTGGCAACAGTATGGTTAAAGGAGAATGAAAGCAGTCCCATAGCAGAGACTGCCACTGGAATAGGGTATAGTAGGCATTCACATAAGCCAAAGTTGAGAGGATCGACTTCATTGCACTGATTTTTTTTTAAATCTCTTATGGCTCTACAGAATTACTAGGTGCTGTCCAAGAGTGTAGTGCAAAACTCCATAGTTTCCACTACAATCCCCTGGGATCTGTGTAAAAACTACACTCATGAACCAGTGTTCCTACTCCTCCCTCCCTCTTTAGACACTCAGTGTACGCTGTTTGTGGGCGTCTACTCCGTCCATTTCCTAGTTATAGTGTACCCGTTTTTTGCTCCCCATCCGTGGGTTGGTGATAAATACGCCAGTACCTGACCTTGACATCCTTTTGAAGGAAGTTTTTCGCCAGGGACACAGAGGAGTATAATTTATTTTGTACATTAGTCCAATGTAGTCACTTCATAGTTAGAGCATATTTGTGTATGTGTACTGTATTGTTCTTTATGTGCTGATGAAGGCTGATCGCCGCAACGTCCTTTGTTTGTTTATTGTGATCGATTTTGTAAAGCTAATAACATAAACTGTTTTTTCTTACCAACTTTTTCTCTTCCCTATAATTTCCTAACCCTTTAAAACTCATGAACCAGACAACATGTCTGTGAAAAGAACCTATGATCTTGATGACTTTGCTATCAAGGCCCCTTCCCCCTGTTTTTTTATATAATGTGAGTTATGAAATTAGTGAGGTAGCGAGTTGTCTTCCTCTTTGCATGACACATCAAGAAGTTATCTCATTGACTGACAACAGGATGAGATGGACCGATCATTCGACCATACCTCCGAGGAGTTCACCCTGGAGAAGATAATCAGCTATGGCTTTGATCACCATTCAGAATTTATTGCTGAAGTTTCCTATTCTGCAACCAAAGAGTTGGCCATTGAAAAAGTCAGTGAGAATGTCTTGTTTTCTGTGTAGATTCTGTTAATACAGTAGAGCTGAAAGAAAAAACAATGATGCCTTTAAAAAAAAAAAGGTGTCAATACTTCTTACTTTTGTGTACCGCTAGAAAAAAAAAACCTGTGTATGACAGATCACATTATTTATTTTCCGCGCACTTTATCATTGTTTCTAGAATATTCAGTGCACCCCCACCCCCCTCCACATCCCATTTTTCTGCTGTATTGCCAGAATGTAATGTTAGTTGTCTGTCATTTGCAGTTAAATATGATAGTTAAAGGTCTTTTTACACTAGTGGCACATCAGGCATGTGAGACTATTTTTATAGACCAATCAGCTCTTGAATGGGTCATGTGGTCAGCGTCACACCGGCCACCTTTTCTTCACATTGCTTTACCTGGTACACATTTAAGGTTAGGTCTACATGGGAGCCAACCTCATATATATAGAGAGAAAAAAGGAATGCTGCTCCTTGCGAATTTGAACCTGCAGCCTTAAAGAAATTACAGGTCTGTTTACTTAGAATTTGTTACTTGAAATATTCATTTTCTGTGTTCCTTCTGAAATCACAGTTGGTAAATTGTGTTGCTTACAGCTAGGTTTCCATATCTGCACTTTTCAGTCAACACATCCATCATATCTGCACTTTTCTGTCAACACATCTATCATATCTGCACTTTTCAGTCAACACATCCATAAAATTTGCACTTTTCAGTCAACACATTCATCATATCTGCACTTTTCAGTCAACACATCCATTTAATTTGCACTTTTCAGTCAACACATCCATCAGATCTGCACTTTTCAGTCAACAAATCCATCATATCTGCACTTTTCTGTCAACACACCCATCATATCTGCACTTTTCAGTCAACACATCCATCAGATCTGCACTTTTCAGTCAACACATCCATCAAATCTGCACTTTTCAGTCAACACATTCATCAGATCTGCACTTTTCAGTCAACACATCCATTTTTATCTCCCCCAACTTCTTCCACCAGCAGACCATTATTTAGTTGTTTATTGTTATATGCTTTTTAGCGGACTCTGGATCTATTTCTTTAGCTCTTACTGGGGGCCTCAGAACCCATTAGGGGTTGTTATTGGAAAATATAGTAGCAATTATAACAGACATATTTGCTATCACTTCTTCTTCGTCAGCATTCCAAACCCTTGAGGTTTATTGCTGCAGATATCATCTCCATTCATCTCAGTGATGGCCCTTCTTGTTCCAGTTAGTGGCTCCAAGTTTTCCATTTAAATCTACCGAATCGGGGTGTTTTATAAAAGAGGAGTCCTCATATGGGTTCCGGGGCTCCATTTTAGTGAACAGAGTATAGACCCACTGCCTCCCTAATAAGCATGTTGTAAGATGCGACTGATTAGGGATGTTTCTTTTAAAGTCGGACTGCATCTGCCTGTGAGGCAACTAATCATGTCTGCATTCAAATAAGACAAATCTTTAAAACGAGTGTGCAAAAAAAAAACATTCTGCATCAAATTCCAGGAGTAAATGAACAACCAGAACTTTCCACCAGAGTTTGCAGCTGGTGAAAGCTAAGAAAGCTCTCTGCCAAGGCCAGTAGTGCTGTCATGCTGAACAGAGAAATAGGAAGCTGGTTCTGAACAACACTAGGAGTCTGCCAGGGCTGCCTCCTCTCTTCAACACTGTTTAAAATCTTTTTAGAAAGAATTATGACTGATGCCCTAGAACAACATCATAAAACAGTTAGTATAGGAGGTCGAACTTTAACAATGTAATAAGATCTAACTGCCCCTAATAAACAATACTGCAGGGCTCAGTAGAGGGAAAGAGGAGAAGAGACAGACCAAGAAAGACCTGGTTACTGAACCTGACTGACTGGACAGGCCTCAGGTATGCAACCATAAAGTCCATCGCAACTGAACGCCAAAGGTGGTGAGAGCTGATCACACAGTCAACAGAAACTGGTGACTCAATGACACATAGTGTTACGAGATGATGATGATGGAAGCTAAGAAGAAGCAGAAGATAAAAGTTGCAGGTGAGGGACCTATGTTTTAACTCTCAGTCTGGACAACTAGGGTGTCTATATTTGTTCTCTATTATTTGACTGTCTGGCTTGGGAGGCCCTGCTGGCAGGTAACCACTGTCACAAATCTCAGTCATTGAGCAATGCAAGCTTCCCCACCATGACAGAATGGATGCACACCTGCATGGGAGCTATCACTTCTTGTAAATATTAAATATTTTTTGATGTCTTATTTTACATTTTGATACATGAACCCCAGCATGCATTTTTCTTTTCTCTCAAATTAGGCTTTGAAAACCATTGCTGCAACCTGGCAAGCCGCTGAGCTGGACATTGTTCCATACCGAGATAAAGGGCTCTTCAAACTTGGGTATGATTAGCAGTGTGCTTAGAGCTCTTATGAAACATTATTTGATGAAGTTGTGTTGATAAACTGTTTTATTTTCTTCTTCTTCTTCAGCATTCCGAGCCCTTGAGGTTTATTGCTGCAGATATCACCCGCCTCCACCCATCTCTCTGGTTGGCCTTCTCTTTTATCTCATCTTGATCATTTTGAATCTTGTGATGTTGAAATTTCTGGACTGTGCCCATTGATATGATTTGTTTGGTGGGTTTCCCAGGACTTTTTTTTATTCCCTCTATCAACAATTTGCATGGTCTTCCTTTCTTTCAGTTCCTTTTTGGTCTGTGCTCATTGTGGTATACTGTCTGTTGGCAGCCAGGCTGAACCACGTCACTTGTTGTTTTCTAATTAATTCTAACTGTTGCGGGTCCAGAAGTGGATAGATGCTTTTGTGATGAGTAGGAATTTGCCTCACCTCCACCTGAGAAACTGGACTATTATCTTAGCTGTGATCTCAGACAGTCCTAGATATCCAAGAAAACAGCCATATTTGGCTCGTCATGTAATTACACAACAGCTGCACTCGGTACCCACAGGAGTAGGAGAAGGGATAGATAGATATCAAGATGAACCCACTGAGATATCTAGATACACATTTAACCCCTCCGACTTTCTCCTCCCCTGGTATTAATTTGTTAATGAGCCCGCACCGAATGTATTTTTATGTAACAGTTTAGTTAAACAGGTATGACTGAACACACTTGGAATTTAACAAACGATATAGTGTAAAACTTGACATACAGCTTTATTTACTAACAATTATTTAAATGAAATTCACCAATTTGTAATGTTTACACAAACAGTGACTGGCTGATGGTATGATAGTGATGAGATGCTTCAGCTAGAAAACTGAGCATCTGGGATTAGAGTGGTGTGATGATGGTGATAAGTTTACGAACAATGTGTGGACGTAACTTTGATAAAACCTCTGACAGCCGTGAGGCACTGTCAAGCTTTTCCACCTCTTCCAGCTTCTTCCTAACTGGTTCCACCTCCTTCCTAACTGGTTCCACCTCCTTCTCTGTCTGTTCCCAGCTTGTTCTTCACCTGTTCCCAGCTAGCCGATCTCCCACAACGTAGGTTCGTGCATGTGACCCTCTAGTTCTATCAGAGCAGACTGGTCTTCAACCCGACGGGAGCTGGGAATATTCCAGCAATTGCCAAACAAGATTCAACCAGCTAGAATTACTTTCTACTCTTGATCTGAGTTTATGGCTTGCTGGCAGCACTATGGGGTAAATTTAAGATGCTAGCAGTATACTAGCAAAGTTAACTACTCCCCTTTCTAGTATTTAACCTGTCCTACGAGAGAAGATCTAAGCCACTCCCCAGAAGTACCTTGCAGATCAAATTAGCTATCAAGCTGCCTGTCAGTCGATTCTTACTGACATCCCTCTAATCAAATATTCTCAAGTGGTAAACATCTAGCCCCAGCCAAACTCACTGACAGGTATGAAACACTGGTCCAGGGGACACTGCCATGTCTGTAGTTCCCTACTTGTCCATGTTAACTACCCTTATCTTATCAGTTGAAAGGGCCAGTGTGTAACCTTTATGACACTAGGGTCTGGTCTACAGTTCAAGGAAGATAATCTCTGGGGGGATAATTAGTTTATGAGCAATTACCTGCCCCTAAGATTCTCTGGTCAGGAGATAATTATATGACACTTCAGTTCTACAATCAAACCCTACAGCCACTATGTCTGAACTTTCCCAGGTAGACCAGCGGGCTATATTAGGTAATCTGAATGTTATATAATATTAACAAAGCCTCATTGTTTTGTCTGGACTAACTTCTGAAAACACTGAGGTCGTTTCGTCACACTAACACAACTCCTATCACCATTTCTTGCTAATTTGTTTTTCTCAACATATCAGATGGTATATTAGATTCTGATTGCTTCACTTTACAGAACAGCATTTCTTTGTAACAATTTGAACTTCTATTTTATAAGGGATTTTAGAGATTTAGCAAATGAGGAACAGATGGTTAAAAACACTGGGCTCTATATGGGAGACCTGGGTTGTGGATTCTTTCTGTCATGGAGGGTGGGGGCAACAACAAAAATCCTAACTTGCACAGTCCATGGCAGTGTGGTCATAAATCCTAAATATATTTTCAGTCTATCCAGCATTTTGGTATTAGTTTTTGAATGATCTAGCACATAACTGACCAAGATCTGTTCAGAGTTATGAACTCCACCTGGCAAAGCACATCTTGATGATGATAGAGGATTACTCTACAAAGTAATGTAGGGAATATTAATTTGTGGATTACTCATTTCAGTTCAGTTGAAGAAATCTTTGCCACCCTGGAGGAGAACCAAGGGCTGTTGACCACCATGAAGACATCACGGTTTGTCAAAGCATTTGAGAAGGAGGTTGACTACTGGGAGCGAACAGTTTCTCATATTCTGGAGACCATTGAGATGCTGATGGTGATACAGAAACACTGGATGTACATGGAGGTAAATGTCTTAATCCATGTACATGGAGGTAAATGTCTTAATCCATGTACATGGAGGGAAATGTCTTTATCCATGTACATGGAGGTAAATGTCTTTATCCATGTACATGGAGGTAAATGTCTTTATCCATGTACATGGAGGTAAATGTCCTAATCCATGTACATGGAGGTAAATGTCTTAATCCATGTACATGGAGGTAAATGTCTTTATCCATGTACATGGAGGTAAATGTCTTTATCCATGGAGGTAAATGTCTTTATCCATGTACATGGAGGTAAATGTCTTTATCCATGTACATGGAGGTAAATTTCTTTATCCATGTACATGGAGGTAAATGTCTTTATCCATGTACATGGAGGTAAATGTCTTTATCCATGTACATGGAGGTAAATGTCTTTATCCATGTACATGGAGGTAAATGTCTTTATCCATGTACATGGAGGTAAATGTTTTTATCCATGTACATGGAGGTAAATGTCTTTATCCATGTATATGGAGGTAAATGTCCTAATCCATGTACATGGAGGTAAATGTCTTTATCCATGTACATGGAGGTAAATGTCTTTATCCATGTACATGCAGGTAAATGTCTTTATCCATGGAGGTAAATGTCTGTATCCATTTACATGGAGGTAAATGTCTGTATCCATGTACGTGGAGGTAAATGTCTGTATCCATGTACATGGAGGTAAATGTCTATATCCATGTACATGGAGGTAAATGTCTTTGTCCATGGAGGTAAATGTCTTTATACATGTCCATGGAGGTAAATGTCTGTATCCATTTACATGGAGGTAAATGTCTGTATCCATGTACGTGGAGGTAAATGTCTGTATCCATGTACATGGAGGTAAATGTCTATATCCATGTACATGGAGGTAAATGTCTTTATCCATGTACATGGAGGTAAATGTCTTTATCCATGTACATGGAGGTAAATGTCTTTATCCATGTACATGGAGGTAAATGTCTGTATCCAAGTACATGGAGGTAAATGTCTGTATCCAAGTACATTGTGGTAAATGTCTTTATCCATGTCCATGGATGTAAATGTCTTTGTCCATGGAGGTAAATGTCTTTATCCATGTACATGGAGAAAAATTTCTTAATCCATGTACATGGAGGTAAATGTCTGTATCCAAGTACATGGAAGTAAATGTCTTTATCCATGTCCATGGATGTAAATGTCTTTGTCCATGGAGGTAAATGTCTTTATCCATGTACATGGAGAAAAATGTCTTTATCCATGTACATGGAGGTAAATGTATTAATCCATGTACATGGAGATAAATGTCTTTATCCATGTCCATGGAGGTAAATGTCTGTATCCGTGTACTTGGAGGTAAATGTCTTTATCCATGTACATGGAGGTAAATGTCTTTATCTGTGTACTTGGAGGTAAATGTCTTTATCTGTGTACATGGAGGTAAATGTCTTTATCCATGTACATGGAGGTAAATGTCTTTATCCATGTGCATGGAGGTAAATGTCTTTATTTATGTACATGGAGGTAAATGTCTTTATCCATGTACTTGGAGGTAAATGTCTTTATCCATGTCCATGGAGGTAAATGTCTTATCCATGTACTTGGAGGTAAATGTCTTTATCCATGTACGTGGAGTTAAATGTTTTTATCCATGTACGTGGAGGTAAATGTCTTTATCCATTTATAAAAGTAACTTGGGTGTGCCCAGCTGCTACTGCAGGGCTTCTTTTTTTTTTTTTAATTTGAACTGTCAGTTTACAAAGTATTGTCCATAAATTAAAAAAAAAAAATGTAGTTAAGGATTTTCATTTACTGCTTTACTGAAATTCATATTTTTAATTTTAAGAAAAAAAAAGAATTGGCCCATCATTTGATTTCTGTTATGAAAGTACTATTTCTGTTGTTCCGGCTTTTAAAAGAAATTCCCTGAGGATTGTAAATTCCAATCGAAGTCTTTATTTCATGTTATCTCTTGCTGTACCTGTCCAACTGCAGACAATATGGACAGCTTTTTTTGCTCTTTCTTGATAAGATGAGAAATAGTTATGAATGCAATTCCAATGTGGTCAGTGTCATTTGCAAGGGGAGAGTGAGCCCAGGTTACCATAAATTGAATGTTGGTCATAGAAAGTTGAGGGTGTATATATATATTGTTGTACCCACTGAGGTAGCAGTGATCCACAGTGGATATATCCATCATATCCACTTAACCCTTTTGCACTGACAACCCCAAATCTAGACAGTTCCAGTTATGCCACATCCCTGTGGATGCCATGACATTAAATTCCATTTGTCCTATGTGCACCCGCGTAGCGTTTAATAACAATTTAGTAGCTAAATATAGCAGTTAGAGAGTTTTCCTTATCACCCCAATCGCTTTTTGAAAGCTTAATTGAGATTGCATTTACCCATAAGCCTCAATGATAAAGGTCACGGAGTTACAGCATGAGTCATCTGATACATTTTGTCTTCTTTTTCCTTCCCAGGGAATGTGTTCCATTTAACGTTCCACCCTGGTTGTCTTTATTGATTATCCCTTTGTCATATAGTAGCACACCACCCAGAGGAAAAGCAGCAGCTAATCAGTTGGCCAGCTTGTTACCTTGCATACCTTAATGTCCTGGGCAGAGAATCCATGATATGTTCTTGATCTTGGTCTTATCAAGTGATGCAAGCCACTTTATGTGCAGGGCACCAGTTTCAGTTTTTCCAAAGATGCTTTGTGAGTCTGTTACAGTTACAAAATGTTGGGCTATGCTGCTCTCAAGCCATCGGATAGCTGCTGTTACTGCCTCCATCTCCATTCTCATACTGGATGTAGTGATGTTATACACAAGACTTTGTTTTAAAGCAGTGTCCATTGCAATAAAACCCCTCCCACTCTTTCTACCTTTCACTACAGATCCATCGGTGTATATAACAATGTCTCTAAGAGTGAACTTTCGTTGATCAGCTCTTGCACTGATGCTTCTATTTTACCAGCTATCCATTCCCTGCACTCTCGGTGCAAGGTGACTATCACTCTTTGCAAGTCTGTTTTGCTGGGCCCATTCTTCACCCTGCACTATCTTGTCAGCGGCACAAACAGTTCTGATCATGACTTCTGCGTGTGTCATCTATGAGCAACCTCTTTTCAGCCATTGTCCCTTGCTTTCCCCTAAAAACCCCATGCAGAAGGTGTTTCCTGTACATTGTAAGTTTATGGTACATTTTTGCCTGTAAAACTATGTAACTCTCATATATGGAGATCAGTGCAAATATGTGCCACATGCACACAGTGGGCATGTCTCTTGCACATCACTAAATGACTTGCATGGCTTCATTTTGTATGCATTCCGGCTTCTCTGTTTGGGTAGGAGATAATGTTAGCAGTCCCAAACCATGCTCCATCACCTAAATAATCAGTTACTGGTAGAGGGTATAGAGCATTTTCTGTTCCATGTCCGCTGATACCATCTCCTTAAAGAATTGAGACCTTTCCCCATCTTTAAAACTTCTTTTAACATGGTATTTAAGAGACAGACTCCTGTCAAAAGTAATTCCTAGATATTTTAGTGAATTATCTCTCTTTATGTTACTGCCATTTATTGCAATGTCCAACAACACATCTCTAACAATTCCATTGTTCAAAGAACACCACAGTACTCCTGCCTTCTGGTAATCTGGTAATCTGGTAATCCTAGTTTCAGCTTCATAGCAAACGGGTCACCCCACACATGCTCCGCTCCTGTGCCAACGAAAAACAAACGCAGCTCACAGTGTCACGCCATGCACTCAACTCAGAAGCTGGGCGACGAAACTACATCCTTCCAGTCTACAAATGGAGCAAAAATGCAACGGCCACCGTCTGGAAAAATATTTGCCACGGCTTAAAAAAAAAAAAAAAAAAGTTGGCCGTACCTAGCGTCCATTTTGACCGGAAGAATTATATGAGGGTTAATAAACGGTCACCCCAGCAGTACCCTCATTATTAGCTGGGGAAGGGACTTAGGACATTACATCCACCAGCAGGCGTCGCCCCTACAACGACCTGCCTGCCCTCGTTAACGACTGTTCACCCAACAGCCATGCAGTTCTTTGGCACGAAGGAGACACCTTGAACTTGGGTTTCGTACTGCCGACTCCCTACTAAGATGTTATTTTATGTTCTGTTATCACAATTAATGTCACTGCACATTGGGCATACCCATGCGTGCTCAGTTCTCCGAAGCAGCAGCCACTCTAAAGTACTTCTACTAATTGTCCCCATGAGAAGCTGGTTATATTGTCTCCTTTCTCGGCCTCGAAGACGGCAAAGACGTGCATCACCATGCTTAACTCCCATGTCACGCAATCGTGTTAGTGTCAGGGATTCCTCATTCTCCACTAGCCCGGTTCGTACAGCGTTGACTATGTCTGCTCTGTCCATACTTTTTCCTGCAATCATTAGTGCAGTGCTTGCCAGTTGGTCCGCTCGCTCATTTCCCTTCACGCCCGCATGACCCGGTGTATAGATCCAGGTTACGGAGGTTAAGTGCGATTTCCTGATCACACACTCATGCCTTATCTGGGTTGATCACCAAGCAGGTTTCCTCACACGACTCACCAATCTTATCTACTGCGAACTGCAGTTCTCTAAATATTGATATTCTATTTCTCCCCCGTTTTTAGACTATGACACTAAACAAAAGTCAGTATTCTCTCCATCCCAGTTGTCTCTATTGCCGGTATCCTGCTTGTGTGTACATTGAAAAGCATGTGCTGTTGTTGCATATTGAAAACATTTTACTGGTCATCTCCTCCTGTGGATCACACATGGTGAATCTAAATGCACGGTACACTATTTATGCAGCACCAGAATTTTAGTCGGGTATGACTGAACTACCATGTAACAGTAGTGGGTACCACCTGTTCTCTATTAACGCCATATGTTGGGCAGTGTTCAATAATCTGACACTCAACTGCTGCTGATGGCTTTAGGCAGAGGCTTTAGGCAGAGGAGCCCATTAGAGAGGACTGGCCTTATCCTAATATGATGAAACTTGAAAACTTAATGTTATATCAGAGCAGACCACGCCCTTAGCCTTGGTTGGCAGCTGGTCTAGCAGGGAGTCTATGATATGTGGACAGACGGAACACTGCCCTTCTTTTTCTGCAGTCATGCTTTGTTCCAAAACTACTAGTGTTCCCCTTCCTTTGGGGTTAACAAAGCAGGTCAAGTGAGGAATCATGCTGCATGGGCAACAAATCGTCTGTACATTGCTGCCCAGGTTTTGTAATGTAGAGGCACATAATGGCACACCAGAAAGCTAACCAGTCTTTTGCCAGCTGTGCTGCATCATGAACTTGTACACCCAGGATGTTCTTGATATCCTGTACTCACCATCATAGTGGTCGACCCCTGCCTCTATTTTTCCAAACCATTATGTTAATAGGGCCGAGGTAATTTAGTTTCTGATAAACAATGCCCGGTTCTCTAGCGTAGTTGGCTAAACTGGATTGCGCGGAGACCAGGTGATGAACTCCTTGTGGTCCGGGTTTGCTCCCGGGGGTAGGCAGAAAAGCCACATTTCTCCCAGATTTGCGGTATTTACAATGGAATCAAGGCCGAAAGGTTGCGATATCCATAATACCGAGCCTAAGGGTTAACAACCTATGGCTTCTGGATACTAAAACAAACAAAACAAACTGATAAACAATACTGTCATGTAAGATTTTAAAAACACAGTGCCAACATCTTCATGTAAGTTATTATAAAGGGTTTACCTAAAATTTTTATGTGGGATATGAAGGGTTTACTGCTAACATTCACGAGGTGAGTTATAGATGGTTTGCAGCTAACATTTTTGTGATGTGATATAAAGGTTTTAACCCTACTAGACCGCTGGCCCGATTTTCCAGGAATTTCTTAACCTGACGCTATACCGCTGGCCCTAATTTTAGGCTATTTGCTTAGTACGGGAAAAAAGACGCGTTACAAACTAAAAATAACTAGCCAATCGTAATCAGATCTCGTGGATAGTCTTCTCAGATGTCCGCCCGCATGTGTTTGAATCTAATTAGTTTTTATACATGAAAAAATTCAAAAAATTCACAATAAAACAAGCTGCTGATGAACCAAGCACTTTGACAGGAAGTAAAGTAAACTAAGCTTTTCACAGCCCTACAGGTGATCGATACTTTGGTTTATTCAGACTCTGCGAAGTCATTATTTCATGAAGAATACGTTCACAGTTGAAGTGACACATTCAGCTCGAATAATGAGAATCTGGAAAATTATAAATCTAGAAATAGATCGGTTGTAAGTGAAGGGGGCGTGTCCCTCAAACAGCAACATCTGATACTCACTATGTGAAACAATCCTAATCCTCCTGAGTGAATTGGCACTTAAAGATTGAATGTTGGCGCTAGATAAAAGAAAAGCCTATTTTCTACAAAATCTCCAAGTTTCATCTTATTCTAGCCACTTGTTTGCATGTAACTAATATTTTTGTATATCATGTTGATTTTTTCGCGTTAATGCCAGGAGCTCAGGTATAGGGGACAGTTAGGTTCAGGGCCTCAAGTCTGGTAGGGTTAAGAGTTTACTGCTAACATTTTGTGTTCAGATATAAAGAAAATATTGTTAAATTTCTTATGGTCAGATATAAAGGGATTACTGCTACATTTATTGTGGTCAGATAAAAAGGGATTACTGCTAATATGTTTCTGGTCAGATATAAAGGGATTACTGACTAAATTGCTTGTGGTCATATATAAAGGGATTACTGCTACATTTATTGTGGTCAGATAAAAAGGGATTACTGCTAATATGTTTCTGGTCAGATATAAAGGGATTACTGCTAACAATTCTTGTGGTGAGATATAAAGGGTTTACTGCCTACAGTTTTGAGGTGAGATATAAAAGATTTACTGTTAACATTCTTTATATGACATATAAAGTGTCTACTATCATTCTTTATGTGAGATAAATGCCTTGGTGGTCCTGCATTCTGTATGTTAGAATATCTTCATTGGAGATGACATCAGAAGACAGCTGCCTGAGGAGACTGCACACTTTGATTCCATCAATGGAAATTGGAAGGAGATCATGAGCAGGCTGAATGGAGACAGGAATGCACTGCGAGGCACACACTATCCTGGTATGCTGTGCCTAAATTGTTTAAATGATTGTTTGAAGGTTTTGTGAATCTGTGTGGATTTGTTTGCAGTGTTAATTCACTTTTGTGGATAAAACAAAGAAATAAATTACTGGGGAACACTTCAACATGTTGAAGCAGCTTGCTTAGCCTAAGTAGTGTCCTCCTGCCTATGCATCTGCTTCTTTCATCTGATTACTGATTTAAGTATTGACATCATAGCATGCTGGGCATAACCACAGATTCTCCGTCGTCTGCATCTTATGGTGTAGTTGCTGGCTGTTTATGTAACACACTGGTTGTACACATCTTCCTCTCTTAGTCCTTTCTCGCTAGATCTACATATAATTCAAAATACCTGTGTTATTGCATCTAACTTAGTATCTTACACTGGCATTCGTTCATAAATGGTCTTTATAATGTCTCCCTTGTTCAATGTGTGTTTCTTGAATCAGCTTTTGTTTTTTTATTTCATGAGTGCTGTCTTTATGGTCTCAGTCTTAATAATGTAATCATCACCCAGCACTGCTTTCTCACACAACTCCAAAAGTGTCAACTTATCACTCTTACTGCATGCACCTGCAGGACATCATTAGTCAATTCAGGTATCTCAACCTCGGACTCCACTAAGCTGTCACAAACCATAATGACCTGATCAAGATGCCCCCGACTGTAGAAGCACTGAAAACGCACAGTTCTGACTGTCTTGTCACTTAAGTGCGTTTCCTGCAAGAATACAGTGTCACTGCTGTAGAGAAGCTTTTCAAAAACGGGTCGCATTTGATATAATCAGCAACAGTTCCAGTATAAAAATGAACATATTTTAGGGTCAGCCTGTTGCATTTTAAACATTTCCAGCCAGCACCAGCACACTTGCCGACCTTTGTTCTTTTCACCAGTTGTCTGACTGCCATGAATGAAATTCCACTACAGGACGCTGATGAAATGCCGATAAGGGGACTGGCCTCACGTGCGTAAATTCCGTAGCACGGTCCGAAACCCTGTTCCACTTCAACTCACATTAACACACATATCTGGTGGGAAAACACTGTTCATCTCAATGGACAAAAAAGTGTCCCGCCATCTTGTTTGTTTACACCGGAACTCTTATGTATAGCTTTTATTTAAATTTACCAGCATTAACTTTTTCAGTCATAGATGATTTCACAGCAGAAACCCAATCTGGCACAATAAGCACAGCATCAAAGTGTCGATGTATCACTTTCAAACACACAGCATACACTTGGCTGCATAATAGAATATTAAGTCATATTGCTTTAGCACAAACAGACCAAAAACTAGAACACCCATTGTGTTTAATTGATACACATGGGTAATAGCTAATGCTAATAACACGCCATGCGTTGGTTGAGGCAGAAAGAGTTTAAAAATGTTTTTTTACTTATGTCTTTTTTTTTTTTTTTTACCGACTGTAAGGCATCCTGCAGCACTTAACTGAGATGAATGAAGAATTAGAAACAATTCGGAGAAGTCTGGATTTATACCTAGAAACCAAGCGGAATGTATTTCCAAGGTTCTACTTCCTGTCCAATGATACTCTTTTGGAGATTCTGGGTCAGTCCCGGAACCCAGAAAGCATTCTGCCTTATCTGAAGCATTGCTTTGACAATATTAAATCACTGAAAATGGCAAAGGTAGGCTTACCTGTGATTTAGTGATGTGACAAGATATTGTTTTTCTTTCTGTTTCTATGTTTTTCCTTGTGTTTTGGTTTACATGAAGCTGCCATTTCTGCTGTATTTCAGCCTTGTCACCAATCTTATGTAAGTGTACGTACCACTGTGTAGTGAGTTTGTGGGTGTGAATCCTAACACTGCACACCCACGTGAGAAACTGGACTAATATGACTTGGGTTTATGTTAATACCAGACCAAGATATTCAGTTCACTCGCCTCCCTGTGGTACTTTATAACAAAATCAAGTGATTTTATCCAAGACAGTTTAGGTAAACAATTATGAACAAAGACACTTCAAGCTAAGCACACAATTTACCCAACTAAGATTTTATACAATGTGAATTTAGGTTTAGTGTAATCAGTGTGAATTAAAATAAGTGATTGGTATGCATTTGAGATTTTCAATAATCAGTCATCAAGCTTCACTAGGAAGGTCACAGGTAGTGAGCATACTTTGGATCTTTTCTCCAGGCTATGCCAGGGTAGTGAGTAATGAACAGGCAGACAGGTTGGCTGGATCTGCAATAGTGGGTGGTGAATTGATACACGACAAGGCAGATATGGTCAATACCCTTTGGAAACAAAGCAACATAATCAGTTGAGAAAGAAGATTATTATGGCTTGGAGAGAATGAGGCACATGGGTGTAACCAGAGGATTTTTCCGGCTCACTACACTCAGAGGAAAGGCAAGACGGATATATAACCAGATTGTGATCGGTACCATCAGAATTAAAACTCTGCGCTGGCTGCTGAAGATGGGGACGGAGCGCACATGTGAATGCCCTGAGTGCTGTGATGTCAATTCTTGACCCATCTCAACTCATCAGATGGTAATGATGTTAATGAGTTAGTCATTGAGTTTGATATTCATGTGAGAATGATGGTGTTAAGATAAACAAAATTCTTATGAACAAAATGATACATAACTTACATGAAGAAAGTAAACATCTAGACAGGCCTCAGTTTGAGAGTCTGCCACCTTTGTCTGCACAACAACTGCCAGATCATCCACTAGGAGTCTCAGCTGATAAATTAGGCTGTTTTGTGCATGGACCTTTGAGAACTGCAGAAGTAGGTAGGTAGGTAGGTACGTTGTACCCCACCAGGACATCACACAAGTGATAAACACCTGGTGACACAAAGTGCCACCATGTGGATGAGGATCACCCGTGGAGAGGTCTTGGAAACCTCGTTCAGCCGTTAGGCCATATTTAACTCTTTGAGTCCCAAGGAACGCATCATGCACTAATTTGTTACTACTTGGCGGCCCAAACAGCGCATGACATGTGACGGTTTTTAATTTACCACTTATCGGTAATTACACGCGAACCGCTCAATTTAAACTTCCTTTCCGGTTCTCAAATGTGTAGTGAACACACGTGGAGTGCATTCGTTTGGGTCTGGTGAGATTTTAACACATTTCTGAGGACTACATGAAATAAAAAAATCTCAGTGTTTTACTCTCAGGTTATCAGTCTCCTGGGTTAGCCTCTATCTAGTGCATCAGATTAAAACAATATTTAATTGTATGCAGGATAGGCTGTCTAAATAATCACCATGCACCACTGCTCATTTGAACTGATTTTCAAAACAATCTCACAACTACAATCTCACCACTTTTGGTTTAATCAAAGTTTGATGCGCCATTGCATTTGAGTATTATCATGAATATTCAATTATATAACTTTCATAAACCTATACTCTAAAAAAACACAATATAAGATCAATTAAGAGAGATTTGACAGTGCCATGTTGCAGTGGAGAAATGTTCACTAAGAACTACAATAAAGGAATAAAAGCACTTGAGCAGAAAGACAGTTTACTCTCCTAACAGAAAATATAGATTGACTTTGATTCTGTCTTACCTAAACTAGGCCCTTTGCCAAAAATATATGTCTTAGGATTAGGTCCAACAGTGATGACGTGCTGATAGCCTCCATCAGTTTTGGAGCCACAACAACTGACAGTACATGCACTACATCTGAAAAGACCTGGCCTGAAAGCAATAGGGCCTCTATGGAAATCATGGATTGACGACATTAAAGACATTCTACATTGGCACTGAATGACAATATTCTAATGCTACCCATCAAGCAATGGATCACAGACTGTTTCTGCCCCATGATGTTTAATGGTAACAATGGAGCCATCAACTGGAAAGAGAAGGCCTGTTACTGAGATGAATGTAGGTGGGTGATATATGCAGCAATGAACTCCAAGGCCTTGGAAGGGTGAGGAAGAACAAGAAGAAAGAGAGGAGGAGAAGGATATGGATATTAAAAGTCAGTTTGACTATTGTAATTTCCATAAGGATTACAACAGCAGTAACCAGACTGTTTCAAAGCAGTTGATGTTTTTTTTTCTTTTTCAGGCTGGACCACTACAGAAGTGGGAAGCTGCAGGCATGTTTGCCTCTGATGGAGAGTATGTGGAGTTTAACCACAGTGTGAATATGGAAGGGCAGGTTGAGGTGATTACTGATTTAGGAATATATATCACAGCACACCATTGATTCCAAAACTGTGTGCTGCGGCACCCCGGGGAGCTGTGACTTCTTCACAGAGGCGCCACAAAATATTGTAAAAGCTTTGTAATTATTTTAACCAAGACTCAAATAGTTATATTTTTACTTAGGTTTGGGCGCCGTGGAAAACTTTTTTTTGGAAAAAGGCGCCGCGACCAAGAAAAGTTTGGGAAACACTGCCATAGATGCTTCATCTGCAGCAGCAAATATTTTTGGGTGCAGGTGCTAATGACCAGCTGCTGTTGCAAATGAAGCATCCACAACCATTGGGCAGATGCACACTGGTTATAGAAAAAAGAAACAAAGTAATAAATCCTTTTCCCACACTTTGTTCATCAGGAATAAAGTGCTGGACCTATATTTGAATTGATCGATCGGCATCTGATGAGTGATGTTGTCACCATCACGTCCCACTGCTTGCACACATATCACAGTCTTCTGATTTATCCATTCTTTACATATCCACACTTAACTACAAATTCCACAACCATATACAAGATCTTTCAACCAGCACTATATTTCATCAGCATGTGTTCATTTGTGTTGTGCTTAGTGCTCCATTGATAAAGACTGGTCAAAACGTTCAGTTGTATTTGTGCGCAACTTCTCCATTCCCTCTGCTAAGCTTTCTGGTCATATTTTGGTTTGTATTTGGCACTTTGTGTTCATATCTAGTCTCCAGAATGCCTTATCAGTTATGAGTGTCCCTACTGCTGTCAGTTTTGTAGGTAAAGAATCTGCTCTAATTTACTCTGAATTTGAAATAAATGTTTTCCAATGTTTTGTATCTTCTTATTTTTTGCATTCACGAGCTGTAAACTCTGGCAGAAAGTTCTGGCTGTTCGTCCACTTCTGGACCGCAGTCTTGTTCCAGAACTTGAGTGTTGTGTGTGCATCCATTTTACAGATCTGACTCATTTGTATGCAGACTGCTGGTTCCTTGCCTCTCAGGCAGAGGCACTCTGGAGAAAGCTCCAAATTAGTCGACTCTTACGACATGCTTTCGGGTCAGCAGTGGGTCTATTCTTGTTTTCCCTATAACAGGGCCCCGGAACCCATACAGGGATGATGTTTTGTATAATTCTGTATAATGCATCAAGGAAGAGGGGCACACTTTCACCTTGATTACTGGTTATTGAAACTTTGCTTGTAAAAGAACTGAAAAAGACCGATTGTTTAACGGAAGGCGCTTTAGTAACAATTGAGTTAGCATGGGTTAATATATATGCACACATATAATGTGTATCAAACTGATATTCAAACATAAGTATAACTGCCAAGAAACAGATTATGCACAGCATATTCATTACCAACACTGTGCTGCTGATGCAAGACATGGACATTATCAAAGGCTAACTAAATAGTATATGTCAGATAAGATGCATGAGAAAAGCCATCAGCTTAAGCAGCCAAGACAGAGGAAAAAATGATACTATCAGATAGACTGTGGAAGCAAAACCTTGAAACAAATTAATTAAGAAGCAGAAGATCAAAATGGTCATCTCATTAGAATGCAGCTACAACTACCAGTACAGGTACTACATCTAAAAGGATCTGGCCTGAAAGCAAAAGGGCACCTATGGAAATTAAATGTATTGATGGCATTAAAGACATTCTGCATTGACACAGTTTGACAGTATTTCAGCACTACCTATCAAGCAATGAAGTGCAAACTGTTTATCCCAAATGATGTGCAATGGTAAAAGTGTAAATTAATGGTGATGATAATGATGGATTAATATAACAGGAAAATCAGAAGCTCAGAAGTGCATACCATGTATAGAGAGTTAGCAGCCGCTGATGAACATTTCAGGGCATAAAGATGAATGTACAAAGATGTGAGCTGTCACCTGATTTGTTGTCATTTTACTGTGAATATATTATAAGATCTGTAATGAAAATGCCAGGCATTGTGGTTGGGGTTATAATATAAACTATATTATGCTGAGGACAATGTCGTGATAGCGACAAGTCATAAAGAATTAGATGAAATTTTTTATAGGCTTGTAGTACAAAGTGAATGAATTGACCTCAGCTTGAAGATGCTAGTATTGATAATATAAGTGAAAAGAATTGTGCCTAAAAGTATAATAAAAGTCAGTTGCATTTTGGGAGAAGTACACAAATTTAAGCATCTAGAACATGAGTAAAATCAGATGAAAGATGTAGCACAGAGATTAAGACAAGAATAGGACAGGCTAAAACTGTATTTATGAACGTCATATGCAGTAAATCTATTTCATAGGTTACAAAAATAATTTTTGCATGCTACATAGTGTCAAATTTCACATTTGGCCTGGAATCCAGGACAGTTAGTAAACAAGCCAATTTCTTGAGGCCTCAGACTTGTGCTTTACAGAGGAGGAATGCATACAGTTACCTGGACAACCTAAATAAGTGATCCACAACTTTTCCAAGAGGTGAGGGCCCCAAGACAACTTATCACAAAGTAAAAGTCATTTTTAATTTTGGGGTTTTGAGGGGGGGGGGGGGGCATGTTATGAGAAGAGGGAGACTGAGATCATACTCTAGAAAGCCCAGAGAAGAGGGAGACTGAGATCACACTCTAGAAAGCCCAGAGAAGAAGGAGACTGAGATCATACTCTAGAAAGCCCAGAGAAGAGGGAGACTAAGATCATACTCTAGAAAGCCCAGAGAAGAGGGAGACTGAGATCATACTCTAGAAAGCCCAGAGAAGAGGGAGACTGAGATCACACTCTAGAAAGCCCAGAGAAGAGGGAGACTGAGATCACACTCTAGAAAGCCCAGAGAAGAGGGAGACTGAGATCATACTATAGAAAGCCCAGAGAAGAGGGAGACTGAGATCACACTCTAGAAAGCCCAGAGAAGAAGGAGACTGAGATCATACTCTAGAAAGCCCAGAGAAGAGGGAGACTAAGATCATACTCTAGAAAGCCCAGAGAAGAGGGAGACTGAGATCATACTCTAGAAAGCCCAGAGAAGAGGGAGACTGAGATCACACTCTAGAAAGCCCAGAGAAGAGGGAGACTGAGATCACACTCTAGAAAGCCCAGAGAAGAGGGAGACTGAGATCATACTATAGAAAGCCCAGAGAAGAGGGAGACTGAGATCATACTCTAGAAAGCCCAGAGAAGAGGGAGACTGAGATCATACTCTAGAAAGTCCAGAGAAGAGGGAGACTGAGATCATACTCTAGAAAGCCCAGAGAAGAGGAAAACTGGGATCATACTCTAGAAACTCCAGAGAATAGGGAGACTGGGATCATACTCTAGAAAGTCCAGAGAAGAGGGAGACTGGGATCACACTCTAGAAAGTCCAGAGAAGAGGGAGACTGGGAACATACTCTAGAAAGTCCAGAGAAGAGGGAGACTGGGAACATACTCTAGAAAGTCCAGAGAAGAGGGAGGCTGGGAACATACTCTAGAAAGTCCAGAGAAGAGGGAGACTGGGAACATACTCTAGAAAGTCCAGAGAGGAGGGAGACTGGGAACATACTCTAGAAAGTCCAGAGAAGAGGGAGACTGGGAACATACTCTAGAAAATCCAGAGAAGAGGGAGACTGGGAACATACTCTAGAAAGTCCAGAGAAGAGGGAGACTGGAAACATACTTTAGAAAGTCCAGAGAAGAAGGAGACTGGAAACATACTTTAGAAAGTCCAGAGAAGAGGGAAACTGGGAACATACTCTAGAAAGTCCAGAGAAGAGGGAGACTGGGAACATACTCTAGAAAGTCCAGAGAAGAGGGAGACTGGGAACATACTCTAGAAAGTCCAGAGAAGAGGGAGACTGGGAACACACTCTAGAAAGTCCAGAGAAGAGGGAGACTGGGAACATACTCTAGAAAGTCCAGAGAAGAGGAAAACTGGGATTACACTCTAGAAAGTCCAGAGAAGAGGGAGACTGGGAACATACTCTAGAAAGTCGAGAGAAGAGGGAGACTGGGAACATACTCTAGAAAGTCCAGAGAAGAGGGAGACTGGGAACATACTCTAGAAAGTCCAGAGAAGAGGGAGACTGGAAACATACTCTAGAAAGTCCAGAGAAAAAGAAGACTGGAAACATACTCTAGAAAGTCCAGAGAAGAGGGTTCGTGATAAGTACCGATTAGACTAACATTTTTCTAGACCAGCTGGGTTATGGGTCAACATCGTGTTGGCCGATGTTGGGTAAGAGCAGCTAGTAAATGCACAGTAAAGTGCTTGGTCCCGACAGAGATAAGATAAAGATATTGTGATCCATGCTGAAGTTCTAGTGATAATGCAAAAAGTTTAAAGCCCTTTTTCAGCACCTTTATTGGATGACGAGGTGAAGCATTACCTACAGTGGTGCACCAGAACAGGGCTCTGACTCATCTAGACCCATCTACACCTCTCTGTGTGGTCATCCTAGAAACAGTTTTACTCCTTGAAGTCTGCCCAATGGAGGCAGGATATGTTTTTTTTCTTCTAAGAGCGCATCTGCAAGCGTGAGAAGGAACAAAAAGAAACCTGATTAGAAAAACAGATTTGCATGCAACATTCAAGTGGTGGAACAAGACCAAAGTCTATTTAGGACTTTCCACCAGAGTCCACAGCCACTGAGCACAGAGGAAGAAATGCCCTTCTTAAGTTACTTTTAAAAAGGGGAGGGTTGTGTTACTTTTTTAATCCTGGGATTAAGGGGCCACATGGCTGATGAACTCGCCACACAGTGTGGGGCTAGGAATTTATGTTTGGCAAGGTTGCAGACCCATATTTCTAATTGGACTAATGCTGTTTTTCTGCTGTGTGTATGTAGGTGTACTTGGGTGATGTTGAAAGAATGATGAGGGTGACGCTCAAGGAAAGTTTACGTCACTGCAGGGCAGCCTTGAAGAAAAGCATGAATAAGAGAGACAAGTGGATCAAAGACTGGCCTGGCCAGGTATGTTCAGGCATGATAATATGTTACTGTAACATTTTGTCCCGTACCGGCTAGAATCCAGGGGGCCACCATGGTGTAGCTGCTAGACGCTTGTTCTGTGCATCCAAAGGGTTCAAATCTGCATGGAGCCAATTTTCTTTTAAACATGACTTTGGCTCCTAGATTGACCCAGCCTTAAATAAGTAGCAGGTGAAGTTTAAGAAGTAAAGGTGGCCAGTGTGATGTTGATGAAATCACCCATCTAGGGCCGGTTGGTCCTTAAAAATATGGGTCCAGCCTCATATGCCCAAAGCACCACTGGCGTGTAAAAAGGACCTTTTTACAAGAACTGAAGTGATCATCCAGGCTGTGCCAAGTATGTTTTATGTTTGGAATGTGGTACTGGCCATATGAGCCTGACACATATCAGTTTCATTTTTGTGCCAGGGCACACAGGCATGCAAGGAAATGAGCAGGCTGATCGGCTTGCAGGTAAAGCTGCTGGGGAGGGCAGACGAGCCAAGGACAATGCTGATATTGTGAGAATGAAGTGAATCTGCAGCAATGACCAGACTGCAAGAACAACATGTTAAAAGAGGTGTGGCCAGAGAAGAGCACAATGCAGGAAGCCAACGAGGAATGAAAAAAGAAAAAACAGAACTGGTGTCATGAGCTGCTACACGCTTCAGGATTTACTTAGGAGCCGATCCAAGCACTTATGGACTGAATGGTTCGATGTGCAGTGAGAATAGTCTGTCGACTAACAAACTAGTTAAGTGGCCATAAATTATTGTTTGGTGCATTATGAATAATGCAATCATCAACTCTTTCAGTCCCATGTAGTTGTTACTTTAATTTGTTCTAACCAAAACAGTTGTTATTTGACATTAATAAATTTTGGGTCTAAAAGTATTTTAATAGTTACTAAAAGTCAGTAGAGTTGGAGTGACTGAAACAAATGGGAGTCAGGCACATCACCATGAAGAATACACCGGGGAGGGTTGAAGGATGTTTGGGGGAGGGGTGGTGGAGGAGGATGCTCAGCCCTAATCATTTTCTAGGGAGGAAAGGTTGAGAACAAGGGGCTTAAGCCTTGTTTAGTTGTGCATCAGTAATAAGAGCAGGCATCATCAGTTGTTGTATTTATGTGGAGCTTTTGAAGTGAAGAGCAGAGCACCTATGGATCTGACCAGAATGCTGTGATAATAATCCTCACAAATCAGTAATCACTAACTCCATTGGAATGGGTTTCAAATGAACGCTGCTTGTATGTGTCGGCATCTATGGCTTAGGCGTTGCGAATGCACTTTGTAATGCGGGGTGGCCAGGTTCGATCCCAATTGCGGGCCTTGCGTTGGTTTCGACAATGGTACCGTTCAGGTAGCAGTGGCAAGCTACTGGACATAAATTTCCATAGAAAAATCACAGCAGCCAAAAAATCCTCAGGTTGGTTCTGCAAACATCCTGTAAAGGATACGCAGCTAACTTCATATATATTAGGGATCTCCATTGTGAAATGGTCAAGTACGTCACACTGTCATGAGATTCTTGGGGATAATTTGGGTGAGCTTTGTGCAGTGTCCTCAGCTGGCAGCTTGCCTTCTTCCTTTTCTTCACATTCACCAGCTGTAAACTCTAACAGAAAGTTCTTGTTGTCCGTCGATCTCTGGACTTTATCTTGTTCCAGACCCTGAGTGTTGTATGCATATCCATTTTACAGATCTGGCTTATTTGATGCAGACTGTTGGTTCCTTGACTCTCAGGCAGTTACACTCTCACTTTGAATAAAGCCCCATGCCCACCTCCCCCCCCCCCCCTCACAATTAGTTGACTCTTATGACATGCTTATTAGGAGGCAGTGGGACTGTACTTAGTTTCCCCACATGGAGCCTCAGAGTCCACACTGGTAGTCTGCTTGCCTTTGTGCAGAGAGGTGGAGCTCTATGGCATAAAAACCCAGTGCAGTGAAGTTGATTCCTTTGACTTTAGCTTTAACTTAATAATATATTTGTGTGACCTAGATGTTTTGAGAGAAGCAAGGGCCTAAAGACATAACAACACAAATATCAGAAGGGAAAAAATTATGTTCTGGCCAAGTTGAGAAGAAGAAGACAAGAGACCATATTATGACCACTGAAAAGATTTGATAGGAAAAAAAAAAGGTAAAGGAAGACCATGTGAGAAGATTTTTGACATTCTTTTGTCATAGCATGGAAGGGTGTCAGTATACATACTGACACCTGCTGTCGAAGATCGCAGGTTGTGGAAGGGCATGATTGCCCGCGTCAGTCTGCAAGGCACTTGATGATGCTGATGATGATATAATTACGGATCTTTTTGCTTTACTTTGAGTGGAATTTGCCAGTACATTTCAGTCAGTGTAATTTTGTATAACGAGTGTTGTTTCTCTTTTGTCTAGATGTGTGTCATAGCCAGTCAGATTCAGTGGACGCAGGATGTAATGAAGGCCTTGGGTTTGGTCAGTGAAAGGGGTGACATTAAAGCCTTGAAAAATTGCAAGAAAAAACAGGTGTGTTGAACTCAAAACAATGAATGTTGAGGAAATTCATTGGGTGTCGTCAGGGATTAGCTGATATAAACACACGCCCAAAAAATAAGGGGGGGGGGGAAGAGGGAGGAGGAGAGAGAGAGGTGTTTGTTTGTTTATTGGCACCTTTCCATGTTTCCTAACAATAGTATTATATTGTGTATATGGAGGTACTGCGGGTCTCAGTCCAAAGAAAGGTGAATATGATTAATACTATTAGCTTGCTTAAAGTTAAAGGGTAATGTCAAGAGGATCGATTTCATTGCACCAGGTGTTATCCCATTTGGCTCGGTGTCTCTCTGCAAAATGGCTAGTCACCTGCCAAAAATGCCACACCAAACACAAACTTTGTAGCCACCAGTAACGATCCCCAGGGATGTCTGTAAAAATTGTACTTGTGAACTGAACTGTGCAGCCATGAAATGAACCCATGACCTTCATCCTAATCCCTTCATATTCTCCCTTTCTTACAGCAAGATCTTTAGCATTTTGTTGCCCTGAATTCACCTCTGTATGTGCATCATTCATGTCCCACTTGCACACATTTTTGTATTGTAGAGGAGATTCTAATATGTTTGTGTGTACACACACACACCAATGCACACACAGGGAAGGCTGCATGGTCTCGAGGCATAGTGTCCGCCTCGAGTGCTAGAGGTTCCGGGTTCAATCCCCGGTAAGGGCTGGGATTTTCTTCATGTGGACTTGGACTTATGGTAATTCCCCTGGTCTCTGGGTAGTGAGATTGGTCGCCCGTGTGCATTGTTGCACACGTAAAAAATCCCTTTGCAGTTGGAATTTGAAAAGAGTAGCCTAACGGCACTGCCCAAGCAAAATTTGGAGTTTAAAATCTACCTAAAATATTTTAGGATCCTCGCCGGTGCTACAGAGCCTGTGCACTGTGCTGAGCTTCTTCAGAATCAGACTTGAGTTAGAAGAAGAACAGAGCACTTATGGGTTACTACCCATGTGCCATGATGTTGATGCATTGTTCAAACCTCAAACCAATGCACACACATATGCCCACGTGTGCAGTATCTGGTTGCTCATAAAATATGCTACCTAACATATTCAAAAATTAACATTTCACTGATCATGCTGTTATGATGCTATAATATTTTACCATGATTTAATTTATGTGAAGATTGTCTGTTTCTCTTTTGTCGTCTGCCTCTTGTTGCTGCATATATCTACTTCTCTTTCATTCATCTCTCTTGTTTCTCTCTGCTTGTCTTTGTCTTTCACTCTCCCTGTGGGCTCAGATCCAAAACTTTTAAGTCTGCAATCAATCACCTGACACTACTCTACATAGGCAGCTACTTCTTAGAAAAGAATGAGTTAAAAGTAACCCCTCTTAATACTGAACGAGCTCAAATTGATTTTGTCCCCAGAGATTAATGCTAAACAAGCTGTCAGAAACAATTCGAACCCAGCTGTCAAAACTGATGCGTCTGAAGATTGTAACCTTGGTGACTATAGAAGTCCATGCTCGGGATGTCATCGAGAAGTTGCTGAAAGCTAATGTCAGTGACGTAAATTCCTTTGATTGGCTTTCACAGCTGAGATATTACTGGGAGAAGGTATATTTAATATGACAGGTTCAGATAATAATCAGAGAAAGTACACTTAAATTGACTGGTTGAAATAATGGTAAAAGAAAGAATCATTTTTTTTTTCTGAATTCATTCCAGAAAAATATGGGTTTTACAAAACTTGGTCTCAAGCCTAGCTGTAAACCACAATGCTCAACTACATTTTTAATTTTGGATGTAGAAGAATAATTTAATTCTTCGAGTCCCAAGGAACGCATCATACATCCGAGGTTCCTACCTAGAAGCCCAATGAATGCAAGTTGCGCTGATTTTATCACTCTCTGTACTACCCTCTGGGCCTGTGATGCTAAACCCCCTGGGACTCCAAGAATTAATACTCTGTGAGAGTGTAAAGTCATTGTGTTTGTTTTCTGTGCTTATACTGCTAGAATTAGTATGACAAACTTTTCAAGCACTGATGGCCACTTACAGAAGTATGTGAAACGAATAGGGCTTGATGCACTTATCGTCAGTCAGCAGGTTATTGACAGAATGCTGCTCTCCTCATGGCACGCCTGAATGTCTTTTCGCAACCTTTTGGTTTTCAAAGCCAGTGCATGGTCATTGTCTTGTATCCACCATTGTGGAGCTCGGCCTCTGTCTGTTTTTACAGAAATTTGTGCCATCCATCATCTTTATCTGCCCACCCCACTATGGCATTCAAGAATGATAAAATAGGATACACTAGATGACAACAAAAAAAAACGTTTAGTCAACAGTTAAATTTGAGAAGATCAATTTCATTACACCAGGCATTATCCCATGTACAAAGGGAAGTCAATAAGTCAGTCACAAATGTTGATTTAAAAAAATAAAAAAATACAGCAACTAACAAACAACTTGAAAACCTTTATTTTTACTCCTACACTCTCGCTTTATTTTTAAACATAATTTCCACCAAAATTGATAAATCTGTCACATTGTTTTATCAGCCTTTTCAAACCTGTTGCATAGAGCTGCATGCTTTGTTTTCTAAACCGCATTTTCACTTCACATTCAACTGCTGTATCATTTGCCAAATGTCTCCTGCCAAGTTGGGTTTACAGTGGAACAAAAAGGTGGAAATTTATAGGGGTTAAGTCAGGGCTGTAGATGGATGTTCCAGAAGTTCTCATTCTAGATGGTTAATTTTCTCCTGAGTTAACCGAGCCGCATGTGGTCTGGCATTGTCATGAAGGAGCAGTACTCCTCTAGTCAGCAGGCCTGGACATTTTCTTTGAATTGCATCATGAAGCCTCAATAGAACTTTACAGTATGAATCAGCATTCACGTTGTCACCCCTAGGTGGGGGGAGGGGTTACAAGCACTCCTTGACAGTCCCAGAACACTGTCAGTATAACCTTCCCTGCTGATGGCGTAATCGTGAATTTTTTAACACAAGCGAAGAAGGATGTTTCCATTGCATTGAAGCATGCTTTGATTCGGGCTGGTAGTGACGCACCCATGATTCGTCCCCATTAATAATTCTGTTTAGCATATATTCTCTTTCATCTGCATATTGACAAAGATTCTAAAAGGACAGGCCTTATTGGTTCAATTTATGTTTGTTCTTCAATTGTCTGAGTATCCGCCTTGAGCACAATTTCTTAAATTTCGGTCGATCATGCATTATGTTGTATGCTGAACCATGTGAGCACCCTATTGCAGCTGCACTTCACTCTTTTACTTTTGGCTTAAAATATGCACATGTCCTCTTCATTCTAGGTGGTTTAAAAATTAGGAGCAGGGTATCGTCATTCTCCTAGGACATTTGAAATTACCGAAGTATTTTATAGACGGCCACTTGTATCAACAATTATAAGACATAGACGGTGGTGCTATATAAGACACATCCTGATAAGAAATGTGCAGAGAAATTACTCAACAGGCAATTCTTCTGCTACTTTTCTCTACCCCTGGAATGCCTCATGGCGTTAGTGCAGGAAGAGACCTCTGGAACGGGCCCTTCTGTTTGCTTCATATGAAGTGCTTTTCAGTATCTCTGATATTTCTGTGGTCCATCTGATGCGTGGTCGACCCCTGGATCTGTTGTCGCTGTATTGGTTCGTGAGATCTTTTCATTTTCTGCAAGACATAAAGTCAGCCACTGACGGTTTGCTGGACCAGTCACAATGTTTTCACATTTCCTAGAAAGTCACACTTGAACTAGACTATCACATTCAGACTAGTTCCACATTAGGATGTCTGAAACTGACCCTGGTCAGATGCTGGCCGAAAAATGAAACATCCCCTCACCTGGCCATCTGAACTGAAATGGGAAATAGAGGAACTGCGGATACAGGACGTAAGAAAAACCCTGAAGTGAAGAACATTGATGCCAGAGGGGTGTGGGACTGGATTTCTTTCATGTTATGGAAGATATTGCACAGAATACATAGAATGGAATAGGGTGGGGATCGGGAGAAACTGATCCCTATGTAACATATAATGACAGAAGGGGAAAATGATTGAATGAATGAACCAGTGAAAACAGTATGGTATCAGTACTCATGTAGTGTTTGTATCGCTTCAGGAGTATGATGACTGCATCATTCGGCAGACAACTGCGTACTTTGTGTACAGTTATGAGTATCTGGGTAACTCGGGCCGCTTGGTCATTACACCGTTGACTGACAGGTGCCAATTGACCATCTCTACAGCCCTCAACCTCTGTAAAGGGGGATGTCTTAAAGGTAAGAATTTCATCTGGTTCGTTATTTCAGGACAAGAATTATGAGCCCCACAGTAACCAAACTGTCAGTTACTGCCAGTACTTACCACTTTTGCAGCGTATGCAGAGGGGTCAGAGTTTAGGGCCACATGTGCAGCCCCTCGGACTCTCCAGGTTAGGATTTTATTTTTGCCTCAGACCGAGAGAAAAAAAATCCATGACTATACCAAGAATTGGAACCTGGGTCAACTGCATGAGAACCTGGCATTCTTAATCATTTGTAGAACAGTGGCTTTAATGCTAGCCCAAAGGTCTTGAGTTAGAGTTTGGACTAGGTGGGCTTTTTTTTTCTCCCAGGTTCACCATTGTGCTTGTGTAGCCTGTGTGTGCAGACTACAGAACATGTCCTGCAAGAAGATCCCTTTTACAGCCAATTAAGAAGGGAATACTGGCTTAGTGAGTCAACTGAGTCAACACTGCACTCAGAGTTGTGTGGAGCTAAAAGAGAACTCCTAAAAACAGTCAAGTTTGTCTGTCGGTGTAAACCAGAAAGTGAACGCTAAAAAAAGAAGAAGAAACTCTCAGGTCTACCCCTGGTCTAAAATTGGTAGCCGGAAATGTCATTGGAAAAACACAATGGCTGGCATGATGTTGATCACATTACCCAGTGAGTACCACTTTGTCTATGAAAATCTCTAGCACCATTTACCCGATGTGCCAATAGCATGAAAAGAGACCTTTACTACTTACTAGTTTACATGTATTATATTGAGAGCTGTTGGATGTATTAAGGAAGTTAAATGTTGAATAGCTCAAGCACAGGCAGCATTTTACAATATGAAGAATATTTTATGCAGTCTTTCTTTGTCAGTTAAGACAAGAAAGAGGATTCTTAAAAGATATATAAGTCCTATTCTGATATACGGAAGTGAATCATGGACAGTTGTTAAATTAGTGAAAACTTATTTGGAAACTGCGGAGATGTTGTTGTATAGATGAATTATGAGAATACCCTGAACAGGTAAAAAGAATAATGAAGACGTCTTGAAAGAAACCGACTCACAAAGAGAACTGATTGCCCACATCAGAGAGAGACAATCTATGTTCTTTGGTCATGTGATAAAAAAGATAAAACTGGAGTACATCAATCAGTAGGAATGTTGGAGGGAAGGAGAGGCACAGGAAGACGGAGAGAATGGATGCTTGACAGTTTGACATTGAGGCATGGAGGATGATCTGTGTCAGAGACGATTGATTGAAAGTACACAAGACAAAAAGGTTATGGATAGATGCCACAATGCCACACCTCGTGGACATTAAAAAGAAAAAGATATTAAGAGCAGTATGATGTATAAAAGTCTCAGTGTTTATAACAATATAAATGACAACTTTGTTAGCCCAACAACCCAAGAATTCATATTTTTGTTGTTGTTGTTGTTTTTTTTTTTTTTGGTGTGTCAGTGGGGGACTAATACATACATATTAACACTTATCCATCCCTCCTGGGGCCAGACTTTTGTTCATGTAAACTGGGTGTTTGTCTTAACTCTTTAAATCTTTCAGTCCCAAGCGTTTGTTACTTTAACGCCTTCTGTCCCAAGGAGTTGGTCTTATGAGCAGTAAATACTTTAGGCTGTAGAATTATAACAGAGACATTTTGGGACAGAAGTAGTTTAACTAATAATTCATAAATAAATAAAGGGTTAATATAACACTGATCTGTAATACAAGATAGCTAGAGGTTATATTATCTTTGGAATAGCCAAGAAATGTATGGTGCATTGGTTGTTTGATAATGAAACAGTTGAGTCCATTATCACGAACTACTACAAAGCAGTCGGTCCCAAAGTCTGTGTACACTAGACTACAAATCTTTGAGTGATTATGGGTTAACACAGTACAGTTATGGAACAGAACTAGTTTAACTCTTTGAGTCCCAAGGAACACATCATACATTCATAGGTTCCTACCTAAAAGCCCAATGAACGCATGATGAGCCAATTTTATGACTCTATTTACTACCCCCTGGGCCTGTGATGCTAAACCCCCTGGTAAGTAACAGCTGGGACCTAATGTTTCAAAGTAATAAAAGAATATCACAAAATTACCCTGTAAAATAGAGTAATCAGTGAAGTGGATTACATTGTTTGGTACTGAAGGGGTTCAGCGATTTTCTATTTACTCTTTCAATCCCAACGGAATTCATCATACATTTATGTTTTCCTACCTAGGAGCTCAATGAAGGCACGATGCACAGATTTACATCTCTCTTTACTACCTCTTGGGCCTCTGATGATGTACCTCCTGGAAATTATTCCATTTAACTGTAACTAAACAAGTTAACAAAAGGGAGAAATAGAACAACTAGCACAAAACAGACTAATCAACAGGGTCTTTCTCGACATGAACTAAATATACAATACATCCCTGGAACTGAAAGATTTAATGAGGTTTTACAGTATGTTTTTTTTTTTAACTATTATCATTGGGAATGATAAGAACAAGTGGGAAAAAAAATACCCCTCAGTGTCATGATTCTAAATGTGATGTAAATATCTCCATTTCTTCTTCTTCTGCCTTCTATAGTATAGGCCCTCAAACAACTCAAGCCAAGTTGTTCTATCCTTTGCTATTGCTTGCAACTCTTCCCATACCCTTCTCATCTTTTTTTTAACTTCACCTGCTAGCTCCCTTCTCCATGTGTGTGTGCTTTTTTTTATCCGTCTTTATTTCTTTAAAAAATAAATTTATTTTAGATGTCTTCATATGGGCTGTGACAAATATGTGGTCTGACAAGAAAGATGACTACATTCTTCAGACTTTGAATCATAACAAAACAATAGGTACCTGATACTGAATAGCTGGTACTCTGGTAGCAGGTACTCTGGTAGCATAAGTACATGGTTCAGATAAATGTCATTGGGAGGCCCATGACCCCAGAATGCTAGCTAGTGTGGCTTGTGAGCTTTTAGGGCAACTGGGTGTTGGATCTAAGAATCATTGTGCTGGCACACCATCTGTAAAACAGCTGGTCCTAAGTTTGCTTCTGTTTCTCTGTCCCTTCCTGAGTTTGTATCTTTTCTAGCTAGGTGTATTATTGGTTCTGTTGTCCATAGTTATCTATGCAAATAATGCAACAAACCATTCAGTGTGTGTATGTATGTATATATATATATACGACGTCCGGCCTTAGGTGTTGCAAGTCCAACTTGTAATTCCAACGTACCACAATAAAAACCCACTGCTGGCTGCGTGGATTTTTTTCATGGTATGGGGCATCACTGGTCCACCCAGCCTTAAATTGGTACCCGGGTGTGTGTTCTGGGGAAGTAAAGACAGCCGCTGTAATGCTAACCACATTACCCACATCTGTAAAAATATGGGTGCTCCTTCCATATGCCCGATACGCCTAAAGGCGTGAAAAAGGATCTTTACTTTTTACTTTATATATATATATATATATATATATATATATATATATATATATATATATATATATATATATATATATATATATATATATATATATAGTGAATACCTCAAGTGCTGTAATGTCGGTTCTTCAATCAAATCAAAATGAAATCAGATCAAAATTCTGAACCAGAAATGTGTGAATTAAATCTGAGATGTATTTCGTTTAGGTATATTAGAGAGTTAAATCCAAAATCTGATTGTTTATTCTAAATCTAGCTTGTGCATGTAAATTTAAACTGTTTGTCATCTATTTTAGGTCCAGCTTGTGCATGTAAATTTAAACTGTTTGTCATCTCTATTTTAGGTCCAGCTAGTACTTGCAAAACAGAGACAGTCAAAGACTTTGGTGCATGTAAATTTAAACTGTTTGTCATCTATTTTAAGTCCAGCTTGTGCATGTAAATTTAAACTGTTTGTCATCTATTCTAGATCCAGCTTGTGCATGTAAATTTAAACTGTTTGTCATCTATTTTAGGTCCAGCTAGTACTGGCAAAACAGAGACAGTCAAAGACTTTGGTAAAGCCTTGGGCTTACTTGTGCTTGTTGTAAACTGTTCTGAAGGTCTGGACTATAGATCTACGGGCAGGCTATTTGCTGGCTTGTCCCAGGTGAGAGACCTAGAACACAGGTAGAGGAAATTGTTACCTAATACCAGTGTCATCACCTTTTAATCTATGTCTATGTGTGCTTTATCTACTTCAGTAGATGTAGAAGAAAATGAATACTTACAGTTCTAGTAAGTTTAGCAAAGGACCATTTTTGTGTCAGTGACACACCAGGCTTTCTCTTGATTTTTCTGACAGTAATTGGGAGGGTTGGGACAATCAAATCTTGTCTGTGAGTGAAGTGATAGTGAAGAATCCTTTTCACATCTTTAGGCGCATTGGGCATATGGGACGAGTGCCCATATTCTTACAGACCATCGGCACTAGATGGGTAATGTGGTCAGCATTACGCCGGCCGTCTTTACTTCCCCAGGATGACGCAATCCTGTCTGTAGAGCACCATAAATTTGCAGCAGTTTCTGGGTTTTTTGCAGCACTTGTCTCGCTGCTCCAACTCTAGCTACTTTGTTTACCTTTGCCTGTAGCTCATTTTGCTGTTTTTTAACTGTCACTTTCCTCGTCTGTATAGTTAGTTGTTACGGCTCCGGCATCACAGCAAACCAGCTTGGCCCATAATTGCTCAACCGCCTATGCCAGTGATTCCAGTCACAAACTGAGTCAGATATCTGGATACTTCAAGTGAATGCCGTAGCCATTCAAAGTTTTCTCAGTCAGCAAAACATACACGATTTGATCTGGCAAACCATAAGGTGCATGCCTCCTAAAACACACTGCGAGACCAGGCCTCATCACTGAAAATCAACTTCATTCGACGAATAGCTGGTCGATGAGTAGATTAAAACTATTCCTGACCATTCTCCACATGTCCTCAGCCAAACTGCAGCCACGGCCAACAAAAAAATAGCAGCTGTAGCACACTCCTTGTCCCAAGAACACAACGAAGAAAAATACATCACCCATCATTGCTAATGTGTACGAATCTGGAACTCAGTCAATAACCAATAATCACAGCTCATAGTGCCGCCAGGAGCACTAAACTCAGTAACTCTGGCTGCAAACCAGACTTCCACAGTCTTGCAACATTGAAACGGCGATGAAAACGGTCAATGTAAGCAAAGTTCTCAACCGTCATCCATTCCTTATCAATGTCAGAACTGAAAGTCCTCCCGTCCGTATACAAGAAAGTTATTTGCAAATGTCAGTATCCTTCCAGCACCTGGTGCTTCAAGTTCAGCAATCTGACTTGTGTACACATTAAAGAGCACTAGTGAAATTGCAGTCCCTGTGGTAGTCCTGTGGATGATACTGCAAAACTAGGCAATCCATCTATCCAGATAAATCACTACTATATGAGAGTACAGGACAGCTGTTATCCATTTAACTAGCCCAGGACATACCCCCTTCTGTGTAAGAGAGGACATCACAATATCATCTCTGATTTTTTAGCAGGCATCCTTAGGATCAAATGCTGTGACTACCTTCTCCTGTCTGTTCTGTAGCCACTGATAAACATCAAAAGTACATCAAACTAGATTTGACCTAGGCATCTTTCCTAGGCAGGAAACTACCAAAATCTCTTGGGAGAAGCTCTTACCTTTGCCCCTAATTTAACAGCAATAATTAGTTTTTAATTTTATTAGAATAATTGTTGACAGCTAAGATTATACCCAGTCCTTCTGAAAGAATAGGTGGAATGTGTATCTCTGACCTTCAACTGCCCCCACCCCCTCCCCACACACACACACACACACACACGCGCGCACATGCATGCACTCACTCCACTCCGCTCTCTCTCACTCTCTCTCACTCTCTCACTCTCACTCTCTCTCTCTCTCTCTCTCTCTCTCTCTCTCTCTCTCTCTCTCACTCACTCTCTCTCTCTTACTCTGTGTGTGTGTGAACACTTTAACGTTTTCAGTCCCAAAAGGCCGTTTTATTCCAGAGATTATTACTTTATAGTAATAATTCTTGAGTGTTGGCGAGCTCAAATAAAAGCTGTATGGCAGAATGAGTTGAAGAAACAGTTAAGATAGAATAGGTTGATGTAACAAAAGAATGGAAATTAAGAAACAAATGTAATGTTTTTAAATAATACGGACACAAACAATGCATTGGACAATTTTTCGTCTTACATATTTTGCTGTATCTCGTCAGGTGCATTACTACAGAGTTACATAAACATAAAATGAATCATAAAACTGAATAGATCCAAATGAAATATGACTATCATGGTGTGTTTAGTCACCGGAAGATCCCCGTAATTATGTGTCTACCAGGGTAACTTCAGATTTACTATAAATTCTGTCTGCTTACAAAGGAGGGGGTTGTTGATCTTAATTATTAAAGCTTCAGCCATTCTCAGCAGTCGCCTGTTCGGTGTGTGATAAATGCCATGGAAAGCGCTGTCTGTGTCAATTACGTGTCTGAAATGTAATGTTGAACAACCTGCGATATAAAATCCAGAAATGGACTAATGAGGTCTTTTCTTCTTCATGTTCACTGGCTGTAAAGTGAGCCAATTAGCATGAAGAAGAAGCAACTTAACTGTTAACTTCTTTGCCAGACTGGTGCTTGGGGCAGCTTTGATGAAATGAATCGTATCAACATTGAAGTCCTGTCGGTGATAGCTCAACAAATAATAGCCATCCTAACAGCCCTGGCTGCTCACCTGGACAAATTTGTGTTTGAAGGCCATCTGATTAGCCTGGTGTCCACGTGTGGCTTTTTCATCACCATGAACCCAGGTGAAGAAAATTTATATAGTGTGTGTGTATTGGGTGGGTGGGGTGGGCCAACAGGAGGGTGGGTGTGGCCTGTTCAATCTTTCTGAACCAGACGGTCACATTTTAAAAATTTAACCATTAGATGTTTTAATGGTGGACTCTTGTGTTGCATATTTGAATGGTGGAGTGTCTGTCTGCATCAATTATTTATGTTAAATGCCTGAATGGTGGGTTTAAGATTGGCTATTTGAATTGAATGGAGAACAGTCTATGTGTGTATGGCGAGGTTTAAGATTGGCTGTTTGAATTGAATGAAGAACAGTCTATGTGTGTATGGCGAGGTTTAAGATTGGCTTTTTGAATTGAATAGAGAACAGTCTATGTGTGTATGGCGAGGTTTAAGATTGGCTATTTGAATTGAATAGAGAACAGTCTATGTGTGTATGGCGAGGTTTAAGATTGGCTATTTGAATTGAATGGAGATGGAGAACAGTCTATGTGTGTATGGCGACTTAATTAATTCTTCAGTTGTTTTGCTTCCTGCTATCAGGGGTGTTACACCTGATATTTATATATGAATGTTGGCTGGCCTGTAGGGTTTTATTGATTTATCAGAATTTACTTCAATGTGTCATGATCCATATTTATGTCCCCTTACTAATGGTGCAGCATTTACTGTTGTTCATTTTGAGGTGCTTGAGTAGGTTGTGGGAGGAGTAGCTGGCAGTGGTAGTTGGCTTTTGTGTGGCATGGGATCCCTTCTTCCTCCCGGAGTTGAGCCATCACAACTGGAATTTGGTGAGCGCGTGGTTTCAGCAGGGTGGTGCCGCAGCTCATACAGCTTGACTCTCTGAACACCTTACAAGCTGCATTCCACAGGCCACCTCTGTTTATCTTTTGTGACATTCAGTGGCCTTCCAATTTACCAGACCTCACTGCGGCAGAATGGGAGTATTTGAAATCTTAGGTTTTCGCTTTTGTATTCGTATTTTCATATCTCTGTCAGTTTCTCCATCTGTATCGAAATTAATGCCCAAATAGATGTACAACTCCGGGTCTTGGAGTGGGATACCATTAAGAGAAACCTCATTACTATTTGCCTGATTTCTTCTCATTATCTTTGTCTTTCCTTTATGTGTAAATACCTGTGTTATCCTCCTTTCACAGTGGTTAAAAATTGAAGTTTAAGGGACCCTTTTCCATGCCTTCAAGGGTATTGGGTATATAGGGCTAGACCTATATTTTATAGATCAATGGCACTTTATGGGTGATGTGGTCAGCTGCCTTTACTTTCCAGGACTGTACCTTGTACCCACTCAAGGCTGGGTCGACCTGGGAGTCGTAATTTTTGAACAAAAAAGTCTGGGTCATCGGGACCCAAACCCACGACTTTCTGATCTGCAGTCTAGCGGCTTGATCGTGGCGGCTCCCTAGTTTCAAAATCAATCAGTCCTCATCGTGGCTAGAGGCACATAATATAAAAATGATCAGCATTAAATTTCACATTCTATAGATGATAACATTCATGATTGCTAAGTTCTGTGTGGGTGTTGCTTGTGACTATTTGAATAGTAAACTGTGGCTTACTGATAGAACTGTTTTCTACATATAGGTTATTCTGGAAGACAGGAGCTTCCTGATAACCTGAAATCTCTTTTTCGGCCAATGGCCATGGTTGTGCCAGATACTTCGTTCATTGCGGAAATATGCTTATTTGCTGAGGGCTTCAATAACACAAAGGTTAGTACTGGTTTGTATTAGAGCACGTTTTCTGTGGCGATTCCATTGTGAGGTTAAATACTGTTAATGCCTCTAACATGAGCTACCTGGGTTCATTTCTAAATCAGGTCTGATATTGCTATATTTTTGTAGTATACACATTTGTAGATTAAAAATATATGGTTAATACCAGCAAGGAAATTAGAGTCAAAATTTTGAGAGCATGCATCTTTCCTCCAGCAACAAAATATGAGTTGTGGACTATCTCACATTCATTAAGGAAGAAAAAAAAGGGCTTTTGAGCGCAGATGCTGTAGAAAAATCCTCATAATACAACTGACAAAAAAAGAAAAGAAAAACACTGGCATTGAAGAAGATCAAGAAAGATTGGATATTAAACTGCATCTTGTCCCGGAAACTGAAATATTTTGGCCATATCAAGCACCACAGAGGATTGGGGAAGATAGTAGTAGTTAATTTGGTATGATACCAGGAAGGAGGGACAGGGACTTGAGTATGAAGAAGACCATAGGATATAATACCTTGAGTAGGAAAGTACAGGAGGCGGGAGAGCTGGTGAGAGACCAAGATTCTTTCAGGCGGACAGTGACTAGAGTGACGTTCTGGAAAGGACCTGCTACATGATGATGATAGCACACATTTGTCACTACCATATTTTGCTTTTCTAAGTCAGTTGTATCACTTGTCATCATCATCAAATGTTTTGCAGACTGGTGTAAGTGATAATACTTCTCCACAACCTGCAGTCTTCAGCAGCGTGCATCACTTCATATGCTTCCATGCCATTGCAAAAGGCTGTCAAGAATCTTCTCTACTTACACTGTCCTTCTTTGTCTGCATCACTTCTTTGCTCTGGCATTGCTGTTTTTCCTAAAAGTTCATTGTGCTTGTCTGAGTTGCTATTTTTCTCAAATATACACATTTATTACCATCAATTTTTGCTTTTTTCTTTTAAGTTAGGTACCTGATTTGTGTTTTTCGATATAGCTATTTTTCTCAAAAATGCACATTTGTTATCGTTGATTTCTGCCGCCCCCTCCCTACCCCCTTTTTTTTCTTTCTGGTTCTTTAATTTGATGTGAAGATTGCTCAAGCGCTCGGTACTGTAGCCAGCAGTGTTCAGATTGGCTAGCTTCTCTTCACAGAGATGAACAGCAAACTAAGTAGCCAGCCAGTGACCTGTAGAGCAGGTCAGGTAAACCCCTACCTCCTCCTGGTGTGCGCTGGAAAGCTAAACCCATTTGATTTCAGGCTAAACAGAGCAGTGGCTCACCAGGGAGGGGACGGCCACCAACCGGGTCAGTTTTTCTCTTGCGGCGCCAGGCCTAACAAGCTGACAGTTTTGTGAACAACCAATACTACACAATAAAGAATGAATTACAGGACAGACAATGAAATGAACACTAGAACAGAAAATAACTACCTGTGAAATCTGCTGTTTCTGAAAGGTAAATAACAACACAAGGAGCCCTGGCTGGGAGTACATTATCTAAGTTGGGGCAATCGTCACCACAGCTGACAGACCACACATACAGAAATTATACTTGTCATAGAAAAAGCTAATAGAGCCTGGAACAGTCACTGGCCATCAGTAGGCGGGCAAAGCCTTGTTACAAGAATACAATCCCGTTACAGGATGAAAACTATAAACTGGTTAGAGAAATTAGATGTAGATAGTCAGGTTTTTTTTTTCTAACATGTTATGAGAAACAATGGCCTCAAGAACTTGGTAACAACTGGTAACATTGGTGGAAAGAGTGAAAAAGGGGGCACAAAGAGATACATACCAAGATGGCTTTGCCATATGGATGAAACAAGACAAGAACACTGATCTGATCCATGATTATGATATCATAGAAAGGGGGGGGGGGGGGGGGGACAAAGAGATACATACCAGGATGGCTTAGCCATATGGATGAAACAAGACAAGAACACTGATCTGATCCATGATTATGATATCACAGGAAAAAGGGGGGGGGGGAACAAAGAGATACATACTAGGATGGCTTAGCCATATGGATGAAACAAGACAAGAACACTGATCTGATCCATGATTATGATATCACGGAAAAGGGGGGGGGGGGGGGGGGAGATACATACTAGGATGGCTTAGCCATATGGATGAAACAGGACAAGAACACTGATCTGATCCATGATTATGATATCACGGAGAATGGCGAAACATGAGAGCCTATGCTTACTTGTATGGCACATGATAATGGTGATGTGTCTTTCAGATACTGTCCAAGAAGACTTCCACCTTGTACAGTCTGGCTACACAGCAGCTGAGTAAACAGGACCATTATGACTTTGTTCTTCGGGGTGTTGTCTCCATGCTGAAGTATGCAGGCAAGAAGAAAAGAGCACTGCCACATTTGTCTGACGAGGAGGTAGCTTGTTTGTGATTCTCTCACCTGTGTGCATTCATTCATGATTTTGTCTTGTATATTTCTTCAAGGAAGTAGGATGTCTGTTATTCTCTTTCCCTGTGTGCATTCATTCATGATTTTGTCTTGTATATTTCTTCAAGGAAGTAGGATGTCTGTTATTCTCTTTCCCTGTGTGCATTCATTCATGATTTTGTCTTGTATATTTCTTCAAGGAAGTAGGATGTCTGTTATTCTCTTTCCCTGTGTGCATTCATTCATGATTTTGTCTTGTATATTTCTTCAAGGAAGTAGGATGTCTGTTATTCTCTTTCCCTGTGTGCATTCATTCATGATTTTGTCTTGTATATTTCTTCAAGGAAGTAGGATGTCTGTTATTCTCTTTCCCTGTGTGCATTCATTCATGATTTTGTCTTGTATATTTCTTCAAGGAAGTAGGATGTCTGTTATTCTCTTTCCCTGTGTGCATTCATTCATGATTTTGTCTTGTATATTTCTTCAAGGAAGTAGGATGTCTGTTATTCTCTTTCCCTGTGTGCATTCATTCATGATTTTGTCTTGTATATTTCTTCAAGGAAGTAGGATGTCTGTTATTCTCTTTCCCTGTGTGCATTCATTCATGATTTTGTCTTGTATATTTCTTCAAGGAAGTAGGATGTCTGTTATTCTCTTTCCCTGTGTGCATTCATTCATGATTTTGTTTTGTATATTTCTTCGAGGAAGTAGGATGTCTGTTATTCTCTCTCCCTGTGTGCATTCATTCATGATTTTGTCTTGTATTTTTCTTCAAGGAAGTAGGATGTCTGTTATTCTCTCTCCCTGTGTGCATTCTCCTCCATGTTTTTGTATTGTTGTATGTTTTGTCGAGGAGGTAGGTAATCTGTTATTCTCTCTCCCTGTGTGCATTCTCTTCCATGTTTTTGTGTTGTTGTATGTTTCATCGAGGAGGTAGGTGATCTGTTATTTTCTCTTCCTGTGTGCATTCTTTTCCATGGTTTTGTGTTGTGTATTTCATCAAGGTGGTGGGTGATCTGTCATTCTCTCTACAAGTGTGCATTCTCTTCCATGATTTTTGCTGTTGTATGTTTCATCAAGGAGGTAGGTTGTCTATTATTCTTTCTCCCTATGTGTATTTATTTCCATGATTTGGTTGTATGTTTCACGTGTTGTAAAGTGATAATACACACACCTGTTATCATGGGAAAATCGTGTTTGATTAAACATTTGATTGATTATGCAATAGGTTGTCTATTTTTGCAGTGATTACCTGCATTCTCCTTGGTTATGTGATGCATGTTTCACTTCATAAGCATCACTTGTTCAGATGAACTACATCCTTCTTGCTTGTGTTATGTTTCACTTTATAAGCATCACTGGGGTCAGATGAACCACATTCTCCTTGGTTATGTGATGTATATTTCTCTTCATGAGCATCACTTGGTCAGATGAACTACATCCTCCTTGCTTATGTTATGTTTCACTTCATAAGCAACGCTGTGGTCAGATGAACCACATTCTCCTTGGTAATGTGATGTATATTTCACTTCATAAGCATCACTTGGTCAGATGAACTACATCCTCCTTGGTTATGTTATGTATATTTCACTTCATAAGTATCACTTGGTTAGATGAACTACATTCTCCTTGGTAATGTGATGTATATTTCACTTCATAAGCATCATTGTGTTCATTATGTGATGTATGTTTCACTTCATAAGCATCACTGTGGTCAGACGAACCACATTCTCCTTGGTTATGTTATGTATATTTCACTTCATAAGCATCATTGTGTTCATTATGTTATGTATATTTCACTTCATAAGCATCACTGTGGTCAGATGAACCACATTCTCCTTGGTTATGTGATGAATGTTTCCCTTCATAAGCATCATTGTGTTCAGATGAACCACATTCTCCTTGGTTATGTGATGAATGTTTCCCTTCATAAGCATCATTGTGTTCATTATGTGATGTATATTTCACTTCATAAGTATCACTGTGTTCATTATGTGATGTATGTTTCACTTCATAAGCATCATTGTGTTCATTATGTGATGTATGTTTCACTTCATAAGCATCACTGTAGTCAGATGAACCACATTCTTCTGTTATGGGATTTTTTTTTTTTTTTCAAATGAGGTATGATTGGTCAGAATTTATCTGGTGATAAAAGTAGGTTGTGTGTTTGTTGTCTCTGCATTTGCAGTCTCTCCAATGATTTGTGTGCCATAAGTTAATGTTACCAGCATCTTTATGTGGGAAATAAATTCAGAATAAATTTCAACTAATAAGAGAACCAGCTGGCAGATGTTGCCCTACTGCACGTGGAAAGAAGCATAGACAGAGCAGATATTTGAAGTTTGGCCAACGGATCAACATCATGGCACATAGGTGGTAACACCATAAGTGCCCAGTTCTACTTCTAACTCAAGTCTGAGTCCTAGTAGCTCAGTGCAGTGCACAGGCCCCGTAGCAAGATGAGGATCCTGAAATATTTTGGGTAGATTTTCAACTCCAAAACATACATCCGGGCAGGGCCATTAGGATATGCTACTCTTTTCGATTTCCAACTGCCAAGAGATTTTTTACATGCGCAACAATACACCCGGTCGTCTGATCGCGCTACACAGAGACCAGGGGAAATTACTAGAAGTCCACATGAACAGAAAAAATCCCAGCCTTCAATGGGGCATGAATCCAGGACCTATAGCACTCATGCGGACACCATACTTGGAGAGCACGCAGCCTCCCAGACAGAGCAGATATCACCAGCGACTAGACTGGCAGATAACAACAAATCTAAATATAGTTGTTTGATCTCAGAGTGAAACCTGGTGAATTATGTCAATGCGATCTTTGAGGTTGGCATAGGAGACATTGTAAAATACTTCTCATGGAAACAGCAAGTAGAAGTATCTTAGAGGGACTGCTGCATACAAGCACTGATCACACATGGGAGTGACCAGCACACAGTGGCATTGATTGTGATAACATAAAATAAAACGTTTAAGATCATAGACTTCACGGATAGGATTTATACAGAGGTGGAGTTCTTAGACTGGCAGATAGCAATGAATCTCCTAGGCTAACACGATTGCATGGACTTGCAGTGAAGTAAATTGGTGCCATCTTCGAGATCAAGAAGGGGAGACATGGTAACTGACTTATCATGGGAGTATTTAGTAGAAATACTTTGAGGTAGCTGCTACATAATAGGACTGAGCATGTGTGGGAATCCCTAGTGTGCACTGACATTTATTGTGATAGTAATAACATAGAATGAAACTAAGACCATAAATCTCATGAATTGTGAATTTGAGGGCAGGGCCAAAGTTAGGAAATCTGAAGTTTGAACAACGGATCAACATCATGGCACACAGGTAATAACCCATTAGTGCTGCGTTCTTCTTCTAACTCATCTGAGTCTGAAGAAGCTCAGCACAGTGTACAGGCTCTGTAGCACCGGTGAGGATCCTGAAAAACTTTGGGTAGATTTTTAACTCCAGATTTTGCCCGGGCAGCTCCGTTAGGCTACCCTTTTCAATTTCAAACTGCCAAGGGATTTTTTCTACAAGCTCAACAATGCACACAGGCATCCGATCTAACTACCCAGAGACCAAGGGGAGGAAACTAGAAGTCCAAGTCCACGTAAAAAAAAAGCCCAGCCCTAACCGGGAATTGAACCCGGAACCTCTAGCACTCAAGGCAGACACCATGCCTTGAGACCACGTAGCTCTCTTCATAGGTCGGAATTTAGTGCTAGGGTCTAATTTTTATTTACCAATCATCGGCACTTGGCTGGTGATGCAGTCAAACATCTCACCAGCTGCAGATAACTTTACTTCACAGGACATTACCTGGTACCTATTTTAGGCTGGGTTAATTAGGGGCCAAGATCAGATTTTGAAGAAATCTGTGCCAATACAAATATTAGTCCCCAACAGACATCAGACCTTTGGGCTGACAGTGTTCAGTTGCTACAGTTATGTAGCTCCCGCCTACACATATACATACACATAAACAGTGCACACACATGCATAAATAAATACATAAATAAATATACAAAAAGTAATTTATTTTTCTTCTAAGATATTATGTATGTCAGTGAAGGAGATGAACTTACCGAAACTAGTGCAGGATGATGTTCCTCTCTTTAATGGAATCGTCTCGGATCTGTTCCCAGATCTTGTTATTCCCACTACATATCGTGCAAAGGTAACATAGAAACATATAACATCTTTATTGTTAACTCTTTAAGAATCAAGTTACTCAGAAACGTATAAAACTTGACTGTATTAAATATGATTGTCAAACTATGGCTGAAAACACAGCTGTTTAAAACATGACTGTTCTTATGTATCGACATGGTACATGATGACTCAGGGTGACCTGTGGGAGCCCAGGAAGTGGATGCTTGTCTGCTGGCTCAAAGGTCTTGAGTTTAAATCTTTACTGAGGAAAATAAAATCGGCCTTGGCTTCCGGGCTAAAGTGGGTATCAGGAAATGTCCTCTGAAGTAAAGACGGCATATGTGATGTTGACCCAATCATATCTTGATTGCCATTTTATCTGTTACAAAAAATGTGTCTAGCACCGAATGCCTGATTCACCATTGGTGCAATGTGGCTCTGTCTAGGGTTTAATTGAACTCATCACATTGCTGTACTGACGCTCTTAGTTATATAAAGTTACTATGAACACAGCAGACGACAAACACACAGTTATTGATCTTTATTTGCTGTTCCAACAGCCGCACTGTCCAGTCGCTCATTTGTGTTCTCGTGGGTGCTATGCATGGCTGATTTATGACAACAGTTCCAACTATCTCACACTGTGATTCTCTCTGTCGTTAACTTTCCGACCATACATCTGGATCAGGCTAACATCTTGTTCCTTGTACCTGTATAAAGTCCAATCTTGCAGTCAGTAGACATTCATTCCTCATCTCGAAGAATTACACGTGGTCAGACAGTCCACATTCTTCTCAGCTGTTCTCTTGCATTCGACCACACACATCCAGGTCCAAACTTCAACTGACTTCCTATCCTTCCTGGGTTCACACCCTCTGTTCAAGTCTCACGCTTTCCCCGTATCTCTATTCACCCGACACGGGATACTCGGGACATGCTTTCCTCACTTTCCTCTTGTTTCACTGGCCCTCTGACCTAGTCAGCCAATACTTTTTATTCAAGAAGTAGCTTTGTTTTGTTGCAGTAAAATAAATTCCGCTAAAAATTAATGCTGTCCAAACCCCAGAAAAAATGTGGTCCTAAAAGAGTTAACAACTCTGTTTTTTTGTTACAGTATTGTATGTTGTGCTTCATGTTTCTGACTGATGAAATGCCATTGCAGCTGATCAGTGTTATAGAGGAGGAGTTGAAAGAGAAACAGCTGCAGGCAACACAGAGTACAATTACCAAAGTGTTCCAGCTGTTGGATGCTAAGACAGCACGTCATTCAGTGATGCTGGTTGGGGCAACGATGTCAGCTAAAACTACAATATGGCGGGTACTCGAAGCCAGCATTAATCGTCTCAATAAAGCTGGGGAACCATTTTATGTCGTCCGAGTAAGTATTTAAAAGGACCTTTTTCCGCGTCCTTAAGCATATTGGGTGTAATGCTGAACCTAAATTGTATAGACCAGTTGAAAAGCTTTCTACTTTTACTTTGCAAGACATTACCTATTACCCATTTCAGGCTGAGTTAACCCTACCAGACCTGAGGTCCTGAACCTAATTGCCCCTATAATTAAGCTCCTGGGCATCAATACGAAAAAACCAACATGATATACAAAAATATTAGTTACATGGAAACAAGTGGTCAGAATAAGATGAAACTTGGAGAAATTGTAGAAAATAGGTTTATTTTTTATCTAGCGCCAATATTCCACCTTTGTGTGCCATTTCACCCAGCAAGATTGGTCTTGTTTCACAAAGTGAGCACCAGATGTTGCTGTTTGAGGGACACGCTCCCTTCTCTTACTATCAGTCCAGTTTTAAATCTATAATTTTCAAGATTCTCCTCACCACTCAAGCTCACTGTCAGTTTCCCTTCCACTAGGTATGTATTCTTCATGAAATTCTGACTCCTCAGAGACTGAATCAATCAAAGTATTGATCACCTGTTGGACTGTGAAAAGCCTAGACCTACTTCACTTTCCTGTCGGTCGAAGTGCTTGGTTTATCAGCCGCTCGTTTTATTGTGAATTTTCAGAATATTTTCAAGTTAAACCACACAAAGTAAATCCAAACACACCTGGGCAGCAATTCACAGCGCCCAACCATGAGGTTTGATCAGGACTGGTTGGTTATTTTTAGTTTGTGTCACATTTTATCACGTAGTAGGCAAAGTACCCACAGTGAGGTACAGAAGTTTAGCAGCAGATTAGGAAATTACTGCAGAAGCAATACATCGGTCTGGTAGAGTTAACATGCTCATTTTTTCTTGAAACATAAAAACTTGACTCAGTGGGAATTTTAACCCCTAAAACCATTGAGCTCACAGTTGTTGTTAATTTTCATTATTTCCTTTTCTTTCTTTGATTGTAGCTGTTAATATTTTAAACTCTATGTTTGGTCTTCCATTTATTACCAGGTGCCAGCGCAGAATAGAAGGTATTAATTGGTATGATAAGGCCACAGTTGGGGAGAGAACTAAACAATTTCTAGAAAGTCAAGATGGGTGGACAAGATGTTGGCCTGGGATAAAACACACATTGAGAAAACCTGATGACATTATAACTATAGAATGTCCTTGCACTGGAATCGATAGGGCTCATTGATTTTATTTGTTTTTTGGGTCGTTTACTGCTGATTGCTTTCTAAGTCATTTTTGCTATTATTTTGGTTGTTGCTGTGCCTTTCTATATGGATAAACTAAAGACATTAAAGTTTTCTAAATCAGTCAAAAAGATGAGAAATATTGACATCTTAAAAGATCTGAACATCAAGGAAGATTGGCTAATAAAAAGCATCCTTTCTCGAAAGCTGAAATATTTTGGTCATATCAAGCGCCATGACGGATTGGAAAAAATTATAGCAGAAGGCATGGTACCAGGAAGGAGGGACAGGGGCCGACCAACACGAAGATGGGCACAAGATATAAGTGACTCCTTGAGTGTGAAAGTGCATGAGGCGAGAGAACTGGCAAGAGACCGAGTTTCTTTCAGGCAGACTGTGATGCAAAGGACCTGCTACATGATGATGATGATGAAATCAGTCAATCAGGTGCCATCTCCAAAATTAAGGTTGGATGCCATTGATCTCCAACACACTCTGTCTGTTGTTTTGGTAGAACACTCTCTTATACTGCTGTTTGTCCATCTCTTGCTGTCGGCCCCCCCTACTTCCATTATTGTCTACCTCTTGCTCTCTTGTCTTCAATGTTTTCCTCCATAGTGGTTTTTAAAAGAGTGTTATGTATTTGAATTCTAGTGTGTACATAATCATTTGCATAACATTGCTGTTATCTTTGCACTCCAGAAAGCCACTTTGTCCCTTGCCAGTTGCCCCTCACAAACTTTCATGCCTAGGAGGTCATTGATATCCTTGGCTATCCATTATAGTTAAATAAAATGACACCACTCTTCTCACTGAAGTAGGATGGGGAAAGCCAAAGGGTCAGAGGCGTGGTGCTAGTGGGTATATCATTTATAGTATTACTGTGCACTTGGAGCAGCATCTCGCGACAGAAATACAAAAGACTGGTTAATCTTTCATTTAGCCATTATGAAAATGATTTTTGCGGAAAACCTGCTACAGGAAGATGATCTCCACGTGATGGAGATGGTCCCTGTGTATGTCTGTGGTATTGTGCATGTATGTACATACAAGTGCTTCTGAGTTGAATGCATGGCGTGACCCTGTGAGCTGCGGATTGCATTTGGAATGTTTTTTCGACTGTGACCAACGTGTTGGTGTGAATTGTAGATTCAGAAAATGGCGCGATGCCTGTCGTGCAGTGTTGTGGTGCCCGTATGTGATTAAAATTGATCGCGGGGGGGGCAACTGCTGATCTGTTAACAACTTCGGCTACCATCAATGATGAACTGCAATTCTAATTCTGTGATAAACATTCTGTGTGTTTTTTGTTGGCACAGGAGCGGAGCAAAGATGGGGTGACCCGTTTGCTATGAAGCTGAAACTAAGACTACCAGACTATGCTATGAAGCTGAAACTAAGACTACCAGACTACCAGACATGCATACATACGCAAGCATACACACAGCCACCAACATATTGCACAGCCACTCACACAACTACTCACACACAAATACTTTTCTTAGCATGCTTTTACATCATTTCTAGATGAAAAACCTGAGGAGAAGTGGATTGTTTTTGATGGTCCAGTAGACAGTATGTGGGTGGAAAGTATGAACTCACTGATGGACGACAACAAGATTCTAACCCTCATCAATGGTGACCGCATCACTTTGTCAGAGACTGTATCCTTGCTGTTTGAGGTGGAGGACCTGGCGATGGCATCTCCAGCTACAGTCTCCCGAGCCTGTATGGTCTACTGCGACTACCGGGATTTGGGCGTGATGCCTTACTTAGATAGCTGGCTGTCCAAGAAGACTCATCCGGTAATGATAGTGATAGTTTAACTCTTTTGGTACCAAATTTCACAGGAAATACCAAAGCAAAGAAATAACCATGATGAAAAATCATAAATGCATTACATTTACAGTGACAATATACACAGTAGTAGTTACAAGTGGGGAAGCTATATTTCTTAAGTATCTTCTGACTAAATATTCTAAATAAAAGAACACAATATGTTAAGGAAGGAGATCAAGAGATAGAGTTGCCCATACACCTCATGTTGCTTGGGATCAAAATAAAGTTAAAGCTATAGACATATTTCACCTTCTTTCTTTGGAAAATGGATCATCATGTAACCTATGCCACGTTATCATATCCTCAGAAATCACATGAAGCTCACCTTATGTCATCCCCAATGTGTTCACTTCACGTAATTTCTTCCCTAACTAACACACTACGCCTCATGTCATCCCCAGCTTCTTCACTTCATCTCATCATCCCCAACTTATTCATCTCATCATCCTCAACTAATTCACTTCATGTGATCCCTGGAAATTCACTTCACTTTATATGATTCTCAGTGTATTCACTTAACCTAATATGATCCCCAGTGTATTCACATTACCTCAAATGATCCACAGTGTATTCACTTCACCTCATATTATTCCCAGTTTATTCACTTCACCTAACATCATGCCAGCTTATTCACTTCGCCTCACATCATCTCTGCTTATTCATTTCACCTGCCCGGCACGCTGGCTAAGCTGTTAAACCAGCTGCATGGTGACTAGATGACAAACTCCTTAGGCACAAACAGCCAGAAAGTGCTGAGACTGGTTTGCGATATTCTATAAAGAGTTTGCAGCAAACCTGACCTACTACTATCTTATTCTTTTACAATTTGCCTTAGAGCGTTGGTGGGCAAGGTGTAGTGTGGTGTACAGCCAGATTGCCATGTCTGCACTTTTTGGCTCATAACATTCTTCTTCTTCTTCTTCTTCTTCACTCCCACCTTGTACCTCAACGAAGTGTCGGAAGGGGGGGGGGGGGGGTGTAACATTTGTTGATGATTTCTGGTTGTTCTTTGATGACTTGTAAGACTGGCTTTATTCCTACCATTGGTCTGATTTTGTAATTTTTACAGCTCTTTTAAGGCAACACATCCGATTTCAGAAAACTTCTCATAGTTGCCCCTTACAGCATACTTGTTTTGAGGCAGTGGGTCAGCTTTCACCACCACCATCAAAAAAGGGTCACGGAACCAGCACACATGCTAGGAGGGATATATACTGTTAAAAAAAGAAACACGTAGTTACTGAAAGGAACAAACATACTCACAATTTTTGACATTTTGCATCTTTGTAATGCATTAAGTGAAATTACTCAAATTTCACACAAGAATACCTAAGGGTTTCACTAATCAATTCACATTTTTTTTTTTTGGGGGGGGGGGAGGGGCATATGAATCACAATAGTTTTAAGCGTAAGCCTTTCCCGTTAGTATGGTGTGTGGCCTTCTCTTGCGTTGATCAGTGACTGGCATCTCCTGGGCATGTATGCGATCAGATGTCTGATGTGGGCCTGTGGGATGGCTGCCCACTCTTCCTAGAGTGCCTGGAACAGATCACGACCATTGGCTGGAACAACGTTTCGGCGACAAACAAGTCTTTGCAGCTCATCCCACAGGTGCTCAATCAGACTCATGTCTGCAGACAGGGATGGCCAGGGTGGGGTTTAAATGTTATTAGCAGCCAGGAACTGCGTGGTCAACTGTGCAGAATGGGGTCTGGCGTTGTCCTGTTGAAAAAGTTATCTTTTGGCGTTCCAAAATGTAAGGACATGTGGTCGAAGAATTTCATGGACATATCGTTGCGCATTCAGGCTTCCTTCAGTGTACACCAAGTGACTCCTTCCATTGTAACTGATCATTCCCCATACCATTACACCTCCACCACCGAGCAGAGCTTCATCAACACAATTATGGGCTAAACCTTCATTTTGTCTATGGAAGACCCTACGCTGTCTATCATGATGCTGCTACAAAAAGATGTTTGTCCCTAAACCAGACACGTCTCCACTGATTGTCACTTGTCCAGGGATGATGTTGGTTGGCCCAAAGAAGTCGAATTTGGTGGTGGCGACGCATAAGGACAGGTCCTCGTTGTGGTCGTCGAGCCTAAAGTCCAACATCATGCAGTCTGTTCCTAACAGTTTGATCAGACAAATGATGTCCTGGAGGCAATACCTGTGAAGTTGAGGAATCTGTCGTAAACCTGGCTCTGAGGTGATGAAGCCGAATAAAGCGATTCTCTGTTGCTGTTGTCACTCTGGGTCGTCCACTGCGATGTTAGTCTTCAACTGATGGTACACTGATGCACGTTTAGATATCTGGCAGTCTGACTTTGACTTTCTCCTGCCTGCAATCGGCCAGTAGCAGCATTCCTTAAATTTATCGATAGAGGCGCCATTCATGACTGCTTGAAAATGAATTGATCGTTTTTGTGTAACGTTATCTTTTTATAGGGTTTCAATTGCATAGGCAGTGCTTAGTGTTCAGCACAAATTGTGTTGCTTTCTCGTGCGCACATCGTGAGCTATTCTCACAAATATGGTCTTAAACAAATTTGACCACTGCGTTCTAACGATTATAAAAACCCACGCAATTCACACCCACGTGTCCACTGGAAACTGTAAACAACATTTGAGTCTGCTTTTCACATACCCCAGTACGGAATTTAATTTTCAAACTAATAAAAACATGAGATCGGATAACTATGCGTTTCTTTTTTTTTAAACAATATACATACAAGGTACAGCAGCCAGTTACTTACCTCATACAGTTTCCTGAACATTCTGCAAATTGTAGTTAGAAAGGATCTACATCAGAGCTGTACTGTTTAGAAAACTGCTAGTGATTGAATCTAGACTGCATCATGTGGGTTCTGGGTCCCTATTTTGTAGAGAAAGTAATAATTAACCTACTGCTCTATAAAAAGTTTGTTTCTTCTTCTTTTTTTATACTCCTGAAATGCCTTGTAGCATCAGGACAGGAAGAGATCTCTAGAACAGGCCCACCTGTTCGCTTTGTCATAAATGGTAAAATAAGAGTTTGCTTAAATCGAATGAGTTGGTCAAAAAGGTAAAGATATTCCAGCCCAGCTGTAACCACAACATATTTTGACAACTGCCCCAATGACAGCACATGCACATAACCACTACAGCCAGCCTCCATTGTGGAGATGTGAGGGGAAACAACTCTGAGTAATAAATTGAGCTGTTGATAGTGACATTGTTTCTTTCCACAAAGGGTCTTGTGGAGGCACTGAGGAGATGTATTGAAACCTATCTGATAAAGGTGATGGAATTCAAAGCTGTTAACTGTAGAGAGCCAGTGCCAGTATGTGAACTGAATGGTGTCATATCATTATGCAGACTCTTTGATGCTTTCTTCCATTTGGAAGGTGGAGTAAGTAGCTAGAGGATGCAGTAGTGTATCTCATTTGTGCATCCTAGGCAATTCTGTGGTAATATCTCAGTTTCCTATGTAAATGTATAACATCTCTTGTACTAGACGTATGTGTATAACACCTCTTGTACTAGACGTATGTGTATAACATCTCTTGTACTGGATGTATATGTATAACATCTCTTGTACTAAATGTATGTGTAAAACAAATCTGTCCCCTGGACATTTTATCTATTTAGCCTAGATTTAAGGGGCTGTGTGGTCTCGAGGAATGGTGTCTGCCTCAAGTGCTAGAGGTTCCGGGTTCAATCACTGGTAAGGGTTGGGATTTTTTCACGTGGACTTGGACTTCTAGTAGTTCCCCCTGGTCTCTGGGTAGTGTGATCAGACGATCATGAGCACTGGCCATTGGAAATCGAAAAGAGTAGTCTAACGGTGCTGCCTGGGCAACATTTGGAGTTAAAAATCTACCCACAGTATATCAGGATCCTTGCTGGTGCTACAGAGCCTATACACTGTACTGAGCTTCTTCAGACTCAGACTTGAGTTAGAAGAAGAACGGAACACTTATGGGTTACATCCATATGCCATGTTGTTGATCTGTTGTTCAAAACCTCAAAACTCTTGTAACTAGATGTTTGTGTATAACAACTCTGTATCCTAGACATATGTGTATATTATCTTTTTATCCTAGATGTATAACATCTCTTTATCATAGACATCTAAGCATAACATTTCATTAACTTAGACATAAATGTGTGTAACATCTCTGGAAAGATGTGTCAAAAAACAACGTGAGAAGCATCTTGTCAGCACAAGAATTGATACATGCTGTTAAATATCGCAGGTTTTGAAGAGGCGTGATCATCCACACCAGTCAGTTAGCCACTTGATGATGATGATGATGATGATGATGATGACAGTGTTCTTACACTCCTAATCTCTCCCTTCCTCCCTCCATCCCTCTCTGCCTTTCTTTCTGTCTCTTTTATTTTTACTCCTTTATTGTTTATATATAAAATTTTCATCAGTATTACTATTAGTCACCCTATTTTCCTCTTTAACGGTTTATCAGCCCTATGTTCCCCTCTAACTAGTATATCAGTCTTATTTTCCTCTTTAACTGGTATGTCAATCTTATTTTCTTCTTTAACTGGTATATCAGTCTTATTTTCCTCTTTAACTGAAATATCAGTCTTATTTTCCTTTTTAACTGGTATATCAGTCATATGACTAATGAATGTAGATATTTTTTCTGATGTGGGTAATTAGTTTTCTTTGTAAGTCAGTTTCTTTCAAGACATCTTCATTACTCTTTTTATCTGTCCAGGGTATGCTCATCTTTCATCTATAAAACACATCTCTGCAGCTTCCAAATAGGTTTTCACTAATTTACAAACTCTGCAAGATTCACTTCTGTATATTAAGATAGGATTTATATAGCTTTTAAGAATTCTGATATATCAGCTATATATTTTCCTCTTCACCTGGAAAAGGCCCTGTCACCGCTATTTTTCTCTTTAACTGGTATGTCATCTCTATTCTGCCCTTTAACTGGTTTGTTCACCATATTTTCCTTTTTAACTGGTATGTAATCCCTATTTCCCCCCTCTTTTACTGGCATATTCACCCTATTTTCCGCTTCACATAGTATGTTTACACTATTTTCTTCTTAAAATGGTTATCTTTACCAAATCTTCTTCTGTATACTGGAATGTCCACTTCATTTTCCTCTCTAACTGGTAGTCCTATTTCCTCTGGAACTGGTATGTCATCCCCTTTTGCCTCTTTAACTAGTATTTCACCCATATTGTCTTTTTCATCTGGTATATTACTTCAGTTTTCTTCTGCAGTTTTCCCACCCAGGTGATGTGATTGTATATACAGATGGCTCTGTGGAAGGGGGCAAACGAAGTACATGGGTGTTCATAGCAAAGGTGAATGGACGTCGCTTGGCGCAACAAAGCCTGGCATATGATATCACAACGTTTAGTTTGAGGAGGCAGTCACTGCTGCCTTCCGTTGGCTTGGGAATCAGCTGTACACACATGTCGTCATTGTAAATGACTCACAGAGCATGCTGAGAAAGGTGGAGACAAGCATGCTCCGTGCAGAGAGGGCAAGCATTACTTCAGAGGTCCCGGGTAGTTAGCATCCTTTGGATATTTTTTCCAGGTCTCGCCGGTGTGTTGGGAAATGAGCAGGTGGATAGACTGGCCGGTTCTGCACCACTTGGTGGTGAACTGATATATGACAAGCTGGGTGTTGTGAGGGCCCTTTGGGAGCGAGTGAACAGTGCCGAGGAACAGATAGATTATTACGGTCTGAGGAGAATGGCACTGCGAGGAGTTACAAGGGGATCTGGCCGACGCTCGACACTTGGGGTAGGGGTGAGACGGATATACAATCAGACGGTTACTGGTACTCTCGGAATTTTAACTCTTCGCTTGCTGCTGAAGATGGGGACAGAGGGCTTATGGGAGTGTCTCAAGTGCTGTGATGTCGATTCTTAATTCAACATTCAACATTCATTTTTCTGCAGATTGCATGTCGCCTCTGTTTTCTTCATTAAGTGGCATGTCACCTATTTTTATCTTGAACAGTTATATCACCTATATTTTTTTCTTTAAATGGTAGATTACCTCTATTTTTTATCTTTGTAGGGCGGCTAATAACCTGTTTTCTCTATAAATGGTATGTCGTACAAATGTTTTTCTATAACACTTATGTCACCTGTGTTGTTTATTTTAGGCAGAGATGTCTGGATTTACCCAGAAGCTGGTTGAGATGTGGTTTCAGTTCTGCCTTATCTGGTCTGTCTGTGCCTCAGTGGATGAAGATGGGAGAAAGAAGATTGACAATTGTATTCGGGAAATTGTTGGAACCTTTCCCAACAAGGACACTGTCTACGAGTACTATGTGGATACAAACACCGGAGCTTGGGCTCACTGGGAGGAAAAGCTGAAGGGTAAATGGAAGTATAAACCAAGGTAAGTTAGACTGCTCTTTCGGCCTCAAGCAGGTATTTGGGTTCTTTATTAATATCCTACCCAAGAACATCTAGAACTGGCCCTAACCCCAACCCACCTAGGTCATACGAGAGAGTGCAGCCTAGGTCCCACGACTGCATGCAGCCTAGGTTCTACGTCTGCATGCAGCCTATCTACCACCCCCTGAAATATTAGACTGTCCCTTGACCTGTGGATTTCCCCTGTTTTGGGGTAAGATATTAATAAAGCACAGGTATTTCTTAAAACTCTATTTCCCAGGCAGTTGTTAAAGTAAAGTAAAATTACATACCGGTTGCACATCAGGCTTAATCACAATGGAAACTGTACGCCACTGAGAGGCAAGATTCCCCCTCATGAGAGCTGTTTGCATTTTAGTAGGACACTTGCTAAATGAACTATGAACATTATCAACAGTTTTAAGACAGGACAATGAGTGAATGAGTTGTTAAAATGCAGCAAAGTAAAGGCTTTATGCAAGTGGCACAGTAAGCTTCATCACATTGGAAACCGTAAACCAGTGATTCTCAAACTGTGCCGCGGCGCCCCGGGAAGCCATGACCTCTTCACAGGGGTGCTGCGAAATATTGTAAAAGCTTCATATTTAATTTAACTTAGACACGAATAGTCATACTTATACTTAGGTTAGGGCGCCATGAAAAAATGTTATTTGAAAAAAGGCGCAGCGACCAAGAAAAGTTTGGAAAACACTGCCATAAACTACAGGGAGGCAATATGGCCTTCATAACAGCTAATTGTCACATTTGGTAGGACATTTTTAACATTCTTCTGCATTCATCCAAAGATGTAAATGTTTTGTGCCCATTTACAATATGACTGTGAAATTTGCACTTTTCGCCCTAAATACCTGATCTCTGCAGACATTTGTTGTCTGGGTTAGCCTTCCCGGTACTTTTTAAATGAAATATGAACAGGTGTGAGACGGAGAAGATGGCGCTGTATTAGACACAATCTGGAAAGAGACAAGCAGAGAATCACCAAACTGACACTGACATGGGAAATAGAGGGACTGAGGAAAAAAGGTAAAGCTAAAGGTGCTAGACAGGAATCCATCTATGATATTGAAGTGATTGCACAAGATTGAATGAAATGGAGAAATAGATTGTGAGCCATGTATGAAATATAGTGGCACATTAACAGGACAGTGAGTGAATGAATTTATTAACTAATGTGGAGCTTGTGAAAAGAATCAGAGCATTTCCAATGAATTGAAAAAAAAAAGAAGGAAAACTTGATAGGACACACAGAAGATATGATAATATAACAGTAATGTGCTTGCAGTGAAACTTGGAAAGTGGGGGGGGGGGGGGGGATAATTTGCAGCAGAGGAAGAAGTAAGACACTCAATGGAAATTCTCTTTTGTTGGATAAAATCTAGCAATGAACAGTACTTTATTTTTAATTCACCCCAAACAAAGGAATCCTGAAATTCCAGGGAAAATCCAATATTCTACAATATTCTAGGGGTGTTATGACATTACTTGGCTTGTTTTCCTAATAACATCTCAGCGTGGATATAATGTGTGTGCAAAATAGTGGGCACGATGGTGGACAAACTGCAGCTTTGTGTGAATGCTGTGTGCAATCGGGGAATGAGAATTGGGATATTTTGGGAGCTCTGAAAAAGACCAGTCACCATCTGTACTGCTAAGTTCATGAGTTTACAATCATAGTTTTGTAGGTCAGTAGATCTGGAGATGTTGAATTTAGCAACTGTTGATCGGCACCTACTATTGTTGATGTAACCAGAATAGAACAGTGTCAGCAAGTATGATTGCGAACACCCCAAGGCCAGCACATTCACGGCATCTGCGCCACATAAACTCACACATGTAGGACTCTAGCAGATGCCTGTGAATCCAATTCTGCCTCTTGTTTCTCTCCTTTGCCATTCTCCACATGCGCTTGATGCATTGAGTATGTGCACCTGTGATGGAGTTGACAAGTTGGTTTACTGTTAGATGCATCAGTTCGGCTGGGAATATTTTAAGTCCTGTTGTACGCACGCTAGAGGTCAGATACTACAACTACTGTTGTACCAGGCTTATGAGTGACAGAAGAATCACTTCTGTTCTGTCTGGAACAGAAACATTAAGCACTTGCCTGTGTCATGACAGATACCACCAAATACCCACTGTTGTGGGAAAAACTTGTCCTATCTGATGTTTTTGCCTTGTAAATAGGCTCTCATTTATCTCAGCAATGTATATGGTCTTCTGATTACTGCAGGATTTAGTAACAGTTTGTTGGCACATACCTCCCATAGGTAATTGCTCCAGTCAACAGTTTCTGTCGCCAACATCCCAGACTCTAACTGGCAGATTGGAAATGCTTGTCAGCTCCTGAGACCAATAGTATACAGAAAGAATGATCTGTCTATAAGGCAGACATGAGCCTTGTAGCCATGTGCCTTCTCTGAGCGGATGTCCTGCTGACAGTTCAAAATGTCACCATCTCCATTGATCCTAATGTTCAATCAGTGGCAGCACCATGACCTGATTATTGGAACAGTGTCTGACAGAAAGTAAAATGTGATGATGCTGTAGAAAAGCAATGCTGCTGTGCTTGTCATGGACTAATGCTGCCAGATCAAGGAAATCCATGATGAAGAAAGAACCGCTTCGAAAAACACCCACCACTTAGGTACACACTCCCACTGATGAGGAAAAAAACACTGAGACCCTAACCCATAACACCCCTATAAGATTTGAGTTTTCATGATTTCCTTGTTTAGGGTGAATTAAAAATAAAGTACCAAATAAACTGTTGTTTTCCTCTCTCCATCTCGGTTGGGTGATTATTATGTAGAACATGCGATATTGCTGCGTGTTCTATATTCCACCATGTGAGCGCTTTTACAGACCCCAAAATATCTAGAACTGGCCTTAGTCTCAACCCCCCTAATTATGTAACGCTTCACGAATTTGCGTATCATCCTTGCGCAGGGGCCATGCTAATCTTCTCTGTATCGTTCCAATTTTAGTATATGTACTGCGTGAACAGTACTAGCCTCAGCCTACATCCCATTAGAGAGTGCAGCCTACGTCCCACGACTATTTGCAGCCTATAATAGATGCAGTTTCCCCGGCCTCTGACAACAACAAATAAAATACTGCAAGTTGCTGGCCACTCGTGACGCGCAAAATAAAAGGCTGAGAGCAATGAAGGCAACAGAACGTGACACCCCTGTAACATAGACCAGCGCATGGTAAATTTCACCAAGCATGAATGAAAGACCAACACATTTTGCGCGACGATGTCAAGTGTTTGTTTTGCAGCGGACAATGTTACTTGTACCAACAATTTTTATTTCTACTGCTGTAACATATTGTGAAGACAAGAAAAATCAGGCACAGTATGAGTGCAACATAGAAGAAATAACTAATCATCTCACAAAGTTAAACAGATTCGTAGTTACAAGCAGTGCTCAGTAAGGAGCAGATTGAAGAAGAAAATGTTTCTTTTTGGTTTCTGAAATCAAGTCTAGTAATTTTAGAAGCTCATTCCAGGAACATAAATATTTTAAAATATTATTCCAGCAACAGATTAAAATGTTATTCCAGCAACATAAATATTTTAGAAAGTTATTCCAGCAACTCTAGTATTTTAGAAAGCTATTTCAGTAATTAACATTTTAGAAAATTATCCTGGCAAGTGTAATATTTAGAAAGCTCTTCCAGTAATTAACATTTTAGAAAATTATCCTGGCAAGTGTAATATTTAGAAAGCTCTTCCAGTAATTAACATTTTAGAAAATTATCCTAGCAACTGTAATATTTTAGGAAGCTATTCCTGCAGCTGCAACATTCAAGAGTGTGCCTTATGATTTTTCCAGCATTCCTTTCTACAAGCTGAGTGTACCAACAGTGGACACTGTTCGCTACCAGTTCCTGTGTACTGCTCTCATCAAGAGACTTAAACCTGTACTGATGGTGGGTGCAGTGGGGACCGGAAAAACTTTGGTCATAGAAAGCACTCTGGCAAACTTTGACAAGCAAGAATACAGTATTTTGACAGTGACAATGTCAGCCCAGGTTGGTCTGCTTTTATTTAACTCTTTTGCTCTCAGGCATTTGGTGCTTCAATACCTGTCTCAGCCTAAGTGTAAATTAGAGCAAGGCTTAGAGTCTTCTTATTTTTCTTAACTCTTTGAGTCCCACATGGTTTAGCGTCAGAGGCCCAAGGGGTAGCCAAGAAAGATGTAAAATCAACACATCTTGCGTTCACTGGGCTTCTAGGTAGGAACCTATGAATGTATGTTCTTTGGGACTGAAAGAGTTAAAGGGTGTGATGTGCTTTACAGCTAGGCTATGATATCTGCACCTGTAATGACTCTCCTTCTGTCTAGTTGAAGGACTCCTGCTAATCATCACTGATATACAGCAAGCATTGTCTCTTGACTTCACCTGTCAGCAAGATTCCATCGTCTTCCATCAGCCCAGGATTGCCTCAAGGTTCTCTGCTGTCTCCAGTACTTTTTAACGTGTACACCGTGCTGATAACTGAGCGGCAGTTGCACAGGAGTGGCATTTTGTCATTTTGCTGATGACATCTTAGTATATCGACATGGAAGAGATCGTCAAGAGATTGCCAAGTCAATAATGCAGAGTGAACCTAATCGCATCTCCTCCTGGGGTGCAGATACTAATGCTCATGTCAACCCTTCAAAAGGCCTCAGTAACGTGGTTCTCCTTGAACACGCATATAGTGAAGGCAGACTTACCAGCAGTGGAAAACAGCGAGGAAATTTTGACGAGAAAAAATCTGATGACATACCTTGGAGTGAGGTTTGATCGCAGCCTATCCTTCAAAGAACATGTTGACCATGTCATAACAAAAGCAAAGGCCTGTCAGCAATGAGGGTCCTGGCCGCCACTAACACTGAGCAGAGACTGCTTCCGCTTCTGTTCCAGGGACTTGTACTTTCTCCCATTGAATATGCTCTTGCCCTCCTCACTGTCAGCCATTCTCAGATTGAAAGACTTGAGAAGGTGCAAAATGAAGCAATGCGCATTATTCTAGGGTACACTAGAGACACCTTGTGTGTAACAATAAGGTATTTATTTCTTGACTTCTCTACCATAAACTATAGGATCAAGATCTGGAGGGCTCATGCATAACTCAGGATAAGCTCAGATCTGAAGCACCCTTTGCACCACATGCTCTTCAAGAAAAAAGGGTGATAGGCTTAAAAAGGGCAAATCAAAGCTGGGTAGGGCAGAGGATGACATCATGCAGGTTTGCAGCCTTACAGACATCCATCCAGGTGAGGAGTGGATACCAGCATCTAAAGCACCCAATCTCACATTCTCCTGTGTCGTGATGCTCGATAGGAAGCGTCGGGAGCAGAATCCAGCTGTTGTCAATGCCGAGGTATGCACGCTTATCGGTGACAAGTTCACAGACGGGTCTGTTATACGAGGACTTAAAAGTGCATGGGAATTTACAGCTGGCTCTTCGGCAGAACAGATCAGGAAGCCAGCGGTGCCTTCTCCATGACCACCAGCAGCATGACGATGGAGGTGATGGCTGTGACACAGGCTTTCATGTGGCCGGGATCATAGGACTATTCCCACGTGTGTGTGTGTGCTGAGTGATTCTTTGATCCGGAGGGTCAAGACAGGCTGGTTACGCAGACAGTGGATTGAGTCGTTGCAAAATTCTCCTGTTTGTGCAGTTACTTTCATATTCGTCCCAGGGCATGCAGACATTGTTCGTAATGAGAAAGCTGATAGACTGGCAGGTCTGCATTAATTGAAGATGGCCATTGAAGATGGCCAGACCATGGATCACACAGACATTGTCATTGCCCTTAGAAAGATAGGACGTTCTGAGGATTTTGGAAGCAATGTGTCTACATCACTGCTAAGAATATGCGAATTGGGAGTAAATATCGGCACAGCCAAGCATGAGAAGCACACCAGACGCACACAAAGTCTTGTTAACCAATATAGGACTGGTACTATTTACCGCACCACACTGATGAATATGTTTAGAGGGGAATCTGAGCGCCTATGGATGTGTCTGAAGTGCTGTGAAGATAATCTAACTCATAACTCATAACTCATTCCATCGTCTGCTTGGCCATTCTTATGCACTCGCCAGATACTTGAATCTGTTGTCAGCTATTCAGTATTGCTCAGGTCTTTACCCAGTCAGACCATCTGCTTACTCTTGCGGTCTCCCACAGAATAACTGCCCCTTCTCTCACACATCCAGTTGTTTTCTTGTCCTCTTGAGGTTTTTAACAACCATTTACACATCCCCGTGGAACTTCCAATCCTCGTTTAGACATGCTTTCCCAATAATTGTTTCCTAACTGGAACTATGTCGGCCACGCTCTTAGAATGGATAAATCAAGACTTCCTTACCAAGCCCTCATTTGGACACCACAGGGGAAAAGATATTGTGGAAGACCAAGGGAAACTCTACGTAGAACTATCATCAGGGAAGGCTCGCTCATGGGCCACTCAAACATCCAAGACCTACAACAGATTGCAATGAACTGCCATGCATGGAGAGTCATGACCTCTGCCCTATGTGCCGCACTCGACACAAGAGGAAAGACTAACTAACTAACTAACTGGCCTTCGACCTCTTGATCCTTCCCATTGGGGAACCTTTTCTGATGTCATGTGATTTCAGCTCAACACATCTAATTTCAGCAAACTCCTAACTTATTCTGACCTAAGTTACACACTTTGTGTGTTCAGCTGTTACCCTAGCATCTAATAGATGCATTGTGTGTTGTATGGTTTACATTTTGACTGAGCATACTATAGATATTGGCTAGATGCTCGCCGCGGATCGGAAGGTTGTGTTTTCACTCCCTGCGCATGCCAGACTTTAAAACAAAAAATTACCTTGGCTCCCAGGTCAACCCAGCCTTGAGTGGGTACCAGGCGCAGTCCCGGGAAGTAAAAGTGGCTGGCATGATGCTGACCACATCACCCATCTTGTGCCAATTGGTCTATAAAATGTAGGTCTAGTCCTATATGCCCTATACGCCTAAAGGCGTGGAAAAGGGTTCTTTACTTTACTTTTATACTACAGATATTTTAACCTGTAGCACTGTCCTTTAGAAGTTACAGACCTATCCTCTGTCTTTGTGGGTACGAGTACCACTGGCATCTCCGACAAAATCTTCTGGAGCTAAAAGAATTAATTATCACATTTTATGACATGCTTGTTAGAGAGCTGTGGGGGTGTGTTCTTTATTCGTCCACAGTAGAGCCCTGTGGCGGGCAGAAAGATGGGGGGGAGGGGGGTCTTGACTGAAGAAGTTCAAATAATACAACTATGAGACACAGTGGGTCAAGATAACAATTTTTATTAAAGTAAAGGACCTTTTTTTTTTTTTTATGTGTGTCCAGCATGTGATGCTAAACTCATATTTGTATAGACCAGTTGGCACTCTGCAGGTGATGTGGTAATGTCCTCTTGGTTGCCTTTACTTCTAAGGACATTACCTGGCACACATTTTAGATCAGGTCAGCTTGGGAGTTAGGTCAATACTGAAAACATCTGACAAAGTGTGAATTCGAGCGACTAAACACTACACTTTTGTGGCAGCCAGTAACAACTGGGATAAATGGGTTAAAGTGATAGAATGAAACAGAAGAATTTCAGAAATGTATGCCATGTATCATCATCATAAAGTGCCTCTCTGACTGGCATGGGTGGTGATGCTGATGATAAACATTGGTAAAGTCTTGTTTTCATGTCTGTTCTTATCCTGATTATCTCATGCTGCCATGCCATTAGGTAATTACCATGTCTTCCTCTAACTCTTTACTCAGATGTTTGCCATTTGTCACTAAATTTTCAGTTTATTTTCACTTTTAAAAAATGTGCATAAAAATTATTATTGTATACATTTATTTTCACTAACCAGTTTTCAAATTTTGGTTAAGCTTTATTTTTTCATTTTGCTGGCATTATGTTAGCTCAGCGGTTCTCAAGCTTCATAATGCCGCGACCCTTTAATACAGTTCCTCATGTTTTGGTGACCCCCAACCATACAATTATTTTCGTTGCTACTTCATAACTTCAATGACTGTTTTCCCATGGTTTTTAGCAACCCCTGTGAAAGGGTAGTTTGACCCACAAAAGGGTCCCGACCTACAGGTTGAGAACCGCTGTGTTAGCTAAAAGACTGCAATGGCAGGGCTTGTGGAGAGAATAGCACATAAAAGAGAGACATGAATACACAAAAGAGTTGAATGGAATTAGACTATGAGGCAGACCAAGAAGGTCGTGGAGAGATAATATACAAACAGATTTAAAGGCACTTGAAGTCACCAAGTAGAAAGAGAAGGCTTGTCACAGAGTTGAATATGTGGGGGCGGTATCTTCACCAGTGAACTTCAAGAGCTTAGAATGCTGAAGAAGAATTAGAACTTCTTGTTCCCACAACTTGAAAAGGTATTGAAAGTTTCCGAGTTCAAGGATTTGAAGATATTACAGTCAGTGCAATGAAACAGTTGAGAGCTATTACAGAAAGTGCATACCAGAAAGGCTTCTGTCTTTGGCAGGCACACTCAAATAAGTGCATACAGTTAGAAAGGCACTATATTGAAAGAGATCTTCTGCATTCACCCTCAAATGTTGGTTGGCTTTTGTGGGGTGGTTTACAGCTAGGCAGCGATTTATGCACTTTTTGGTCCAACACATTTGGTTTCAGCAGAACCTTAATTTTAAATAATGCGGACTGTAATGTGTCTCATCCACATCTAATCTCTCTTGTGCAGATTCAACACTGACTCTGTTGTCTAGATGTTATGTCACAGTTCATTCCAGCCAGACGGCCCTTCTCTCCACGGCCACACAACTTGAAATGACGGTCGAGGACAGCTGACGCATTTCACAGGTTTATTGTCAACGTAACACAAGGAACAAGAATCAACAGATGAACTAACTTACGCCATTCGGGCAATCTCGCCTTGCTCAGGCTCTGAGTCTCCAGTTACACCTCAGACGATGGACATTGGCATGTACACGACTTGCATAATGAACAGGTCGTGGAGCACAACTGCTGGCCTAAACAATAATTTAACACTGCTGCCTGTCTTGTCGTTCAGGACTAACATGCACTCAATTCTCATCCAAATCCACGTGTGCACCTCTCACTCTGGATTCAGCTTCACGTATTCAGCTTCACATCCTTCCAATCTGGGGCCCAGTCACCGAATGACCACCTCATTCTCAATTCCCCCAGATCTCGCATTCACACGTATCATTACGAGGGCACAAACAATACATTGCACAATTTGTTGCCTGGCATATTTTGCTTATCACGTCAAGTGCATTACTTTAGATTAGAGCTAAATCAACATGTAATGAAAAACAAATCAAATCCTTTTCTTGTTGAGATGTATAAACCACACTGTTGAGTTGCTTTAAATCTATCCACTGGAAATTCAAAATGAGTCACGTGATTACCATGGTAATTTCAAATGGATCACATAATCTTTCTGTGGGGTAGATAATAATTAATTAGTAACTTTTTTTTTGTTTACAAAAGGTTTGTGGGGCAGTGAGTAAACAAAAATTTTTTTATCCCCTCAATGGGGCCCTGGAACCCCCTCAGGGACTAATAATAAAATGATTTAAACTCGCTAACTAGTTAAATTAGGAATCGACATCACAGCACTCAGGACATTTCCATAAGTGCTCCATCCCCCATCTTAAGCGGCAAGCGAAGAGTTCAAATTTCGATGGTACCAGTAACCGTCTGATTGTACATCCATATCATCCTTCTCCTGAGTGTTAAGCATCGGCCAGATCCCCTGGTAACTCTTCGCAGCACCGCTCTCTTCGGACCATAATGATCTATCTGCGCCTCCCCACTATTCGCTCATTCCCAAAAGGCCCACACAATATCTAGCTTGTCAAACATCAGTTCATTACCAAGGGGTGCAGAGCCAGCCAGTCTATCTGTCTGCTCATTTTCCAACACAACAGCCTGAAGAAAATATCCAAAGGATGCTAACTACCTGGGACCTCTGAAGTGATGTTTGCCACTCTACACGAAGCATGCCTGTCTTCACCTTTCTTAACATGCTGTGTGAGTTAGTTACAATCACAGCATGTGTTTACAGCTGATTCTCAATTCAGCGGAAGGCAGCAGAGACTGCTTCTACCTCCATTCTCAAACTAGACGTTGTGATATCATATGCAAGGCTTTGCTGCACTAAGCGATGTCCATTCCCCTTTGCTATGAACACCCATGCACTTCGTCCGCCCCTCAACACAGAGCCATTTGTATAGATAATCACATCAATTGGGCAGGAATTGTCACTTATAATTTGTTGAACTTCTGATTCTGCAGCACCAGCTGGCCAGTCCCGGGAGTGAGTTGAATTCTACACAAGTCTGAAACTTGTTCAGACACCTTGACCCACTCCTCTCCTCGCTCAGATATTTCATGCCTGGACACATGTCCAATTGTATCTTCAGCTTACACCATCCAAGACCTTTCTCTTTTCAGTCTGCGACCCTTAGCTCTACCCAGGACTTCATGCAGGAGGTGCTTCTTGTCTGCAGCTACTCGGAGATATGGCTTTGCCTGCAGAACTTTGAGCCTATCTGCAATAGTAGACAGTGCAAGAATATACTGCATACATACTATCTCTTGTACATCCCAGAATTACCCGCATTGCTTCATTCTGTATGGGAGCATTCCAAGTCCATAATCTATCACCGACTGGATTACATGCTGAAACATTGTGTCCATTGCTGCCATAATCTTGAGATCATTGAGTCCTTTTTGGCATTTCACTGCAACTGCCTTCACCTGACTCCTAAAGGACAAGCTTCTATCAAAAGTCATACTCAGGTACCTCAGTTTGTTTTCTCTGTTGATGTTACTGTTATTAATTGTGAGGCTTGGAACATTAGCTCTTACAATTCTATTGTCCAGAGAGCACCACAAAACAGCCGCCTTTTCTGGGTTGATGACAGCACCCATTCCTGGACACCAGTCAGTCACTTTGTCTACAGTTGCCTGCAGCTCTTGGGCTATCAGTTGTCTATCACTCCCTTGCTGATATGCAAGAACTCACTGACTGGTTCGTCTGCTAACTTACTCCAAAACAGTTCAGTGCCCGAGCCTAATGATGAGCCCTCCTATGTTACAGACAACCTCAGGCCTAATCCAGAAATCTCATTGAGTCTCGTCTTGAGAAGCACACTAAGGGAGTGTTTGTGCCTATTGGAGGAAAGAAGCTCATCACTTTTATGGATGACCTCAATATGCCAGCCAAGGATGAATACGGCTACCAGGTGAGCAGATGGCTTGGTGCTGGTCTTGTTTTATTTTGTTTAGTTTATTTTCATATAAAAAGTAAAGGACCCTTTCCCACACTCTGAGACGTTTGAAGTATATTACATATATTTTATAGACCGGTCGGCACTCGGTGGGTGATGTGATGGTCTTCCCCTGGTACTAAATTTAGACTGGGGGCCAAAGGTCTTCTTTTACCACCCTCCCTCTCCCACCCCCCTCCCCCCCCCCCCCAAAAAAAAATCTGGCTCTCTGCTGATCTGAACCCATGACTCTCAGGCCCACAGGCTAGAGTCTAGCTGTAACACTACAACAGCTCCCCCATGTGGGTTCTGGGGCCCCATTGTGGGGAAAACAAGAATAGACCCACTGCCTCCCCAAAAACATATCGTAAGAGTAGACTAATTGGGGAGCTTCCTTTGAAGTCGGAGTGCATCTGCCGGACAGGCAAGGAACCAACAGTCTGTATTCAAGAGAATGAGATCTGTAAAACTGATGCACACGCAACACTCAGGTTCAGTAGTGGACTGCAGTTCAGTAGTGGACGAGCAACCAGAACCTTCCACCAGAGTTTACAGCTGGTGAACACGAAGAAGAAGAAGAAGAAGACTACAACAGCTCTCTTGTTTTCTTCTCCGTTATTTTAACAGCAGATTACATCCTCTTCTTCATTTTTCTTCTTCATCTTCTTTATCTTGTTCTTCTTTTGTCTTCTTCTTCTTTTTTATTTGCCCTTAAAAGGATGCTTGGCATGTAATGTTGTTGTTAACAGCTAAGCTGTGATAACTGTACCTTTCAGCCCAACATATCAGATTTCAGCAAACCCTTAATAAGTTGCCTTTTATCTTCTGTTTCTTCTTTTCTTTCATTGTGGTAACATGCAGTTTATTACGGTGATAATTTACATTGTATAGTAGTGGTTTTTATTTTACTTCATAATGACAGAGTAATTTATTATATTGTAATAGTTTATAGTCTGTGATTGTAATCATTACCTACTGTCTTTTTGTCTGAAAATTGCTAATATTTTTACATAGTGCAGTTTTGTTCACAGCAGGAATTCTACTTCTTCCCATTCACTGCCTGCGAAAAGTTCTGGATGTTCATCCACCTCCGGATGTTAGTCTTGTTCCAGAACCTGAGTGTTGCATAAACATCCATTTCACAGATCTAGCTTATTTGTATGCAGACTGTTGGTTGTTTGGCTATCAGGTCTGTGTATTCAGACTTTGCAGGAAGCCTCCTACAACATGCTTGTTGGGGATGCAGTGGGTCTATTCTTGTTTTTTTTCCCCCACATTGGGTCTATTCTTGTTTTTTTCCCCCACATTGGGTCTATTCTTGTTTTTCCCCCACAGTGGGTCTATTCTTGTTTTCCCCCACAGTGGGTCTATTCTTGTTTTCCCCTACATTGGATCTATTCTTGTTCCTTCCCCCCCCCCCTCCACAGTGGGTCTATTCTTGTTTTCCCCCCACAGTGGGTCTATTCTTGTTTTCCCCCCACATTGGGTCTATTCTGGTTGTACCCCACAGTGGGTCTATTCTTGTTTTCCCCTACATTAGGTCTATTCTTGTTTTCCCCCCACAGTGGGTTTATTCTTGTTTCCCCCCACATTGGGTCTAATCTTGTTTCCCCCACAGTGGGTCTATTCGTGTTCCTTCCCCCCCCCCCCCCCAAAAGTTGGTCTATTCTTGTCCCCCCCCCCCAGAGTGGGTCTATTCTTGTTTTCCCCAACAGTGGGTCTATTCTTGTTCTCTCCCCCCCCCCCCCCCCCCCCACAGTGGGGCTCCAGAACCCACATGGAAAGTTCCTAGCAGGAATGTATTATTGTTATTATCATAATTTTTTTTTTTAAACACAATCTTGATTTTTGGTCCCTTGGTTTTATGGTAGTTTGTTACTATCTTTACATCATTGTAGCTTTTACATAATTATATTTCTTTAGCCCCCGTTGGAACTGATGAGACAGTGGCTGGAGTATGGGTTTTGGTTTGATCGTAACAAAAGGATTATTCAGTACATCAAAGGCATGTTTCTGGTGTCTGCCATGGGCCCACCTGGTGGAGGCAGAATGGTCATTTCAAATCGTCTGCAGAGCCGGTTCAATCTCATTAACATGACATTTCCTCAGGTATATATCAGACAGGTGCACATCATTATCAGGAATTTGCAAATAATTCTAGTATTTACTCTTTGCTATGTGGCTTTACTTGATAAATTTACACTCAGTAATAACTAAGACGGCATAGTACGTGGCTTAGGTGTTGCGAGTCCAACTCGTAATTCCAGCGTACTGCAATCGAAACCCACTGCTGGCTGCGTAAATTTTTATCATGGTATGGGGCGTCGCAGGTCGACCCAGCCTAAAATAGGTACCAGGATTTATGTCCTGGGGAAGTAAAGACGACTGGTGTAATGCTGATCACATGACCCGCCGAGTGCCGATTAGTCTGAAAAAAACATGGGTGCTCTTCCTAAGTGCCTGAGGCACCTAAAGGTGTGAAAAGGGATCTTTACTTTACTTTACTAATACCTAAGACAGATACAGGATATTGAAGATGCATTGGTCATGAACACTCACAGAGCTAGAGAGTTGGTTAGAAAAAGAGAGACTTTCAGGCGTGAGGTGCAGAGAGTGAAGTATTGTGAAGGTTCTGCTGATTGAGTTGACTGACTGACTGACTTTCTACCCCACCAGGACATCACACAAGCTATAAACACCCGATGACACAAAGTGCCACCATGCGGATGAGAATCACCGGGGAGAGGTCCCAGAAACCGCGTTCAGACATTTGGCCATATGTATGGCCTGCCTATATTGCGGCCCCTGGCAAAAGCCAGAGTAGGGCTTCAAATGAAAAAAAAATTTCGTCCTGAAAAGGACGAAATTGGATCAACTGATTGAGTTTATTGTTTTTTGAATTGAATGATGCTCATGTTGAAAGTAAATATGTCTCATGCAATTTGCATATTGTGCTACATATTTGTTGTTTTCTTTCTTTAGACCAGTGTTAGATAAAACAATCTTCACTGATAGAAGGTGTTTCGGGGGTTCTCTGGGGTGAAGTGGTTGGCCATCTGCCATATGCTGTCTTCTTATTATACCCCCTCTATACACTATCGCAGAAAGTTCTGGTTGTTTATCCACTTCAGGATTTTGGTCTTGTTGTATACCTTGAGTTTTGCATGCACAACTGACAGCTGTTTTACAGATCTGGCTTATTTATATGTAGACTGTCCGTTTCCTACCTCTCAAGCGTATGCATTATGACTTTGAAGAAAACTTCCCTAATGAGTTGCCACATGCTTGTTAGATGAGTCAGTGGGTCTATTATTCTCTCCCCCCCCCCCCTTCCCCCCCCCCCCCCCATGGTGCCCTGGAACCCAAACAGAAAGCCATGTGCTCTAAGAGTTCTAAGAGTTGCAAAGGTTGTGGAATCAGTTTCAGAAGAGTCCATTTGTGGAAGCAGGTGTGTTTTTTTTTTTTAAAAGATCCATTGAAAGTTGTTACTGGAGCTGCAGAGTTTGTATTAATGCTACATTCTCAGTTGTGACCAGCCACTCTGAAGAAATCAAGAGAGAGAGAGAGAGAAAGAACCAGCTATGTACTATAAAGAGGCTCATAGAGGTCAATGATTTTGCCTTTAAACACCATTTAAGAGGTCCTTATGTACCCCTTTTACTTCCTGACAGTTATTGCATGCACCAGTTTTTCTCCTCTATTCTTCAGGATTCCCAGATCAAGCGCATCTTTGGCAGCATGATCAGTCAGAAGCTGCAGAATTTTGAGGAAGAAGTTAAGGTGCTCAGTGACACGTTGACCCAGGGGACAATCGATATGTACCAAGCCATTGTTCTGCGGTTCTTGCCAACTCCCACTAGGATACATTACTTGTTTAATCTGAGGGACATCTCCAGGGTATGAGAAACTAGGGCTTGAGAACACTAACATACTTTATTTGTCTCAGTTGAAAGGTTGTCAGTTTTACATTATTGAGGTTGTTTCAAGTCGTATTCCTGTGGTCCTTGCCACTTCCCACTAGGATACATTACTTGTTTAATCTGAGGGACATCTCCAGGGTATGAGAAACTAGGGCTTGAGAACACTAACATACTTTATTTGTCTCAGTTGAAAGGTTGTCAGTTTTACATTATTGAGGTTGTTTCAAGTCGTATTCCTGTGGTCCTTGCCACTTCCCACTAGGATACATTACTTGTTTAATCTGAGGGACATCTCCAGGGTATGAGAAACTAGTCCTTGTGAGAACACAATCAAAATTGATGTAACTTAATGTAAAGTTCATCTCTTCAGCTACTATCATTGAATCAAACCATATTCCTGTGGGGTTTTTTTTTTTAACCAACTCCAGCTAGGATACCTTACTCATTAAAATCTAAGGGAGATCTCTAAGTGTTGAGAAGTCAGTGCTTAAGAACACAAACTTACATTGTCTTTGTTGAATAGCCATCTTTTCACCTTATGAACCTTTTTTCAAGACATATTCCTGTGGTTTTTGCTAACTCCTACTAGGATACACTAATTATTTAATCTATTGAAAGTCTCTGGGAAGTGAGAAATGATTTCTAATCAGATGCACCTATTCAGCTTATTTCTTAGCTGGCTGTGTAGATATTTTCCCCATGTGTAACTGTTGTCATGAGTTTAGAGCTTAATTATAGGACTGTAAAATACCTGGTTAAATAGTTAGTATTAAAAAAGTTAGTTGCATATCTTTACAGGAGGTTGCAAACCAACTCTAGTGTTTGTTGCTTGTTTGTAGTTTACTGGGCAATTATGCATTTACTAGTTCGCCGTTGCTTTGTAATGAGTGATGCTCCATACTATTGGCGAAATCAATGCAAAATGGTCTGCAGCCAAATCAGAAAGGTTATTTTATATTTATGACCTCTAAGCCACAAAGGCTATCAGTTACTATACCTCACCAGATAGTTACCCAACTATGCTTGTAAAGCAACAAGTAAAGAATCACTGTCTATGCCATGGGGTATATTAGCCTATATTGGCCTATATGTTTGAACCTCCATCAAGGTGTATTTTGAAATTAACCTTTGGGGTCATCCTAACCTGAAAATGAGGGACAGAATACATTCTGGGAAGCTGACACCACATGCCAAATTCACTTGATGCTATGGAAACATAAAATCTCTCCAGCTTTGGCCTTTCTACTACAGATAGTTCAAGTTTTGACAGTATTTGTTTATGTCTGTCTTCTCATCACATGACTATGGAACACTGTACGCCTCTTTCTTATATTTTTCATATATCGTTATGTTTCATTAGTTTATGCCATTGTCACATAGATAGCATGTACCATTTTGATTAGTTCTTAAAATTTTACATATGATATAATATTCTGTCCTTATTAAATGTTGCCATTGTTATATATGCTATATACTCTGTTTATTACATTTTTGCCATCATTACATATGAAATAATATTCATTCTTTATTAAACTTTGCTATTGTTAGGTATGATGAAAGTTCTATTTTTAATTAGCTTTTGCATTTGTTGTATGTGATATATAGGTTTGGAAATCTGTGAAATAGTTTAAATCTAACTTTTAACAAGAAGAGTTCAGATTTGTCACTATGTAATGATAATGGACTTATTCATCAGTGTTTGCTCCTGCAGGTGTTTCAAGGGCTTCTCAGGGCAAATAAGAACTATCACGACACCAAAGCCTCCATCATCAGACTGTGGATGCATGAATGCTACAGGTCAGGTCACTTTGTGGGGTATTGACATATTTGTTGTTATTAATTATGAGAATCATGTTGTGATTGTAGCAGATATTGAGAAATATGGAGACAGTTATGCTCCATGCAAAGTCGCAAGCATTGCTTCAGAGGTTTTGGTAGTAAGCGTCTTTTGGATATTCTCTCCAAGGCAAACAGATGCGTAAGGAAACAAGTAGGCAGACAGACTGGCTGGTCCTCTAAGTTTTTAGGTTGACCGGATTCCCTAGTCACTCCCCACTGCATTATTCTCTTCACATCGTGATTTGTATGTGCTTTTGTGCCATTAAAAGTAAAGGCCAAATGGACATATAATCAGACTACTGCTATGGGAATTTGGAATTCTACCCTGGCTGCTGAAGTTGGACACAGAACACTGATTGGAATGTCCTGAAAGCTCACATATTAGTTCTAAGCTCACATACACTGCTTTTGGTCATCTTGTCTCTGTTCCTGTATAAAGACTTCCATGGTCTGTAAAATGCTACCTAGATACTGAAACACCTGAATCTGTTGACTTTGGTATTTTTGTTGTTTAGTTGGCTTGGCGATTTGTATCTTTTCTTAATTTCTGTCTTGAACATATCAGCCTTCATATTGTATAGTTGACACTTTCATTGCAATACATATACCATTTTTCTGCTTTTTCTGTGTATATTTCTTTGTAGGTATGTATGTATACTCTAGCCGGGTGTAAAAAATAAAGATAAGACACATTTTTGTGACATTTGAGATGGAGAAATCTTCATATTTGATTCAACTTTTGAGTGATAGGGTTTGTTTTAGTTAGTATTTTCTTTGTTCGTGAAATGTAGTTTAATATCGTTCACTGTTATTTACAGTGTAAAAGTAAAAAAGAAGTAAAGGGCACTTTCCCACTCCTTTAGGCATATAGGACTAGACCTGTATTTTAAATACCAATCAGCACAAGAAGGGTGATGGGTTAGCAACACGCCGGCCACCTTCACTTCCCAGGACTGCATCCGGTACACACTCAAGGCTGGGTCAACCTGAGAGCCAAGGTCATTTTTGAAATAAGTCTGGCTTCACCATGGAGTGAACCCACAACCTTCTGATCCGCAGGCGAGCGTCTAGGTATTTACAGCATGTCTTGACTTTATTCATGCACAAGATAATTAGTTATTCATTTACAACTGACAATTTATGCAGGGTTTTCTCAGATCGGCTGATAGACCAAAAGGATCTGCAGGCATTCTCAGATGTTCTCTCAGAGAAATTAGGGGTTGTCTTTGAGCAGACCTTCAACAACCTGTGTCCTAACAAAGCCATTCCATTGTTTGGTGAGTATATTGTTGTTCTTTACTTGTTTTCTGTACTTCCATCTTTTTTTTTTAAACTTTTATCTTCTGAAAAATTTGGCCTATAATTTTTACGGGACACAATGACAACTGATTACAAACATCAGGAATAAACATTATCAACCTTTCACTAAATTATGAGAAGAAATTAGTACCTGTTGTAACAATTTGAAACATTTAAGTAAGAGATATAGAAGAAGACAGGTAAAAGATTCTTGAAAGACCCTTTTTCTGGCAGTGAAGGGTGCCAGCAACAGCAGTGATACATGCTGTTTTAGTGATATGCTAGACATGCTGGACTCCATTGCTGCCATGAAGTTCTGTGGTATTGCACACTATAGAAGGGAATTAAGGAATAGACTGTGAGCCCTAGGTGACCTATAATGGCACAACATGATGATGTTTAGGTCACTAGATGTGGAGAAGCATGATCATCCATGCTGCATGCTAGAAACTTGAGGATATTGATTTCTTACTGCTATCTTTTTTTTTTTTTAAACCATTATTGGCTTTGGACTTAACAAAAACAAAACAAATACAGCAGAGTACAGTATGGGTGCTACCTTTCTTTTAAAGTAAACAAGGCAGGACAAGGAAAGGATCGTGCTGCATAGGCAGTGCATGGTCCCTAATATACTGCCCAAGCTTTGTGCTATGGAGGAACTTCATCCTTGGCCTTAATTGGTCTTGGAAGACTTATGCCAGCTCCCTATAGCACAGTATAACATGGTTGTCTGGCGAACACAACAGAAAAAGAAGAGGATCTGCTAGAACAGTGGCTCTCAACTTCATAATGCATCAACCCTTTGATGCAGTTCTCATGTTGTGGCAACCCTTTAATACAGTTCCTCATGTTGTGACGACCCACAAACATACAATTATTTTCGTTACTACTTCATAACTTCAATGAACATTTGTTTTCCGGTGGTCTTAGGCAATCCCCTGTAATAGTGTCGTTCGACCCCAAAAAAAGGGTTGTGACCTGCAGGTTGAGAACCACTGTCCTAAAACATTGCAGGCTGGGTCAGCATGAAAGGCAAGGTCAATCTATTTTTTTTTTTTAAATCATAGCTTCGGGATTCAAGCATATGACTACCAGGTTGCACTCCAGCATGGGGGTGGACTTTAATTTGTTTGTATTTGACCTTTTATAAGTAGACTAACAGACGGAGGTGTTTATCGAGGGTGCAGGAATTGAAAATTGTCTTTCCTGCAATTACTGACCTCGTCATTGTCATTGACATCATCATCATTATTGACAGCTCCTTTATTGACATCATCATTATTGACATTATTATCATTACTGAAAGCACCATCAGTGGCATCAATGTTTTCATTGACATCATCTTTATTGACATCATTATTGACATCATCAACATTATCATCATTGAAATCATCATCATTCTAAGCCAGCTCTTTTTTCTCTGGCAGGTGATTTCATGAACCCTCAGAAAATTTATGAACAGCTGGTTTCAGCAGAAAATGTCAAGACGTTCATGCTGGAACAACTGCAAGTGTACAATGACACACCCAAAATTGTCAGCATGGACCTAGTGCTTTTCAGGGATGCAGTTGAGCACAGTAGGTTCATAAAGTTTTTTCCATTATGATTTTCTTCTTCTTCTTCGTGTTCACCGGCGGGAAGTTCTAGTTGTTCATCCACTTCTGGACTCCAGCCTTGTTCCAGAACCTGAGTGTTGCATGTACATCCCTTTCACAGGTCTGACTCATTTGCAAGTAGACTGTTATTTCCATGCCTCCGACTTTGAAGGACGCTCCCAATTAGTCGACTCATATGACATCCTTTTGTGCAGGCAGTGGGTCTATTCTTGTTTTCCCTCAGAATGGGGCCCTGGAACCCACACAGGGGATTATGATTTTGATTATGATCATCAGCACAGCTACCTTTATTGTAAAAATTTCATTTTTTTTTTTTTTAATTGATGCTTTATGGTTGTTAGTCTGTAATATTAATTTTGTTTATTTCACTTCATTTTATTTTTATTTTTACGTCCAAGTTATCAAAATCAGAAATTTTGAAAATCATTGTCGCATAATTTTTCTTAGACACTGATGGATCATGGAGACGAAAATGCTGACATTAAACAAAATCTTAACATTTATTAAAACTGGCTAACAAACCTGTCTCAGAAACTGTAATACCTTACCCATATTAAATGCTGTTTGTTGCACAGGGCTTTAGGCAGAGAAGCAGTACGCTGGGGAGGATACTAGCCTTAGCTTAGGACCAGCAAATACAGCTTAAAAACCTAATTCTATAGGATGCAAATCAGGCCCATGGTTTTGGTTTGCAACTGGTCAAGAAAGAAAGTTCTGGCAGTTAGACAAAGCAGTGTTCTTATGATCTGGCAGTTTCTGCAGCATGTTTTGTTCCAAATATATTGGTGTTGTCTTTCCTTTGAGGTTGACAAAGCAGGCAGAGTGAGGGGTCATGCTGTAGGGGCTACACTTGGTCTGTATAATACTGGCCAGGTTTTGTGCTGTGGACATGAGGAACTTAACATCCCTGGCTTTAATTGATATTACCATGGAATGTGTTTACGAGGTCTGCCTATATCCCTGTGGAACACCGACGTCTGGAAAGGTGGAAAGGTGCCAGCAACAGTACTGCAAAGGCATGGTTCCCAAAAGATAAGGCCATGGTTGACCAGGACAGAAGTGGCACAGTACTGTGAATTTCAGAACACGTTGGGTATAAAAATGCATGTGACAGGTAAACTGGCAAGTGGCCATTATGTGAGCTGTCTGCTGCTTGCTAATGATGTGCTTTAAAATATTAAGAATTTGCACAGCTGCAAGAAAAACTGATGCTTCTAGAACAAAAAAATAATATTGGTAGTGCATATGTCTTCTGTCACAATTGTTGTCACAAGTTTTTCTTTTACCTATATATAAACAAAGCTTCTTTCTGTATTCAACAGTCTGTCTGGGGGTTTTTCCTTCTTTTAATTTTACTCTCCTCTTGTGGGTTCCGGGGCCCCATTGTGGATGTGAAAAAAACAGGAATAGCCCCACTTTCCCCTTACAAGCCTGTGGTAGGGGTAAACTAATTAGCGATGTTTCCTTTCAAATCGGGGTGCATCTGCCTGAGGTGCGAGGAACCAATTGTCTGCAAATAAAAAGTCAGATCTCTCAAATGGATATGTATGCAAAACTCCATTTCTGGAACAAGACTAAAGTCCAGAAGTGGATGAATAACTAGGAATTTCTGCTGGAGTTTACAGCTGTTGAACACAAAGAAAAAGAAGATTATTGTCCACTGTATCATCTTCATCACCATCATTACTTTCTTTGTTATCACCATCATCATCATCAGAATCATCAGTGCCAATGTATTCTCAGATATAGGACACCAGCAGGGGAATAAATCTTTAACCATACCGTTTGTTGGATATGGAGGTGCATTCAACTCACTCATTCATTCATTCAGTAGCATGTCCCTCGCGGAACCTCGCTGCCATAACAACCCTCCGGAAAACCTTCCTATCCTGAGCAAGATGTCCTGCGTCTGATACACCCATCTGGAGATCATCTGCCACATCCTGACCCATCTTCTCCTTGGCCTTCCTCTTCCTCTCTTCCCAGGCATATACCCCTCCATTATTGTTCTCTCTAGACTTCTGTGACGTTTCAAGTGACCAAAATATTTGAATTTTCTTTGTTTTATTGTCTTTACTAGCCAACCCTCTTCAATATTCAGCATTCAACTAAGGGAACAAAATATTTCAGTAATGAGAACAAAACGTGGTCATTAAACGCTTGTGGAGCTGCTGAGAAGGAAAAGGTGATCAAAGTACCTGTGGATTTGTACAGAGTGCTCTGTATAATCATCATCATTATCCTGTTGTACTGTTAAATATCACATAGAGCTGCAATATTATTAGTCTTCCATTTGACTCTATCTTGTGCATTCCTATGTGAATCGTGGATATAATCTAGTCCATTTCCCATAGCCTGTCTCAGAAAATGTGTGTCTCAAAGTTTTTGTTGGACGTCTTCCCTTTCTCAATCTACTTGTTTCTCATTTCAGTGCCTGTTTTGGTTTGTATAGCTGCCATAATAGTCATCACTAATCATGTAATGGACACCAGTAGATGATACATTTTATAAAGGTACAATTTCCTTTCAGTTTCCAGAATCGTGCGTGTGATTAGACAACCTCATGGCAACATGCTGCTGATTGGCATCAATGGCAGTGGCCGGCAGAGCTTGACCCGTCTAGCCTCGTTTCTGTGTGACTATGTTGTCTTCCAGATTGAGGTCTCTGATCGTTATGGCAAGCATGAGTTCAGGGAAGGTATGCTCTAGGTTTATTGTGTGGCTTCAGAAAAGACAATCTTTTTTTTTTTTTTTTTTTTTGTGATTAGGCACGCAGGCCTGTCTTACATTTGGCCCTGCCAGTCACTCATCTTCTATATAGTGGTTGTACTGTGTGTTTCTTACTTTGCATATTAAATGCATACAGCAATTAATAATAGTACGAAACTAGAGCATAGCCATAAACGAGTGAACGAACAAATACATTTTATTTCCAGTGTCGGTTGCGAACGAACGAACGAACTTTATTTTCAAAGGGTCACAAATTGTGCACGCAGGACCGTCTTACATTAGGCCCTTCCAAACACCCGTCTTTCACACTGCAGCTGTATTTTATCACAAAGCATGTTATATTCATACGATGATATGGATATGATGAATATCAAAAGAGAAAAAAAAAAAAAGAAAAAGCACAAAAGCCTGGGTGGTAAAATGCTTGCACACACTAGCGCACCAACACACACACACCCACCCACTCACTTGAACACACCTACATACCTTCACATACACATAAATACACCCCATTCACCCACATATATACCTACATACCCACACAGACACGCACATTCTAGAAACTTACAAACAGATATATACACACGCACACACAGACACACCCATAGAAACAAATGTAGAAACACGCGCACATACAGACATTTGCGTACAGACCCAATGACACACGCAGATACACAGACACACACATGCGACACACACACAAACCGGCATACACACACACACGCAAACTCACACATGCAGACACACACAAACACACACAGATACATGCACACAGGCACGCTCGAAGACATGCAAACACACACACAATCGCAAACACATACACACAACCACAGACACACACACGCAGGAGCATGCGCAGACATTCATACACACAGGCACACACAACTAGGCATGCAGGCCTGCCTTACTTTTGGCCCATCTATTTACTCACCTTTGGCCCTTCCATTTACTCACTTTTGGCTCTTCCATTTACTCACTTTTGGCCCTTTCATTTACTCACTTTTGGCCCTTCCATTTACTCACTTTTGGCCCTTATATTTACTCACTTTTGGCCCTTCCATTTACTCACTTTTAGCCCTTCCATTTACTCACTTTTGTCCCTTATATTTACTCACTTTTGGCCCTTCCATTTACTCACTTTTAGCCCTTCCATTTACTCACTTTTGGCCCTTCTAGCTACTCACTTTTGGCCCTTTCATCTACTCTCTTTTGGCCCTTCCAGCTACTCACTTTTGGCCCTTCCATTTACTCACTTTTGGCCCTTTCAGTTACTCACTTTTGGCCCTTTCAGTTACTCACTTTTGGCCCTTCCAGTTACTCACTTTTGTTCCTTCCAGCTACTCACTTTTGGCCCTTCCAGTTACTCACTTTTGTTCCTTCCAGCTACTCACTTTTGGCCCTTCCAATTGTTCACTTTCACACAATAATTACATTAAGGTGTGTAAACTATGTTGTTTTCATTTAGCTGTAAACATAATATAAATATTAAGTACAGACATAATTGCATTGATAACAGACACATACATGAACATGTGGGCAAACGCAGTTACATAAATAAATACATTCATACATGCATGCATCATACATACATACATACATACATACATACATACATACATACATACATACATACATACATACATACATACATACATACATACATACATAACATACATACATACATACATCATACATACATACATACATACATACATACATACATACATACATACATACATACATACATACATGCATGCATGCATGCATGCATGCATGCATGCATGCATGTATGTATGTATGTATGTATGTATGTATGTATGTATGTATGCATGCATACCTGCCCGCCTGCCTGCCTGCCTGCCGCCCGCCAGCCCGCCCACCCACACACACACACCCCCCTACATACATACATACATACAGACACACATACATACAGACACACATACATACAGACACACATACATACAGACACACATACTTACAGACACACATACTTACAGACACACACACATACAGACACACACACACACACAGACACACTCACACACACACACAGACACACTCACACAGACACACACACACACAGACACACTCACACAGACATACACACACAGACACACACACAGACACACAGACACACACACACACACACAGGCAGACATACATACATACATACATACATACATACATACATACATACATACATACATACATACATACATACATACATACATACATCATACATACATACATACATACATACATACATATAACATACATACATACATACATACATACATACATACATACATACATACATACATACATACATACATACATACATACACACACACATACACACACATATATTTACATTCACATGTTCATGCTTCCATACCGACACACAAACTCATATCACACACACAATAGACTCATGTGATGACTGTCTCTTTTTTCTTTTTTTTTTCTTTGCGTTCACCAGCTGTAAACTCTGGCAGAAAGTTCTGGTTGTTCATCCATTTTTGGACTGCAGTCCAGTTCCAGAACCTGAGTGTTGCCTGTGCATCCGTTTTACAGATCTGACTCATTTGTATACAGACTGCTGGTTCCTCACCTCTCAGGCAGATGCACTCTGACTTCAAAGGAAGCTCCCAGTTAGATGACTCTTACAACATGCTTCTGGGTAGGCAGTGGGTCTATTCTTGTTTTCACTATAATAGGGCCCCGGAACGCACACAGGGATGTTTCTTTTTGATGTATGGGACAAGTTATCTTCATGTCTTAGCATCTGTCAGTTCAGTTTGATTTGGCTCTGTATAATCGCAACAAGATTCTGCCTGTCTGACAGATATGAAGAAGCTGTATTCTCAAACTGGAGTGCTGAACAAACCAACTGTGTTTCTCTTCAGTGATGTTCAGGCAGCCGAGAAGAGTTTCTTTGAAGATGTGAACTGCATCCTTAGCAGTGGGGAGGTGGCAAATCTGTACAGGAATGATGAACTGGAAGAGGTTAGTTCATTCACTAAATTCTGTTAGCAACATCCATTATCTTTATCAGGTATCATCATTCTTATTGTCATTGTACCATAAGGACATTTGCTGGTGTGTGTATGTCCTGTAAGACTGAATACCTGGTAATTACAATATAGGGTTCCTCTTCTCCTCCTCCTCCTCCTCGTCTTATTCTTCTTGTTGTAAATGTTCCTTAGCTGTAACTCTGGTGGAAAGTTCTGGTTGTTCCTCCACTGCTGCAGTAGGTCTATTACCCCCTCCCCCCCACCCCCGCCCCACTTTCCTGCAACTCCACCAACGGGCTCTAGAACCTCATCATTACAATAGAAACATAATTCTAATTACAAAAGATGTGTAGTGGCACCATTTATTTTTACATTTATAGAGAATTTCTTTTTCCTCTTCTTTTTCTCCTGCTGCTACTGCTGCTGCTGCTTCACCGCCTCCTCTTCTTCTTTCTCGTGCTTCTTCTTCTTCTTCTTCTTTTTCTTCTTCTTTTTCTTCTTCTTCCTCCTCCTCCTGATACTCCTTCTCCTCTTCCACCTGTTTACATTTCCTACAGTAAAACAAATAGAATCCATTTGTGTGACAATATCTACAAATAATATGCAATAAAAGCATTGTTTTGTTAATTTTCATCAAATAACATTGATAGAAATGGAATTCATGCTGGTTAAGTAAATTACGAGGTTGTCTGAGTGCAGTTTGAACGGTATTTTTCTCTGCCTTCATGTTTCAGATGAAGAACGTACTGTCCCATGAACTGAATAAAGAGGGATTAGAAGACAGTATACACAGTGCTTACAGTTTCCTCATAGACAGAGTCAGAGCCAACTTGCATGTTGTGCTCTGCATGAGCCCATTGGAGGATGAATTTCGGTAAACAAACTCTCATACCCCCTTATTTTTTTTTATTTTTTTTTTAAGACATTTTACAGACATCAGAAGGAGACAGTCATCATTTTTCGGCCATGTTATAAAAAGAGGGAAAATAGAACATGTTGTGACCACTGGAAAGATCTGTGGAAGGAGGGATAGAGGAAGACAACAAATGAAGATTCTTGACAGTCTTGTTGCATGGCATGGAGGTGTGTCAGCACACAAACTGATACATGTTGCAGGAGATCGCAGATTGTGGAGAGACATGATCGCCCATGCCATTCGGCAAGGCACCTGATAATGATGATGATTTTACATCCACAAAGATGAGAGTAGCCAATGCTACCCATCCAGCAGAGGATCAGAAATGTAACAGCATAAGTGGAAATTGATGACCCGGAAAACTAAGCAACATCCCTCCATTGAGTTAAGAGTTGGATCATCTTCACAGCACTCCGGACACATCCGTAGGTGCTCATATTCCCCCTTTGACATGTTTGTCAGCATTGCATGGTTAATAGTGCCAATCTTATGCTGGCTGACGAGACTTTGTATATGTCCTGTGTGCTTCTCATGCTTGGCTGTGCCAGTCTTTACTCCACTGTGGTGTCATTGTTTACTGTTGCATCACTCGTTATCTTGTAGTCAACTCTAGCATTACATCTTCTTCTTAGCTTTAACTGACTACAAAAATTATGGCTGAGTTCTGGTTGTTTATCCACTTCTGGACTTTGGTCTTGTTCCAGAATTATGGTTTTGCTTGCACATCAGTTATACAAATCTGGCTTATTTGTATGCAGACTCTCGGTTCCTCTCCTCTGACAGTTGCATTGAATCTTGCATTCACCTTTTTTTTAAATGACTGTTGAACAGGAAGGTGAGCTATTACTGCTTTCCCGAAAATTGTGCTCCAGAATTACTTGGAGATCTTGCACACCAAAAATTAATGAAAAGTGTCAGTCAGCTATTCTTAATTATGTTATCCTATTGATGCACGAGCAGTTGGCTTTCTAGTAACTAGACTTCACTCCTAGTTTGGTTAAATATGATCTCACAATTTGGAAGTTGAATGGAGGTGGGTGATATCTGCAACACTGAATCGCAAGGGCTCAGAATGTCAAAGAATTGGATGATGACTGTGGTGATGCATGTCATCATTGTAGTCATCAGCATAAATTTCCACTTCTGCTGTTAATTGTTGTGGGGAGGAACAGTTTTTGATCCACTGCTTGATGGGCAGCAGTGGCTATTGTCATTCCATGTTGATTAGAAGCTCTTTAATGTCATCATTCCATTTTCTCCCACCCACATTTGTTTTTGTTCGGGCTGCATTTTTTACTAAATGATCAAACTATCTGATCTTCTGTTTCTCAATAAATTTGCTGCATGGTGTTGTTCCTACAGTCTGATAATATCATATCTAACTTTGTCTCGGATGGTCAAGTTGGTGGCTTTTCTCAGACATCTTATTTCACAGGTATTACCCAAGACGATGCATGTGATTACTGCTAATCTTTATACACTTTCTGTCTTTCAGAAACAGTATACGAATGTTTCCAGCGTTGGTGAACAATACAGCCATAGACTGGTTCCATGAATGGCCTGCAGAAGCACTGCTGGAGGTGGCAGACAAGTATATTTCTGACATGGTTCTTGGCAACACTCAAGCAGTAAGTTGTGCTGATAATCTTCCTGCTTTGTTACAAGCAGTAAGTTGTGCTGATATCTTCCTGCTTTGTTACAAGCAGTAAGTTGTGCTGATAATCTTCCTGCTTTGTTACAAGCAGTAAGTTGTGCTGATAATCTTCCTGCTTTGTTAAAAGCAGTAAGTTGTGCTGATAATCTTCCTGCTTTTTTACAAGCAGTAAGTTGTGCTGATAATCTTCCTGCTTTGTTAAAAGCAGTAAGTTGTGCTGATAATCGTCCTGCTTTGTTACAAGCAGTAAGTTGTGCTGATAATCTTCCTGCTTTGTTACAAGCAGTAAGTTTTGCTGATAATCTTCCTGCTTTGTTACAAGCATTAAGTTGTGCTGATAATCTTCCTGCTTTGTTACAAGCATTAAGTTGTGCTGATAATCTTCCTGCTTTGTTACAAGCAGTAAGTTGTGCTGATAATCTTCCTGCTTTGTTACAAGCAGTAAGTTGTGCTGATAATCTTCCTGCTTTGTTACAAGCAGTAAGTTGTGCTGAAAATCTTTCTGGATTGTAACAAGCAGTAAGTTGTGCTGATAATCTTCCTGCTTTGTTACAAGCAGTAAGTTGTGCTGATAATCTTCCTGCTTTGTTACAAGCAGTAAGTTGTGCTGATAATCTTCCTGCTTTGTTACAAGCAGTAAGTTGTGCTGAAAATCTTTCTGGATTGTAACAAGCAGTAATTTGTGCTGATAATCTTCCTGCTTTGTTCTTTTCTTGTCTTTTCTTTGTGTTCATGGCTGTAAACAAGCAGAACATTCTGGTTTGTCATCCAGTTCTCAACTTTTGTCTTGTTCCAGGACTTGACTTTTGCATTCTGAAAGACCCATATTTCTGTCTTCTGTTTCTGAAGTCGTACTGACTGAATATTTTCTATTTTTACATGTAGCTAAACTGAACCCATAGTGCCACAGATTTTGTGCAAATAGATACACACTCATAAACACATAGATATACAAGATTACCTTAAGTAGATTTTGCCACATGATTTGTGGGATACACAGTCACACAGCTACCGGCCCAGTATGGTGGATAGGCCGGCTCACTTTTTAAGCCTTGAAGAGTTATTTGCTTTTAGCTATAGTTTTCTCATACAAAGGTCTCATTGCCCAGCTACTGAGCTAAGTGCCTGGTGTGACACTGTGAGCTTTATCATTGTGGTTTTGTGTTGTGAACTGCACTAAAAAAGGTGGGTGGCCAGTTATGTTCAGAATAGCATGAACTGTTGCATTAACCCTCTTAGCATGGGAAGTTTTTCAGATGTCTAGCCAAAAACACGGAGCATTTTTTCAGTAAATTTGGTTATTACTTTATTTAATTTTTTTGGACACATTTCTGTCATTCTGAAGGATATAGATTGAAGTTCATGATTTTCACAATGTCGTTAAAATTAATTGATGTATATGCAAATTATCTCATTTGCATATTTAAAAATAGAAAATTAGAATGTGAATTTTCAACTTCAATGCATGAAACATATAACTAAAAACAAAAATATATTTTATTTGAAATCTTTTTACTGATGTTTGGCCTTTTTACAAATGTTGCAAGCAATTCAGTAGTCAAAAACAGGTATATATATATATATATGAAACAGCAATAATATCTTTAGGTGACATGTGTTTTTGACCATCAGTCAGCACAAGAAATGGATGTGCCGGAGTGTCAACACCTTCGGGTGGATATACCCTGAGCCATGGTTGGGCTGTGGTCTGAACACAACAGCGTCCCCATCTGATTCCCCACTATTACTACTAACACTAAATCCTGCATTAGTATCAACAGAATTAGTGTCATCACTTGATTCAAATGTTTTATCAACATCAAGTTTAGGGGCAGAAACATACGAGTCAGACATACTTTTAGCGGTTCAGGTCACTATCTAAAAAATGCAACAACAATTTTCACTTCGATACCAAACACTCGAAAGTCGCCATGTGTAAAGCTAATACAGCAGTGAATATAAATGAATCACTTTCAGTGTTCCAAAATAGGAGATTTCTTAGCGGTTCGAGGCAAAACACGATCGGGCCGATGATCGGTCGTTCCGTGTTTTTGGCCAGTTATCCGCCGGCCGATAATCGGCCCGTCCGTGCTAAGAGAGTTAATGTTTGTGTAATTGCCGGCTTGGTGCAACTGACTGCATCAACAGTGAGCTGTAATTCTGGTGGGGGTCTGTTAGTGTTGTCACCTCTTGTGTGTGCAAGTTCTATATTTTGCTGAGACTGATCTGCTTTTCAGTGCTTGGTGTGACTCTGTGAGCTTTGGCATTGTGGTTTTGTGTTGTGAACTGCATTAAAAAGGGTGGGTGGCCACTTATGTTCAGAATAGCATGTGCTTATGCATTAATGTGTTTGTAATTGCCGGCTTTGTGCAACTGACTGCATCAACAGTGAGCTGTAATTCTGGTGGGGGACTGTTAGTGTTGTCACTTCTTGTGTGCCCAAGTTCTAGATTTTGCTGAGACTGATCTGCTTTTCAGTGGTTAAAACTGGACAGTGTAAGGTACTTTGTGTAATTTCCTTTGGCACAGGGATGAAGTAATTACAGGGTGACCTGTTGGTTGTAAGGCTCAGGTCTTGGCTAACTAACTGACTAACTAACAAAGTCACAGATATAACACAAACAATAGCTACATGCTAGTCTCAACTGAAAGCACAGGCAGCTACCCATATTGTATGGCTGAGCTCATGAAAAAGATTGTGTAGTGGCTAGCACACATGTCTGCTGGTTTGAAGGTCATATGTTTGGATCTACTTGTTCTTCTTTTTAGCTTTCACCAGCTGTGAACTCTAGCAGAAAGTTCTGGCTGTTCCTCCACTTTTGGAGTTTAATTTCCTTTTTAGAACTTGAATTTTTGTGTGCACATCTGTTTTACATCTGTGCTAATTTTTTTAAGACTGTTGGTTCCTGGTCTCTCAGCAAATGCCCTCTAACTTTAGAGGGGAAAAAAAACTCTGAGTTGTTTCCCTTTACAGCATGCTTGATATGGAGGCAGTGGGACCATTTTTTTTTCTGCCCATGAAATGGGGCCCTGAAAACCACACAGGGTATATGTCTGAATTAACAGTGTGGATTTATAAAAACAGACATTCTGCAAGGGTCAGAAAAGGTGACTAATTAAGAGTTTGCTGAAATCTTCTTCTGAAATTATATGATTTGAGCCAAAAGACATAAATACATAGCCTAGCTGTAACTGACCCACAAAACATTCTGCTAGCTGCCTTTGTAAGGACTAAAACAGAAGAAGAAAATCGCAACACCTATTCCAGTGCAGAGCTGCCCAGTACTCTAATTGCCTTACTTAGTGTCCTGTTTATATTTGTGTTTGCATTTTGGTGTTGATTTTTTTTTTTTTTTTTTTGCAGGATCGAAAACAGTTTCGTCTGGTAAGTGTACAAACGATCATCAACAATGCCTTTTTTGTCCTGGTGCTTTGTGTACTTGTATTTTAACAATTTCCTAGTTCACATTTAAATTACCATTTTTGGTTTCTACAATGATTCTGTTTTCTGCATCTATTATTGTAGTTCATTATGATCTCCGGCCTCATGTACTTTCACATTCAAGGAGTCACTTATATCCTGTGCCCATTTTCGTGTCGGTCGGCCCCTGCCCCTCCTTCCTGGTACCATGCCTTCTGCTATTATTTTTTCAATCCACCATGTTGCTTGATATGACCAGAATATTTCAACTTCCAAGACAAGATGCTGTTTATTAGCTAATTTTCCTTGATGTTCAGATCTTTTAAAATAATCCAGAGACTACATGAGGTTAAAGCCACTGTCTTGTTAAGCAAGCACAACCTTCAGAAAGAGTTCTACAGTACCCTCCCATTTCTTTTAGGGTATTTGTTTGTTTTATCTCACAACAGTATCTGTTAATAAGAATGTCTAAGTTGTCTAAATTTAATGGCTTTCATTTTTAGTGTTCTAAATTTAACAGATTTTGGGTTCACAAGTTTATGAACCATAAGGTGCATTCTTATATAGAAATATATGAATGTGAGTCATGGAATGTCTCACAATCTTTATAGAAAAAAATCTGGGGCTTGTGAGCTAAAGGCTACTGAAAAATTCTTAGAAATACCGTAAACCAGTATGAACAGAAATATTGACATTCTGAACATCGATGACAATTAGCTCAAAAACTGAGACTTTAGCCATATTAAACCAATAGTGGTAAAGGGCAGGGTATCAGTTAAGAGAAGCAGATGCCAACCACTATAAAGGATGGCACAGGACATAAGTGACACCTTGGCCAGGAAAGTGCATGAGGTGGGAACATTGGCAGGAAGCCTTGTTTTTTTTTAATCAGTCTGTGAAAGGAGTGCCATTCTGTAAACAACCTGCTACACAGTGATGATGATTAGGTAGGTATATAGATAATTAGTAAAGTGGTGGGTAAGCTAATCAACTGATGAATGAATGGTAGAAGATTTCAGTATCCATAGGTTAGAAAAACAAAAATGGTTGAGTCATAAAGTGAGAATGCAGCCAGACCAAACTGCACATGAGACTTTTTACCTCAGAAAATCTGGGAGGAAGGCGAGAGCAAGACCCACCATTTATAGCAGGAACCTGCAAAAAAGGTGAAGAGATCTATCACCGAAGCCACCCAAGATGCGCAAGACAAATACAGAAAACCACAACACTGAGCTACACAGCCTGGTTTCAGAGAGATGACAAAATGCCTAAATAAGTTGTTCTGAATCTTATCAATGCCGCGACCCTTTAATACAGTTCCTCATATTGTGGTGACCTCCAGCCATAAATTATTTTTTCCTTGCTGCTTCATAACTTCAGTGAATATGTGATTTTCGATGGTCTTTGGCAACCTCTGTGAAAGGGCTGTTCGATTCCCAATTGGGTCACGACCCTCAGTTTGAGAACCGCTGGCCTAGATGGATCAAAGAATTGGTAGATGGAATCAAAATTGTTGGCAGTGGTATTGGATCAGTATGTGTTTTGGAGATATGGTAGACTTTTAATAAAAGATACAGAATGTTTGCTAACAGATGTTCTTCTTGTACACAACTACAGCAAGAAAGCAAAGCGTCCCTGTCGCAGATGTTCATGTTGGTCCACAAGTCTGTGGCAGAATACTCCACCAAGATGTTTCAGGAGATCAGAAGATTCAACTGTGTGTCCCCGACCAACTATTTGGAGCTAGTCACTGGATACAAGGAGTGTGTGCAACATCTATCCTGTCTTTGTTTATGTTAACATCTGCCTGCTTGTTGTCTTGATAAATTTTTTTTTTTAAATGTATTAGCCAACAATTTTGGTATTATCAACGTGGCATTTGTAGACCAAGAGAAAGCTTTCATTTAGTTAAAAGGAATAAATTATGGAAGGTACTACAGGATTAAGGGAGCCACCCTGGTCTAGCAGCTAGACACTCACCTGCCAAAATTACCTTGGCTTGGAGCTTTGAGTGGCTACCAAGTACAGTCCTGGGAAGTCAAGGCAGCTGGCGGGGTGCTGACCACATCACCCACCAAGTGCCGCTTAGTCTATAAAATATTGGTCTAGCCCTATACACCCAGTAGGCCTGCAGGTGTGGAGAAGGTCCTTTACTTACTAACTACAGGAGTACGGGGTAAACAATTAAATATTATTAAATTGTGCAAGAGCTTATACGAAAACAGTAAGTGCACAGTTAGAACCTCGGAGAAGTTATTTATAAGATCTGGGATGAGACAGGGATGTATTTTATCACCACTACTGTTCATCACATCCATCAACCAAAATTGGCAGTCAGCTAGCACCAGCGGAGGGGACAACATTGGAGAATTACTAAATGGATTGCTTTTTGTCGATGACCAAGCAGTCATAGCACTAACAGCAGCACAAGGCCATATTACTAGACTCCAATCAGCAGGGAACAACTATGATATTTTTTTTTTTTAAGTATCCAGAAACCCATGAGTTGTAAACCCTTTGGCTCGGTACTATGGATATCGTAACCCTTGGGCCTTGATTCCATTATAGGTACTGTAAATCTGGGAGAAATGTGGCTTTTCTTCCTACCCTCAGGAGTAAACCCGGACCACAAGGAGTTCGTCATCCGGCAGTTGCGAAGTCAGCTTTAACCAGCTACGCTAGCGAGCCGGGCAACAACTATGATATGAAGATCAACGAAGACAAAACTTATGAGCATCTTTTCTGAAGCCGGAAGAAGTAACAGAAATCTAGCAAAAATGCAATAAAGCCAATCAATTTTTGGGCCAGATGGCACTAATTTTGAAATATAAGCAGGTGAATATGAACAAAATAGAACCCTGTTCAACTCAGTAGCTCAGGCAGCAAAGCCATAGACTTCCGTCCATATGTGAAAACTGCATTAGCAAAGCCCTATCGGAAGCAGACATAGGTTTGAAGAAAACATACTGCCGTGCCTAGTCCTCCATTTTGGATCAGAAGTCTCCCAACAACAGATTAAATGGTTTGGCCATATAGTAAGATTGGCATCAAACAGGAAGCCACATAGAGCAGTGTTGTACAGATGCAGCAGTAACGGAACTAGAGGTCGAGCACACAAAAGATGGACAGCAGAAATATCAGAGACACTGAAAAGTATATATACAAAAGCAAACAGAAGGGCCCCTTTTAGAGATTTGTTCCTGCCCTGATGCTGCAAGGCAGTCCAGGAGTAGAGAGAAAAAAAGAAGAAGATCCATTGGTTTCTTAACCTTTTTCAAGTCGTGACCCCATTTTGTAGAGGCAAAGTGATCCATGACCCCATACATTAAAATTAAGCTTAAAAATAAAGCAAATGAAGTCACATCAAAAATAGGTTTTGCAGTATAATAATTCAAATTAATTTTAGCTAATGGCATGTTTGATGCAGTGATTGAAATTGTAACTCAGTAACAAGTTTACAGGTTTGCAGTCATGTTTTTAGTAATGCCAGACTCTGTGCAATGACATTATTATTATTTTTTTATTTATTATTTCAAATTTTAATAGTTTACCAGTGCCCAGTGTCCTCACAGAAAACTCTTCACAACCCCCATATATGGCCTCAAATCCATGGGTTGCGAACCCATGATCAAGACACTACTTGTCTTATTAATTATGTTGTCTTATCTTGAAGCTTTGTTGTCCTGTTACTACTACTGTTCTTACATCTTACAGCTATTGTTGTCCTTTTACAGCTGTTGCTACATCTCGTAGCTACCTCTTGTCCAATTACTGCTGTTGTTAAATCGTCAAGCTTTTTGTTGTCCGTTTACTACTGTTGTTACATCTTGAGGCTACTTATTGTCTTGTTACTGCGTGCACATTCTTGTCTTGTCTTGAATCTACTTGTTATCATGCTACTGTTTTTGTTACATCTTGAAGCTGCTTGTCCTTTTACTGCTGTTGCTACATCTTGAAGCTACTTATTATCTTGTTACTACTGTTGTCTTGTCTTGGTTCTACTTGTCATGTTACTGTTGTTGCTACATCTTACTGCTTGTCTCTTTATTGTTGTTGTCTCATCTTGAAGCTTGTTGTCATCCTTCATTTGTTGTACTTCTAATTCTGCCTTACCGTTACACCATACAAATAAGAGTAAACAAAAAATCTGCTCATTGTTTGGAACGTGAAAGCAGAAGAACAGAAGCTAACTGTAGACATCATTATCACTGCTTGTGCTGAAGAGCCGGAGAATTCTGTCACATAACTAATTGACTCGTAAATCTTACCAGTACACCAGGCTTGTACTTCATGTGGCCTTTATGGGTACCCTGATTATAACTTCCTTGTGTGGGTGCCACTGGCCCATTTTGAGGGAAGGAAACAAAAAGGATCCACAGCGCCCCGAAAAGTTTGTTGTAAAAGTTGACTAATTAGTAGTGTTTCCTTTAAAGTCAAAGTGCATCTGCTTGAGAGATTGGAAACCAAAAGTCTGCTAACAAATAACCCAGATCTGTAAAATGGATTTACATGCAAAACTCAAGTTCCGGAACAAGACTTAGGTCCAGAAGTGGATGGACAATCAGAACTTTCTACAGGTTAATTTGTAGCAGAAGGAATCTGAGATTTGCCTTATGGTTTGCCATCCTGGTTGCAACTGCATGGGTGGTCAGTCTTCAGGTAGCAGCTTGGAGGGATACAACAGTTTTTCAGCCAATCATACACAGCCCTCTTCTGCTCCTTTCTCTTGAACTATTGGTGTGATTAACAATGTTTCTCTATTAATGCCTTTAGTCAAACTGCTGTGATCTCTTTCCAGGCTGATTTTTGAGAAAGCCAAAGAGCTAACTGATGATCGAGACAAACTTCGCAGTGGTCTCAGTAAAATTGACGAGACTCGAGAGAAGGTGGAGAAGATGTCTGTGGATTTGGAAGATGCAAAGATCATGGTTGCAGCCTGCCAGAAAGAGTGTGAGGAGTTCTTGAAGACACTGGTTCAGCAGAAAAGGGAGGCTGATGAGCAGCAGAAAGTATGAGTTGTACATGTACTAGTTTTCCCACAATTGTTTATTGGCATTGAAGAATGTCCTGTTGTTTCTTGCTGGCATTCTTCTTCTTCTTCTTCTTCTTCTTCTTCTTCTTCTTCTTCTTCTTCTTCTTCTTCTTCTTCTTCTTCTTCTTCTTCTTCTTCATCTTCTTCTTCTTCTTCTTCTTCTTCTTCTTCTTCTTCTTCTTCTTCTTCTTCTTCTTCTTCTTCTTCTTCTTCTTCTTCTTCTTCTTCTTCTTCTTCTTCTTCTTCATCTTCTTCTTCTTCTTCTTCATCTTCTTCATCTTCTTCTTCATCTTCTTCTTCTTCTTCTTCTTCTTCTTATTTTTCTTCTTTTTCTTCTTCTTCTTCTTCTTCTTCTTCTTCTTCTTCTTCTTCTTCTTCTTCTTCTTCTTCTTCTTCTTCTTCTTCTTCTTCTCTCTTCTTTATGCTCACCAGCTGTAAACTCTGATGGAAAGTTCTGGTTGTTTATCCACTTCTGGACTGCAGTCCTGTTCCATGTGCATGCGTTTTTTATATATCTGACTAATTTGTATGCAGACTGTTATTTCCTTGCCTATCAGACAGATTCACTCTGACTTTGAAGGAAGTTCCCAGTTAGTCCACTCTTTTAACATGCTTTTAGGTAGGCAGTGAGTCTGTTCTTGTTTTCCCCATTATAGGGTTCCGGAACCCGCACAAGGATTGCTGGCATTGATCTAGGTGTCTGCTTACTGATATGAAATAGGCTTCAGCTATCTTAAAATGCTATGTGTCTACTGGCTTTCATAACTTTTCATCTCATGTATGTTTTTTTTTAAAAACTGGCATTCATAACTTTTCCCCACCCATAATTGTCTTTTGTATTGACATCTTAGAACATCTGTTCATTCATGCTCTGTTTTCTGATCCAGCACCCAGCCCAGTGTCTCCATGATCACTAGTAGTAGTTTTTGGCATATCTTCTTGCTTTGTCCCTCAGCTGGTTTCTGCATGCTTGTCCTTGTACTTTGTACCCTAGCCGGTTTTTGCATGCTTGCCCTTGTACTTTGTACCCTAGCCGGTTTCTGCATGCTTGTCCTTGTACTTTGTACCCTAGCCGGTTTTTGCATGCTTGCCCTTGTACTTTGTACCCTAGCCGGTTTCTGCATGCTTGCCCTTGTACTTTGTACCCTAGCCAGTTTATGCATGCTTGCTCTCATGCTTTGAAACGCAGCCGGTTTCTGCATGCTTGTCCTCATTATATGAACGGCAGCCGGTTTCTGCATGCTTGTCCTCATATTATGACCAGCAGCCGGTTTCTGCATGCTTGCCCTCATACTTTGACTGGCAGCCGGTTTCTGCATGCTTGCCCTTGTACTTTGTACCCTAGCTGGTTTCTGCATGCTTGCCCTTGTACTTTGTACCCTAGCTGGTTTCTGCATGCTTGCCATTGTACTTTGTACCCTAGCCGGTTTCTGCATGATTGCCCTCGTACTTTTTCCGGCAGCCAGTTTCTGCCAGTGTCCTCATTATATGACCGGCAGCCGGTTTCTGCTTGCTTGCCCTCATAGTTTGTTCGACAGCCGATTTCTTTATGCTTGCCCTCGTACTTTGTCAGGCAGCCGGTTTCTGCATGCTTGCTCTCATGCTTTGAACGGCAGCCGGTTTCTGCATGCTTGTCCTCATTATATGAATGGCAGCCGGTTTCTGCATGCTTGTCCTCATTATATGAACGGCAGCCGGTTTCTGCATGCTTGTCCTCATTATATGAATGGCAGCCGGTTTCTGCATGCTTGCCCTCGTACTTTGACTGGCAGCTGGTTTCTGCATGCTTGCCCTCAAACTTTGTCCAGCAGCCGGTTTCTGCATGCTTGCCCTCGTACTTTGTACCCTAGCCAGTTTCTACATGCCTGCCCTCATACTTTGTCCAGCAGCCGGTTTCTGCATGCTTGCCCTCGTACTTTGTACCCTAGCCGATTTCTACATGCCTGCGCTCATACTTTGTCCAGCAGCCGGTTTCTGCTTGCTTGCCCTCATTTTATGCCCATTTCCAACAAGTGATTGATAATAAGTGTCTATTTAGTTTCATTCATACATTTTTTTTCTCAGCTGTGTGTCGATATTGGCACCTTTCAGTTTTTCTGTATACTAGTATTGATAACTTTCCTAATACAAATTATATTGACAACCTTTTCAGCCTACTGTTTATTAGTACACTGCAGACCGCTAAAGGTTAAGGCAGTCTTGGATGTGTTGATTTCTGTTGTGAAGAACAATTTGTTTATCCCAAGCAATTTTTCTTGCTTGAATTCTTATCTGGATAAGAGGAATTTCTGAAAAGAAGAACCCTTTCCTGGGTGGCCAGTGAGTTCTCCTAATCAGGTTTGCACTATTCATTATTCTTGATCACAGCTACATGAGGTAGCTTCCTCAAATTCCTGGTTTTGTTCTATTGTGTAAATATCATTACAAATATTCACATAACATTTTCTTAGAAAATAGTTACTTCAAAAGCTATACAGCTTTGGCAGTGTTCATGGAGCTGTTTGAGTGAATGCTGGAATTCCTTTATTTTTAACCTCTCTTGGCTCTATTGTCACGCTGTTGATAAGTCCACAGCATATTTGAATTTCTGCCCTTTGATGCTGATTTGACATGAAGAAACAAGAAACATCCGGCAGGACAGGACCAGGTTGAGAGAAAATATCTAGATATCCTAGGACATTCCATATTTTGCAGTTAGATAGCTGAGCTGGATTAAGAGCTGACTTCACAGCCAGTGCTTACTTCCAGTTCTGGTGATGGCACTAGTAGTTTGATTATGTGTCCTTCTTGCCTTTCCTTTGAGTGTCAGCCAGGTCCCCTGGTCTCTCCCTGCTGCACCATTCTCGAAAAATCTTTCTGTGCTTCTGCACTGTTCACTTGCTCTCATGGAGCCTTGACCACATCTAGCTTGTCAGGCATCAAGTCACCACCAGCTGGTGCAGAACCAGCTAGTCTGTCTCTCTCTCTCTTCATTTCCCTACACACCTGCATGTCCCAGAGAAATGATACAAAGGATGTTAGCTAATTGGGACCTCTAAAGCAGTGCCTGTATCCACCTTTTTCGGTATGCTTTATGAGTCTGTTACCATCAGACATGTGTGTAGGCTGGTCCTCAGCCAGCAGAGAGCTGCAGTGACTGCCTCCACTTCAGTTGTCCTGCGGCTTTAATTAAATTGTGTGCTGACCCCAGAGAGGAAGTTGACTGCAGCAGATATGTACATTCACTTCTATATTTGGATATTTTAACTCTACCAGACCGCTGGCCCCCTATTACGGGAATTTCCTAACCTGCCACTAAACCGCTGTCCCTCAATGTCGGGAATTTGCGTACTATGAGAAAACAATGAGTCACAAACTAAAAAAAAACTACCCAATCAAAATAAAATCTCGTGGATAGTCTCTTCTCAGATGTTCGCCCACACATGTTCGGATTAAATTTAGGTTGTTTTATGTGAAAAAATTCTGGAAACTCACAATAAAACGAGCGGCTGATGAACCGAGCACTTCGGCAGGAAAGTGAAGTAGGTCTAGGCTTTTCACCTTCCAACAGGTGATCAATACCGTGGTTGATTCAGACTTTACGAAGTCATAATTTCATGAAGAATACGTTCCCAGTTGAAGTGACACAGTCAGTGAGAGCTGGAATGATGAGGAGAATCTTGAAAATTATAAATCTAGAAACAGATCGAAAGTTAGAGAAGGGGGCGTGTCCCTCAGAAAGCAACATCTAGTGTTCACTTTGTGAAACAAGGTTGATCCTGCTGGGTGGTTTAGCACGAAAAGGTGGAATATTGGTGCTAGATAAAAGGTTAACCTATTTTCTACAGTGTCTCTAAGTTTCATCTTTTTCTAGCCACTTGTTTGCATGTAACTAATTTTGTGTATATCATGTTGGTTTTTTCACATTAATGCCCAGGAGCTCAGGTATAGGGGGCATTTAGGTTCAGGGCCTGAGGTCTGGTAGGGTTAAGTCTCCTCCATTGATATAATACTGGCAAAAAGCCATGAGAACAGCTGTCTTTAGTATGTTTTATTCTGTATCTGTTATACTGCATCTTTTATATAGTAATATTAGTCTTATAGTATAATTGTATTATCTATATCTAGTCAGTGGCCATCAAGAGTGAGAGAATCAAGGAGGAAGAGATCAAGTGCCAGGCGCTGGCTGACGTTGCCCAGGCTGATCTTGATGAGGCCATGCCAGCACTAGATGAAGCTAACAAGGTGAGTATTTTCTTAGTTACTTAGTTAGTTAGTTAGTTAGTTTTTTAGTTGGTATTTTTTTAGTTAGCTAGTTAGTTAGTTAGCTAGTTAGTTAGTTAATTAATTAGTTAGTCAGTAAGTTAGCTAGTTAGTTAGTTAGTTAGTTAGTTAGTTAGTTAGTTAGTTAGTTAGTTAGTTAGTTAGTTAGTTAGTTAGTTAGTTAGTTAGTTAGTTAGTTAGTTAGTTAGTTAGTTAGTTTTTTAGTTAGTTAATTAGTTTTTTAGTTAGTTAGTTAGTCAGTCAGTCAGTCAGTCAGTCCATAAGTGCTCTGATCCCCTCCTTAGTAAATCTTGGATATCAGATTCACTAATTTATGTCGAAGAATCATTCACATAAAATGTGAACTTGGTACCTTTTTACTTAAGAAATTGAAACTGGGTTGTTAGCTGTTTGACCCTGGATTCTTGTCAATAATTCTTGTGCTTTCCAGGCTTTGGAATCTCTGAACAAGAGAGACATGACCGAAATCAAATCTTATGGCCGCCCACCGGTTCTAGTGGAGAAAGTGATGGAAGCTGTCATGATTCTCAGAGGCAGTGAGCCAACATGGACGGAGTCGAAAAAAACAGCTGGGTAGGTTTCTGGTTCAAATCTTCATGATTGTTTTTATTAAAATAAAAGTTTGTTTCGGATCAGTTAGGGTGATACCACACTTACCTATTGCAGTCTTTATTTTTGGTTTGTTATACATTTTACATTTTTACAACTGACCTAATTCAGGAAGTTTACTGATTTACTTATTTAGGAATCGACATCATAACACACCAGGCATACCCATAGAGGCTCTGTCTTCCACAGCAAATGACGTAAGGTGTAGATGCTAACTGTTCCCGTAGCACACTGATTATACACGTGCTGATCTCTTCCTCTCATCCGTCCCTCCTTGCTGATACAAACTTAATTCCTCGTTCACTCATTCTTGCCCATTTTATTTCATCTAATCTCGTGTCTTCAGGAAAATTGTACCCATTTAGTCAAGAAAGTGGAACTGTATTACAGAGTATATATATGATGTCAAAGAAAAGCAATGCTGTGGAACCTTGGGATACATATGTAATCCATTCCATGACTGAGCTTGTATGGTGATCAACTCATATCCTGAATTTTAATTAGCTTCAGCCCTCCAAAAATCACAAACAAAATGACTATTTTCTTTTTGCTAATGGGGAAATTTGTGGCTCTTATGCCAGCAGTGGAAAGAACTATGGTGCTGCAGTCCATCATCATCATCATCAAGTGCCTTGTCGGCTGGCTTGTCTTCCTTTGGCAATAAACATGACCTAATCCGTGTAAGGGAGACCTGTTTATATTTTTTCATGTTTGGTTGGATTTTGCCGTGAAGTTTTCTACAGGATGATGTGGGCAGTCTAACAGCTTCTTCTCCAGTCCTGTTCTGCCTTATAGCTTCAGGTTTTAAAGAAGCATTGAGTGCGAGCCTTGATACGTAGATGCAGGTATTTACTGCCCTGGATATTCTGTCTATCCCTGGTTTGTGTGGTAGACCTCTAGTTCTGCTTTTGTTATGTCTGAGTGACAGGGCTTTCTGTGGGGCACTATCTGGTGGTAGTATTGACACATGTCCAAACTACTGGATGTGTTGTCTTTATATGTAATTTAGCATGGGTTCTGTCGCAGCTTGTCTCCTGACATTGGTATTTCTGATCTGTCTCTTTTGGTTACATTTAGGATTCATCATAGACATTTAAATTATGTTGTTTTAGTCTAGCAGCAACCCTTCTGTTAGATGCGGTAGGCCAGTGGGCTTGCTGTTGATAGGCAATGGCATGTATTTGTCAGGTGCGCAAAAGTTCTTATGGGTATGGTTACAAGGGCTCTCACTGATACTTGTGTAGGGGCAGTATTGGTCCTAACAAAATTCATCACAAGTCAGGTTGTACGCTAAGGTCAGTGTGATTTGAACAATCAAACATTTCTCAATCAAAGTAAGATGACAACAATCCAGAACTTCCAACTACATCTGGGCAACGGCGACAGTAACATTCCAATTCCGAATTCATAACTCTTCCAACTGAACAGGGACTGAAAGTACCCAAGTTGTATTTCAATTTCAGTGAAAATGAATAAGTGCAAAGAACTCACTAACATTCAATATAATGCTAATCATTTCTAACGTCCTCACACTCGCTCTTGATGAATATTAGACTAGATATCTAAACACAGCTAATTTGGCATCAGAACACTTCTATAGGTCATCGCCTCGACCATAGAGAACATTGACGGTTTCTTCCACCAGTTCGTATTATACAGCTGAAAATACCAATGAGCCAGAATAATTCAACACTTCCAAAGTACAGCAGGAACACTGATTTCAGTTCTCTTGCAGTCTCTTGAGAACCACGGCTCAGATATCTGATGCTTCACATCCCAGCCTCCAGGTTGATCTTTGCTGTGGAATCCCAGGGTAAATCCCCCACTAGGAATGAACCACACACAGACAAACATGTCCCCCTTCTTTGCCTTCTTGGCTGCAACTGCTTTCTTCGCATCTTTAAGGCCCAGCATTTTAAGCTGATACAGTCGAATCTCGATAAGTAGAAATTGCAGGGACCTAAGAAAATGTTTCCACTTATCAGGACTTCAACTTATCCAGACAGCACACACAATTGAGAATGAACACTAAAATTGAGCAATAGCAATGAGTAAAACAATTATACCAGTTAGGAAACACAATATTTAACAAATAAATAGCAAAACAATATCAGAAATGTTGAAATACAATTATTTTAGAAGTTATAACATTAAAACCAAATAAAAATATAAACATTAATTAAAGAAAATGTCTGTGATTTTGCTTTGCTTTTTGGACTGTGAAAAATGTCTTTCCATGGCATGTGTAAATGCAACAAATGGTGAGATTACATTATCACATTATCTGAGCACCCAGCCTGCATGTATATGTTAGTTTTGTCCATGCGTGCCAAAACATCTGTGATACAGGTTGTGCTTGCAGCCCACAGTCATCCTCATCATCAGAGTCAGGGCTCAAATTGTCTGTTGGTTGACGGGTTGGCAGACATAGCCCTAGAATATCACTGCTTGAAAGAGTGGCACTGGTAAAAACATCATTATCAGTGTTCACCTACTTCTCTGGTTCAATGTTCAGCTCTTGATATAACCTAGAAAGTAATGGCTCCACTAAAGTACCAGTAACATTACTGTAATTGCTCGTGGATGGTGGGGAATTCTCATTTACTGGCACATCTAATGCAGGTAAGAAGCCAGCTTGTCTAAAGTAGTTTCTAATACTTGCAGGCAAAACTCTTTCTACAAATTTTTATCATTAAAATAGCATCAAGAAGGGCTATTTTCAAATCATTAGAACTAATACTGTACGTAGCGAGATATCATAGCTGCAAGATTTTATGTTATTTCCCGGGCTGACTAAAGAAAATATTTTGATAAAATACATTTTTGTTTCATAGTGATAATGAACAGTTAGTTCAACTTAAACAGGGATGTGTACATATTCAAAATTTATTTTTAGATTTGGCTTTATCAAAATTTTCAAGTTAACTGAATTAGACTTATCAAGATTTTAAATACTAAGATGAAGAAGGAAAATTGCTGTTACTAAGCAGGTCATTTCCCCCCCCCCCCCTCCCATCTTATGTACAACATCGTTAAGTTCAGATCTGTCTGTTCTTCTTCCCACACTTATTGGTTCATTACTTGCAAACTGGCCCGCTCGTTCATTACTTTTTTTTTTTTTTTGCTTTTTGACAAATATGTCTTATAGCAAGTAAGCACTAAGTGTCCTGTGACTGAATTTAAGCACATAATGTTAACTTGTTTACTGTATTTAAGTGTCAGGACACACGAGATTGGGACTATAATTTATAGGCGCTGTGAACGACTTACATTATATTTGTCTGCTTGTCAAGTTTAGTTGATGTATTTGTGTGATTATGAGGCATTCAGGCCAGGATGTTATTTTTAGACTGTTGAGCAAGGAAGAGTTAAAGTTAGCTTGTATGTGGACACAGCAGTGTTTTCTTTGTCATTCAAATACCCACTTGTTTCTCTCTTATCTTTTGTCTATTCATCTTTCTCTCTTCCTCTTCCCCCCCCTCTCTCTCTGTCTCTGCCTGTGTGTCTCTCTCTCTCTCTCTCTCTTTCTAACTCTCTCTCTCTCTCTCTCTCTCTCTCTCTCTCTCTCTCTCTCTCTCTCTCTCTCTCTCCCCCCCCCCCCCCCCCCCTCTCTCAAATGGCTGACCTGCCTTCTGGTCTACTTACATCTTCGCATTTTCTCTTCTTTGAAGGGTAGAATATCTTAGCCCAATTCTTACATTCTTACCCCTTTTCAAATAAAGTTTTCATTCTCTCTCTCTCTCTCTCTCTCTCTCTCTCTCTCTCTCTCTCTCTCTCTCTCTCTCTCTCTCTCTCTCTCTCTCTCTCTCTCTTTCTCTCTCTCTCTCTCTCTCTCTCTCTCTCTCTTTTCTTTCTCCTCCTCGTGCTTCTCTGCCTCTAAATCTGTGTCCTTCTCTGGTATCTGGACACCATAAAAAGCCATCCTGGCCTATTGCCACAAAGTTAACAGAACTTGATGAGGTCATTGCCCACTTCCAGGTGATCAGAACTTCTTGAAACAACTCATGAACTATGACAAAGACAACATCACTGACCGTATCCTGCGCAAGATTGGCGGCTATGTTGCCCAGAGTGACTTCCACCCAGATATTATTGGTGGTGTGTCTGCAGCAGCCAAGTCACTGTGCATGTGGGTTCGAGCCATGGAGATGTATGGCCGCATATATCGGGTTGTGGAGCCAAAGAGGATCAAACTGAATGCTGCCCTGGCTGTCCTGGCCCAGAAACGAGAAGCTCTCGCTGAAGCCAAGGCCAAGCTTGCTGAGGTGGGGACAGCTAATTCGTTGGTGTCACACCAAACTCATCTAAGTGCTTTTTTTTCTGTGCAGCTTTTGCTTAAGTGCAGTTTAGCACTTAGATAACTTTGGTGTGGTGTCAGCCATATGCTCTTGTGTGGTTTATTTGCAACACTTTATTTATGCTTGCTTGTGGCTTTCATCTTCTAGTGGAGCATATCCCCCTCAAACAACTGACACCAGCTTGTTTATGTTTGGTTGAATTTTGCAGCTAGTTTTAATCTCTTTATTTTTTACTTGTTAATCTGTATTCACTAGCGGTATCAGTTGCTTAGGCGTTGCGAGTCAGACTCATAATTCCAATATACCGTGATCGAAACCCACTGCTGGATTTTTGTCATGGTATGGGGCGTCGCAGGTCGACCCAGCCTAAAATGGTTACCAGGATGTATGTCCTAGGGAAGTAAAGGCGGCTGGCGTAATGTGGACCACATTACCCACCTAGTGCTGATGGTCTGTAAAAATATGGACGCTCTTCCCGTATACCCGATATGCCTTAACGCGTGAAAAGGGATCTTAATCTTCACTTTATCCGTATTGACCAACCGTCTGCATACAAATAAACCAGGTCTGTAAACAGATGTGCATGGAAAACTCAAATCTGGGACAGCTAGAACTTTCCGCCAGAGTCTACGGAGAACTTGAAGAAGAAAAGGAGAAGATCCACACTGACATCTTAGCACATCAGTTTAACCCATTCGTGTTCCATCCTCCAATCCAGCAGCCATCTTATTGTCTTCATGCTCAACATACCAGGAGGAACTGGTTGGCAAATCCAACCAGATGCCTGTCCTCATTCAGGATCCATTTCCAACAGGCGGGCTCATCGTCAATGACTCCCTCATCTCAGCATCTCTGGAACTTCTCTTTCACTTATGGAACACGGTAGGACACAGATGATGTAAATATACTAATTGCCAAGGCTGCTTTTAAAGACGGTTCACAGAACCAGCAACTTTTTTCAGGCATCCTATTTTTCAGCACCACTTTGACTGACACTTTGTGGTGCATACCAACACCTTCTGTTAGATACCTTATGGTAAATCCTAACACCCTTTTTTATGTTTTAATTTTAAAAAAAAAATAAAAACAATTTTTTTGAAGAATTTGTATTAATAATGTTGTCATGTTTGTTTTCCTGAACTTTTAATTTACGAGAGGCATCTCTTTGGCAAAGTGGTCAGGATATTTAGTTTGCACTCTGAAGGTTGTGGCTTCCTTTCATGGAAGCCTCATTTGGTTTACTAGTGCAGTTTCTAATAGAGATCTCTTGGAATCATGGCTCTAGCTATGGGGTTCATGTTTTGTTTGATGCTCTTGGCAAGAGGCTAGCATTTTGGAGAGGGTAAAAGGAGGTGATTCTGTGTGGGATCATCTCAGTCAAGTTGATCTTTCCTTCTTGGCAGTAACCATACTGGTCAGATGACCATTGCCATTGATTTTATTGTGTGATGCTATGCCTACCATTGAGGGGAACTTGAGATGATGACCAACAACTATCTGTCAGCTGCTTTCAGGCTCATTCCGCCACTTACTGCCATGGCTTCACATTACCCTGATAAGGGTAGGGGCTAAACAGATACACTACCCAGCCGAGGCTTAGTTGGGAAGACAATCTGAAAGGGCTTCAAGTCAGACTTTTCCTGTGTTTTTGTGTGTGTGTGTGAGCTCAAACAGAACATCATCAGATATATCAAAAAAATATTTTTAAAAAAGAAACATTCAGATGCTGTCCACAAATGCAGAACTGGTGTAGCTCTCAGTACCAGACTTTTGTGCTATCCCTGGCAGTGAAAAGTTTAAGTTTAATTTTTTAAGGTATCATGTACCATACAGGTAAGCTTAGGCAATCACACAATCACTAGAATCACAAGTCAGTTCAGTGTTTTTGTCTCGCCGCATCCATCTGACCAAGCCATCCAGGATTTATTTCTTTGCCTTCCTCTTGCTCTCTTTGCATCCCCTTGCTCTCTTTGCATCAATCTTGCTAGTTGTTACCAAGTTCTCAAGTCCGTTCCTTCTCCTATTATGTCCAAAATGTATTGACTGTCTACGTCTAATTGTTCTAATAAGTTTAAATTTTAATCTGTCTTGATTAGGACTGCTTACTTTGTCTTTTCTGTCCCTCCATGATATTCTTTGCATTCTTCTCAGAAACCACATTTCTGCTGCAAGTAAATGTTTTTCAGCTATTTCTTACTTTGGTATTTCTTTCTTCTTGGTGATGACCTTAATTATGGTTTTCTTGCAGTTTAACTCTTTGAGTCCCAGGGAACGCATCATGCGTTCATAGGTTCTTACCTGGAAGCCCAATGAACGCATGATGTGTCAATTTTAGTCTCTCTTTACTACCCATTGGGCCTGTGATGCTAAACACCCTGGGACTCAAAGAGGTAAGCATACTTTCTTACTGTTAATTATTACTGCAGCCATTAAACATTGCAGATCTTCTTTATTGTCTAAGAGTCTAAGGTGCAGGAAAGCAATAAAGAAACAATGCTGCTGATTTGTTTCCAATATTAAACCCCACTAAATCATATTTTCAACTCGCTCAGGTTGGACTAGATGCCCTAATATAACTTCGTTGTGTGGTTGGACAGGATTTTCTGCATTCACTCCTGCTTGATTCTCATATTAATAGTGGTTCTTTGAGTCACTGGATGTTAATCTTTTAGAAAGCCATCCTGGGTAAGGAGAGGGGGGGATGGGGATTATTAACTTGTCAAGATTCTTCTTCTTTGTTCACCAGCTGCAAACTCCAGCAGAAAGTCCATCTGGACTTTGGCTTTGTGCCAGGGCCTGAGTTTTGCTTGTACATCCGTTTTACTGATTTATTTGTGTGCAATTCGTTGTTCCTTGCCACTAGGACATATGTACTCCGACTTCAAAGAAAGCCCCCAGTTAGTCTACTCCTGTGACAGGCTTGTTGATGAGGCGGTAGGTCTGTTCTTGTTTTCACCATAGTGGGGCCCAAGATTAAAAAAACTTGTTTTTTTTTCTCTGTTGCAGGTTGAAGCCAAACTGCTAGAACTGAAGCTTTCCTATGATGAAAAACTTGCCCAGAAAGAGGAACTGAGAAGGAAAGCTGATCTAACTGAGTTAATGCTGGACAGAGCTCAGCGGCTCATGTCTGGATTGCATTCCGAGAGGGTTCGTTGGGAAGAAAAGGTTGAGGTATGCATTGTATGAAGCAGCCTCTGTGGCTTAGGTGTTGCTAAGGAGCTTCATAATTCTGAGGTGCTGCAATCAGTTTGGCACCAGGCCACCTTGCATTGGTTTTGACGGTGGTATTGAGACTGTACTGTTCAGAAAGCAGTGGCAAACTACTGAATGTAAAATTGCCTAGTGAAATAACCATCCTGTAAAACATACTCAACTAAATCTGTTTATGCATTTTAAAATCACCCCTACTTATTACAATATTTGCCCTTTTTCTTCTTCTGCTGTTCTTTACCCCCTCCCCCCCCCCCCCCCACCAGTGGAGCATAGGCCCTTAACCAACTCACTTCTAGTATCTTATCCTTTGCTGTTTGTTGCATGCAGTTCATACAGTGTCCTCCTCTTCTTTCTGACCTGATTTTCAAATTCTCTTCTACATGTTTTTATTTTTTTATTTAAAAGGGCGGTGGAGGGGTCTGCCCTTACTCAAGTCAACCTGTTGATTCTGGTACAAATACATGTTAGTTATATTGTTATCAGGTTTTCTCACTGTGTGCCCTATCCTATACAAACTTTATTTCCTCATCTCTTGATTCACTCAAATCATATTTGCCTTTGTAGCTTTTAACTGTTGATCAAAATCAAGCTAGTGGAGAAGCCAGCAGAAACAGATATGAAATTCTTCAGGATCGCTAAAGTGTTTATAGACACGTGATGTTGATGGCATCCATTATCAGATTTTATGGGAATATATAGTTTAAATATCCAGATGTTGCCAAAATTGTTATCAGACAATACATAAAACTAGAGGCTTTTGAGCTGATATGCTATAGAAAGATTCTCAGAAAACCATGGGCAGAGAAGAGAAGAAATACTGAACATCAAGAAAGATTGGCATCTTGTCTCTGAAGCTGAAATACTTTGATCATATCAAGCACCATGGCAGAGGGGAAAAAATAATAGCATGCCAACCAGCATGAAGATGGGCACAGGATATAAATGACTCCTTGAATATGAAAGTACATGAGGCGGAAGAGCTGGCGAGAGACCAATTTTCTTTCAGGCAGACCATGATGAGAGTGACATTCTGCAAAGGACCTGCTACCTGATAATGATGACATAACAAGTTTAGGCTATCCTCCGCCTAACGGTTGGTAAAGATGGCGGCCGCAAAATATCCTGACGAGCCACAGTCACGTGTCAATTGCGCACTAGCGGTCACAGAGCACGTCACCGGAAAACTAGGATTAGTGTCTGTTGACAATTCCGAGAAACGAAACAAACCGCCAAGTTAAATTCGCCGCTGAGAGTCTTTTTAGAGGCAACTTATTAGAGGCAACTTATTAGAGACAACTTATTAGAGACAACCTATTAGAGACAACTTATTAGAGACAACCTTTTAGATACAACTTATTAGAGACAACTTATTAGAAACAACCTATTAGAGACAACCTATTAGAGACAATCTATTAGAGACAACTTGTTAGAGACAACTTATTAGAGGCAACTTATTAGAGACAACCTATTAAAGACAACTTATTAGAGACAACTTATTAGAGAACTTATTAGAGACAACCTAATAGAGACAACCTATTAGAGACAACCTATTAGAGCCAACCTATTAGAGACAACTTATTAGAGGCAACTTATTAGAGGCAACTTTTTAGAGGCAACTTATTAGAGACAACTTTTTAGAGACAACCTATTAGAGACAACCTATTAGAGACAACTTATTAGAGACAACCTGTTAGAGACAACTTATTAGAGACAACTAATTAGAGACAACCTATTAGAGACAACTTATTAGAGACAACCTGTTAGAGACAACCTATTAGAGGCAACTTATTAGAGGCAACTTATTAGAGTCAACTTATTAGGGACTACTTATTAGGGACAACCTATTAGAGACAACCTATTAGAGACAACTTATTAGAGACAACCTATTAGGGACAACCTATTAGAGACAACTTATTAGAGACAACCTGTTAGGGACAACTTATTAGAGACAACCTATTAGAGACAACCTATTAGAGACAACTTATTAGAGACAACTTATAAGAGGCAACTTATTAGAGGCAACTTATTAGAGGCAACTTATTAGAGACAACTTATTAGAGACAACTTTTTAGAGACAACCTATTAGAGACAACCTATTAGAGACAACCTATTAGAGACAACTTATTAGAGTCAGCTTATTAGAGACAACTTATTAGAGGCAACTTATTAGAGACAACTTATTAGAGACAACCTGTTAGAGACAACCTATTAGAGACAACTTATTAGAGACAACCTATTAGAGACAACCTATTAGAGACAACCTATTAGAGACAACCTATTAGAGACAACTTTTTAGAGACAACTTATTAGAGACAACCTGTTAGAGACAACCTATTAGAGACAACTTTTTAGAGGCAACTTATTAGAGACAACTTATTAGGGACAACCTATTAGATACAACTTATTAGAGACAACTTATTAGGGACAACCTATTAGAGACAACTTATTAGAGACAACCTATTAGGGACAACTTATTAGAGACAACTTATTAGGGGTGTTTCCTTCAAAGTCACAGTGCATCTTTCTGAGAGGTAAGGAACCGAACACTCTAAAAGCAGATGTGCTCTCAAAACTCAAGTTCTAGGTCCAGACCAAAATCCAGAAATGGACGAACAAGCGGAACTTACAGTTAGAGTTTACAGGTGGTAAACATGAAGAAGAAGAAAAAGAAATTCTTCAAAGTGTTGTGTGAGTTAGTTAAGAACCTGTGCTCTGTGTGAAGACTAAAGGCAGCAGATTAGGCACACAAAACAAGCAATAGAACATACACAACCTTTTTTTTTTCTGTCTACAAATCTTTCTATAGTGTATTTGCAGTTGTGCTGTATTTCTTACTTATGTTCAAGTAGAGTAAAAGCTGCGGAGGTGTGGTTTTATGATAAGAATACCATAGACAGATGCAAAAAGTAATGTCTTGACACACAAAGAGAACTGATTGCCCACATCAGAAAGATAAAGTCTACATTCTTTGGTCATGTGATGAGAAGGAGGAAACTGGAGTACATTGTGCAGTAGGAAAGTTGGAGGGAAGGAGAGGCCAAGGGAGCCCAAGATAAAAGAGGCTAGACAGTTTGACGACATAGCATGGAGGATCTTCTGTGTCAGAGTTGATTGAAAGTACACGGGACAGTAGGTTGTGGATAGACATGACTACCAAAGCCACACGGCATGAACTTTAAGAAGACAGGAGACAGAAGGCTGTGGATAGACATTATTACCAACACCACATGGTATGAGCTTTAGGAAGACATGAGACAGAAGGCTGCGGATAGACATTATTACCAACACCACATGGTATATGCTTTAGGAAGACATGAGACAGAAGGTTATGGATAGACATGACTACCAATGCCACATGGCATGACTTTAAAAAGACGTGAGACAAAAGGTTGTGGATAGACATGACTACCAACGCCACACGACATGACTTTAAAAAGACGTGAGACAAAAGGTTGTGGATAGACATGACTACCAACGCCACACGGCATGGCTTTAGGAAGATATGAGACAGAAGGTTGTGGATAGACATGACTACTAACACCACACAGCATAGGCTTTAGTAAAACATGAGACAGAAGGTTGTGGATAGACATGACTACTAACACCACACAGCATAGGCTTTAGTAAAACATGAGACAGAAGGTTGTGGATAGACATGACTATCAACGCCACACAGCATGGCTTTAGAAAGACATGAGACTGAAGGGTGTGAATAGACATGACTACCAACACCACATGGCATGAGCTTTAAGAAGAAGAAGAGATAAGTTAAGAACTGACATTACAGCCCTTGAAATATCCCCACAAGCACTCCATCCAGTTTCAGTGGTACTAGCAGCAGTCTGGTTGTATGTCTATCTTGTCTTTCTGTTGTGTATTGGCAAGATCGGGTAATTTTTCACACTGTGCATTCTCTTCCAACTGTTATGACTACATTTGTGCCTCCACACGTTTTTTTGCACACTCACACAGGGCCTTGGCCATATCTAGCTTGTCATATTTATGTTGAAGTTAGCATCCTCTTCTTGGTAGCGCTCACTGTCTGTAAACTCCTGCAGAAAGGTCTGATTGTTCATCCATTTCTCGACTTTGGTCTTCTTCCAGAACTTGTGTGCACATCCGTTTTACAGATCTGGCTTATTATTTATATGTGAACTGTTGGTCCCTTGCCACTCAGGCAAATGCACTCTGACTTCAAAGGAAACTTTTCTGATTAATCGCCTTGTATGACATGCTTGTTGGGGGAGGGGCAGTGGGTCTATTCTTATTCCCTCAGGAACCTACATCGAGAGATGTTAGCATTAGAAATGTTGACTTATGTTTACCTTGCAAACCCTCACTTATTTTCAGTCTCTAGAAGAAAACATGGGACATTTAATAGGAGATGTTCTCATTGCTGCTGCCTTCCTGTCCTACCTCGGCCCATTTCTGACCACATTCAGGGATGAGATTTTGTTGTATTGGAAGAAACAGGTAAGTAAGGTTACTTTAACTCGTTCAGTACCACCCTGGTGTTACCTCCACTCATTCTTTCATAAGAAATTTTTATTTTAAGTAATCACCGTTGGGGTCTGAGGTGTTAAAATAGCCCTATAGGCCAGGGAAAGTTAACCTTTCACCCCTAGATTACTAATAAAATAGGTCATGACCCCGTTAGGATTCCAGAAATTAACCCACTTAAAAAAATTTTTTTTTTTACATAAATTGCTACGAAATTCATTTAAAATTTATTTATCTGCATTTCTAAATATATAAAGATATGAAAGGAGTAATCGGGAAACATGAACTGGGTGAAACATTAAAGGGAATGCATCCCCGGGGCAGTAACAAAAACAAACAAACACAAAACAAACATGTATTGGGGTACTCATGCCATCACAGGAGGCTTACATGAAATTCTTACATCAACTTGGCTCTTTAAAAAAGTCATTTTGTTACTATATGCATATCCTGACCTATGGGACGTTTGCGGAGGCCCCAAAACAACCAATAGCATTAACTATGGCTCCTGTAAACAGGTCACTATGAAGAAGTCATAAAAATGACATTTAAGGGGCAGGACCCAACCCAGAAGTGTTGATTTTGCAGCTTCTCAAGTTAAAGTAAATATTTCATTGTTTCTGTATGCATTTCTTTCCTTTTCTTTTTCAAAGTTTTAATTGTTTTTGTGCGTGGGATTTTTTTCCCTTTTCCTCTTGAAACTTTTGATTACTTCTGAGTGCATTTTGTTCTTTATTTCTTTGACCCGTTGATTGTTTCTGTGAATGTTGTTTTCCTTTTCTCCTTTAAATGTTTAAAATTGTGATTTCCCCCTTGTGGACTGGGGCCTCATTTGGTGGTGGGCGTGAATTGACTGCCTGCCTCCCTAACAAGCATATTGTAAGTGTTGCCAAATCAAGAGTCTTTCCTTTGATGTGGAAATGCGTCTGCTGGAGAGATGAAGAACAGTCAGTTTGCACCCCAACAAGCCAGATCTGTAAAATGAATGTGCATGCAAAACTCAAGTTCTGGAACAGGGCCAAAGTCCAGAAGTGGACTTCAGTCAACTGCCAATGTCTGTCCAATGAACAACTTCCATTTGTCACTGTGATCGTGTGAGTAAGTGCTTAATTTGCTGCCGCAGCGACAATCAACATCACCATAACCTCAGTACCTTTTGCAGTAATCACCAAAACGTCTTGTCCGATTGTCAGCACAGCAGGAGAGTTCCAAGGCCTGGAAGTCATGACCCAATTTAGCCCCCCCCCCCCTTCCTAAAGATCGAAGATCGGTAGACTCCTGCTGTGCGTTCTTCCATTGTGGAGTTATTATTATTATTGTGTGCATTTTCTTCCTTTTCTCCTTTGTTGAGCCTTCTAGTCATAGCTTGTGTTAATGAATTACTTTCTTGGCTCTGTTTAATTCGATTTCTGTGTGATGATGTTTGATGGTTTGTTTTGTTTAATCACAGCCATGTTTACTTGGGTTGTTGCAGATAGATAAGCTGAAGATCCCTTGTGCGTACAGATTTAATTTCTGCACCTTTATGACTAAGCCTACACAGCTGCGGGAATGGAACATCCAGGGTCTGCCTAGAGATGAGTTTTCCACTGAAAATGGAATAATTGTCACCAGATGTCAGCGGTGGCCATTTCTGATTGACCCTCAAGGTCAAGGTAGCAGGTGGATCAAAAATATGGAAGGGGATTTTGTATGTATAGGCCTTTTTACTTTTCATTTGTTGCATTTCTTGCATTTTTTCATGAGTTTTAACTCATTCTGTACCCATAAATTTACCATTTGTTACTTTATAAAGTAAAAAGGTAAAGTCAGGAGATGTGAACCAGCGTCATTGCACACGGTTATAAACCATAAGTGCTCTGCCACCAGTACGGACAGCTAATAAGAATTGTCTTCCTGTGTCCCCGTTCGGACATAACTCTGTTGCTACAGCGACGTTCCTCCATTTACCCCAGAGTGTCAACTCTGGTGCCCATTTTCTAGAGGCTGGGTGAACCCCGGGAGCCGCCCGGTTTCGAACACCGACCGTGGGCTGCATCGAGTCACAGCTGGATTTGAAAGCGTGCCTCTTATCGAATGCGCTAATGCGGCCCTGATACTTTATGACTCCAGGTACTGCATACTGTTCTTAACTGTATTGTACTGGTGAGGGTTTTTATTTTTTGAGAACATCCACTCACGAAATTATTGCATCAACTTTTACTGTCATGCAGTGGTGTTATTTTGCTCTTTACATAAATCAACCAAACATATCCATACTGTTGTGGTCTGGAACGTGCAGGAAAGCAAAGGGAATGACTGCACATATTTTCTGCAAAAGCCATAGTTACAAGCACACTTAGATTGGAGAAGGAAGACTTATGACCATTTATGAACTAATGTTGATGGAAGATACAAAATAAGATGAAATAACAACCCCATTTGGTTGCAGGATTCCATTTTAGAGAATAAAGAAGAGACCCACTGGTCCTTTAAAAATGTGACTTATTAGGGGTGTTTCCTTTAAAGTTGGAGTGTACCTGCCTGAGCGAGGAGCCAACAGTCTGCATACAAATATGCCAGATCTGTAAAAACAGATGTGCACGCAAAACTCAAGTTCTGGATCAAGACCAAAGTCCAGGAGTGGATGAACAACCATAACTTTCCACCAGAGTTTGCAGCTGTTATTCCATATTTGACATGGTCCTTGCCTTGCTCTGTGTTTATTATATTTCTTCAGCATAACTCTGTGTCAGTTAATACCATGGCATTCTCATCAAATAGGCAAACTATCTAATCTGTTTCTCTACAGTAAACTGTGCAACTCATAGAAGAGTTATGGGAGCAAACTGGTTTTGGGCAAGAAGTAGACTTGTGTGAATCAGATCATAAGAGCAGGGGGAAGGAGAAATTGTGCAGTTTATGATCGTTTGAGGGACCAATGCTGTGCTGTCGGGCAGAATTCCTTATTTCAGATCCTTGGTTAGTTGATGAAAGATTGTTCTGTCTGGGGCAAAGATAAGCATACTACCCAGTACAGTTCATGGTCACAGAACTTGCCAAGTGACCCTAAATCCTCACTCCCAGACACCTCTTCCCCCCCCCCCCCCCAACCCCTTCCCCCTTTCACCACCCTAAACAAGTGGTTCTATAGGCAGTAAAGATGTTCACGGCTATTTACATTTTAGTCATCATCACCATAATCAGATTTGTGTTGCATATCATTTGCACAGCAACAAGTCAGAAAGCCACTTGATCTCCTGCCAACTTTTCCACCCCATGAACTCTTATGCCTAGGTTGTTGCTGATATCCTGTGTTGACTGTCCTGCTTGTCCAGTTGTCCTTGATATCCTGTGTTGACTGCCGTGCTTGCTGGCCTTGATATCTTGTGATGACTGTCCTGCTTGTCCATTTGTCCTTGATATCTTGTGTTGACTGTCCTGCTGGTCAACCCCTGCCTCTTTTTCTAGGAAGTAAACCCTCTATCACTGTTCTTTCCAAACCATATTATAACATTTAATATAGCCAAAGTATTTCAATTTATGGACCATGATACAATTCTGTTTTTGTTTTTTTTTTTGGGGGTTGACACCTATTTGCGCAATAATGTAGATAAAGATGGGGGGGGGGGGGGGGGGGCTGATAAAGATATTAAAGTACAAATATAAAAGTCAAGTGGAAATTTCTTAGCACTAGGGAATTTGTGGAGGATGGAAGAAATTAGAACTATTACTAAACTACAAATTTTTAATTTTCTTGTCAAATCAGCTCTGTTATATCGAGCGAAACATAGAAAACAACTAAGGAAATTAATAATAAACTACAAACATTCATTAACTGGTATCTGCACAGAATAGGGGGAATTAAATTGTATGATAGAATCACTAATGTAGGGCTTTGGGAGAGAATTAAACAAGGTCCAGTGGACCAAGAGTTGAAGAAAAGATGCTGACGTTGGATAGGGCACACCTTGAGACGACCTGAAAACAGTATAACTGGAATTTCTTTGCCCTCGAACCCACAGAGGCATAGAAATAAAGGAAGACCAAAAGAAAAACATGGAGAAGGGAGTTAGAGAGTGAAGTTAAAAAGATGAGGCCAAATGGGGAGGACATGGGGCAAGCTGCATGCAATTGCCAAGGATAGAACAACTTGGCCTGAGCTGGTTGAAGGCCTATGCTCCATTTTGGGCTAGTAAGCAGAAAAAGATACAATTTCTGAGCGGTTTTTTTTATACTACTATTTATCTGGCCTGTCAAAAAATGTTTAGGGCCTGAAGGTAATCGACATAAGACAGCCAAAATACCTGTCGGAAGTTGAGCTAGCAATACAGTGTGGGTTGCCAGTTCTACTGACAAATGTCCTCGAGACGTTGGATCCTTCATTAAACCCCCTCTTCAACAAGTCATTTATTAAAGCAGGTGTGTATGAGATTTGTCTGTTGTCTGTCTGTTGTCAGTTAGATTGTTGTCAGTTGTTTATAATTCCCACGAGGACTCAGAGCGCCTTGAGTTTTAGTGGAAATAAAGTATAGATCAACTGGGGATCCCAAGTTTTAGTGCAAATAAAGTATAGATCCACAAGGGGCCCTAAGTTTTAGTGAAAAAAAGTGTAGATCTACAAGGTGCCCCAAGTTTTAGTGGAGATCAAGTGTAGATCTACAAGGTGCCCCAAGTTTTAGTGGAGATAAAGTGGAGATCCACAAGGTGCTCCAAGTTTTAGTGGAAATAAAGTATAGATCCACAAGGTGCTCCAAGTTTTAGTGGAGACAAAGTGGAGATCCACAAGGTGCCCCAAATTTTAGTGGAGATAAAGTGGAGATCCACAAGGTGCTCCAAGTTTTAGTGGAGATAAAGTGGAGATCCACAAGGTGCTCCAAGTTTTAGTGGAGATAAAGATTAGATCTACAAGGTGCCCCAAGTTTTAGTGGAGATAAAGATTAGATCCACAAGGTGCCCCGAATTTTAGTGGAGATAAAGTGTAGATCCACAAGGTGCCCCAAGTTTTAGTGGAGATAAAGTGTAGATCCACAAGGTGCTCCAAGTTTTAGTGGAGATAAAGTGTAGATCCACAAGGTGCCCCAAGTTTTAGTGGAGATAAAGTGTAGATCCACAAGGTGCTCCAAGTTTTAGTGGAGATAAAGTGTAGATCCACAAGGTGCCCCAAGTTTTAGTGGAAGGAAAAAAGTGTAGATCCACAAGGTGCTCCAAGTTTTAGTGGAGATAAAGTGTAGATCCACAAGGTGCCGCACATTTTTAGTGGAGATAAAGTGTAGATCCAAAGTGCCCCAAAGTTTTAGTGGAGATAAAGTGTAGATCCACAAGGTGCCCCAAATTTTAGTGGAGATAAAGTGGAGATCCACAAGATGCCCCAAGTTTTAGTGGAGATAAAGTGGAGATCCACAAGGTGCCCCAAGTTTTAGTGGAGATAAAGTGGAGATCCACAAGGTGCTCCAAGTTTTAGTGGAGATAAAGTGGAAGAGTGGAGAAAAAGTGTAGATCCACAAGGTGCTCCAAGTTTTAGTGGAGATAAAGTGTAGATCCACAAGGTGCTCCAAGTTTTAGTGGAGATAAAGTGAGATAAAGTGTTTTATCCACAAGGTGCTCCAAGTTTTAGTGGAGATAAAGTGGAGATCTACAAGGTTCCCCAAGTTTTAGTGGAGATAAAGTGTTGATCCACAAGGTGCTCCAAGTTTTAGTGGAGATAAAGTGGAGATCTACAAGGTTCCCCAAGTTTTAGTGGAGATAAAGTGTTGATCCACAAGGTGCTCCAAGTTTTAATAGAGATAAAGTATGTAACCTCAGGGAATCCCACCACCCACTTACCTAAACAAGCATGGTGTAAAAGGTAAATAGCTAGGAGTTTGTAGAAACTAGATGTGTTAGACCAAATGACACACATATCTTAGCCTTGCTGTATTCTTCACCATAGTGTGCCAGCCATCCTTTTTTTTTCAATAAAGTTTGTGTCAGATGCATTGTATATATTTTTATTTTGAGTAGAAGGAGCCACATATATTAAATTTGGGAGCCACGAAATTGAGTACAATGAAGACTTCCGTTTCTACTTAACAACAAAGCTGGGAAATCCACATTTGAGTCCGCAGGTCCTCATTAAAGTTGCTGCTGTCAATTTTGCTGTAATGAGTAAAGGTATTTCATTTGTCAGTTTGTTTAAAACATTTTTTAGAATGCTGTATTTATAATTATAAATGTGAGCTGTAGTACTGCTGAAAAGAATGCTGGGAGTATTTAATAATTATGGGGAAAAAAAGGTGGAGCCCGTGAGTAGTCTCGCTGAAACGAGTGATCACAAGGCATGAGACGTGAACGGAAAACCGAGAGACTGAAGTAAGACAGTTTGAAGTTCTGCCCTGACTGAGAGAGGACGCGTGCAGAACGCCTGAGAAGAATAAATTATTTGTCAAGTGAACGTTATATTTCAATAGGAGGACTGAATGTTTTTCCAGTAATAGTCAGATATCAGAGTCTGAGGCGCTGATAAATTCCTGTAGTGAAGATTCAGCCATGGTCGAGCACGAGGAAGCATGAATGTATGTTTGCGATAACTGGCGATTCAACGAATAAAAGCATCATATTCGTTCATGCTGTGTCGTTTCAACTCACTGTTCGTACTGAGCCCCTAGATGAGCACAGGACAAGAGAGATGATTCTGTATGAACTGAAACAATGGCTTGGAGGGAAATCATCAAGAGAGCTGTTCCAGGCAACCAGGGATCGTGATCTGTGGAGAGGCATGAGCGCCTACACCAGTTGGCAAGGCAAATGATGATGATGAGTACTGCTGTAGCTTGATGCTTGTCTGCCTGCCAGCTGAAAGTCTTGGGTTTTAACCCACACTGTCCCTGTGTAGGTTTCAGGACTTCATTTTAGGGAAAATAAGAGAAGACCCAAAGCATGTTGTAGAAGTTGACTAAATTAGGGGTGTTTCTTTTGAAGTCAGAGTGCATCAGCCTTTGAGGCAGGAACCAACAGTCTGCATACAAATAAGCCAGAAGATGTGTAAAACAAATGTGCATGCAGAACGTAAGTTTTGGGATCAGAAGTTGACAAACAACCATAAATTTCTGGTAAACAGCCGGTGAACACCAAGAAGAAGAATCCACACTACAGTGAACTTTTTAATGTTATAACTGGGGTCTTGGGTTAACCCTGTCCGGAATCATCATCTTGTTGTGCCATTATACATCACAAAGGGCTGGCAGTCTAGTCTTCCCTTCCAGTCTGTTGTGAAAACTCGTGGAGAAGTCCCAGAAACCCCTTTAAGCCATCATGGCCACAACTGTGGCCCAGCTATATTCATGGCCCTCTGCAAAAGCCAGGGTGGGGCTTCAAATAACAAAAAATTGCATCCCACAAGGGGATGACCAGAGTGGGATGCTCTCTGTCCATTTGTCTTCATGAGTGCCCGATGCAGGGATTTAGGAGAGGGAGGTGGAGAGAGGGTATAAAAACATGCTTGTTTCCCTCCAGTTTTGACTGTAAACCAGTCACTCAAACCATCATCTGTCAACGTAGTGGTACTAGGTTTGATCCCATATGACTGGATCTCTCTCTACAGAATGGCTAACCATCTGCAGGCACAGGATGAACTATTTTGCTCCAGGGATCTCTTTGAACATTACACTCCTAAAAGAGCAACACAACCCATGGGAAAAAAAAAAAAACAATAACCTTGAGGGCATGAGGCAAATGGCTTGACCACTTTATCATGGAGACATTTGTTGTTGTTGTTTTGTTTTTTCCCAACAGATTATCTGTGGATATAGTTTTGGTCAAAATGTTTTGACATAAATTATTAGTTTATGAAAAAAAAATAATATTAGCATTAGAATAGGAGTGTCTTCATTATTCTGAATCATAATGAGAAGAAGATAACTGAAGTATGTGATGACAATGGGGAAAGCTGCAGGTGAACAGAAGGAGAGAGACAGGAAAGTGACAGAATGAAGATGAACAATTTGAGTTGAAGTATATGGAGAAAACTCAGTAGCTGAAATTACTTGCAATAAATGAGAAAGACATAAAAACCAACACAGCATGGCATAGATCAAGACCATTGGTTTCCAAACAGCTAAGGTAGGCAGACCCCACTTTTTGTTTAAGGTAGTGGGAGAAGGAGGCCTTTCACTCCCCCCATAATTTATAATATTCATACTGAAGCAACTTTTATAATTTATAAATATCATCATCATCATGTAGCAGGTCCTATCCAGAACATTGCACTCATCACGGTGTGTCTGAAAGAATCTCTGTCTCTCCCCTGCCCTCCCACCTCGTGCACTTTCCTACCCAAGATGTCACTTTTATCCTGTGCCCATCTTCATGCGTCAGCCCCTGCCCCTCTTTTCAGATAATTTCCCTTTGTTATTATTTTTTCCAATCTGCATGCAGCTTACAGTGTTGGAGCACATGGTCATCGTTTTCTAGTGCAGATGCATCTGTGAAAGCCATGGAAGTGTATAATATCGGAATTGTTTGGTCATTACAGGTCTTGAAGCTCAGCTGCTAGGTGTTGTGGTTCGCAAGGAGAGGCCTGAACTAGAGGAGCAGAAGGATAACCTGGTCTGCAGCATTGCAGCAGGAAAGAAGAAACTTGATGAGTGTGAGGATGAGATCCTGAGGTATACACAAATAAAAGTTCCATTTCCTTGAAAAGGCAGTTGGCACATTCTTTTGTGGTTTGCAGCTAGACTGCAATATCTGTACTTTTTGTCCAACACATCCAATTATCCAGTTTTTTTTTATCTGTTGTCCGACTGCTTATGCCACAAAGCATCACAGAGAGGAGTTAAATGTAGTTTCCTGTCTTTGGCTATTTGCGTAGCTTGTGTTTATACGGGAAAAGGGGGGGGGGGGCAAATGGGTCTGTTTTCTTCTCCCTTAATAAGGTCCTGGAACTCACATGAGGATATTTGGAATATTGAACTTGCCTCCATATTTTTTTATAGACCAATTAGCACTAAATAGGTCATGTGGCCAGTGTTATACCTTTACTTTCTGTAGCATTTCTGGTTGCCCATTTAGGTTGATTTTACTGTATCAGTTGAGACAAGACAGAGAATTCTCAAGAGCTGAACAAATCCTGTCCTGATATACGGAAGTGAATCATGGACATTTGGATGATTAGTGAAAAATTATTTTTAAGTGGCAAAAGAGTTGAAGTTTTGTAGACAAAGGATACAAGAGAACTGATTGCCCACATCAGAAGGAAACAATCTACATTCTTGGGTCATGTAATGAGAAAATTGGAGTACATCATGATGTGGGAAATTAAAGGGGAAAAATAGACAAGGAGAGGTCAAGAGAGAAGACATCATGGCATAGAAGATTGTCTCTGTTAGAATTGATTGAAAATGCAGAAGACAGAGGTAATCGCCGAAGTTTCGCGGCTAGAAGCTCGCCTGCAGAAGAAGCTCGTGGATTTGGATCCTGATGGTACCAGGCTTGTTTTTTTTTTTTGTTTTTTTTTTCAAAAGACGTTGGCTTTCAGGTCAACCCAGCCTTGAATGGGTACCAGGTGGTGTCTGGGAAGTAAAGGTGGCCAGCGGGATGGTGACCAAATCAGCCACTGAGTGCTGATGGACCTATAAAATATAGAGCCTGCTCTATATTCCACATATGCCTGAAGCTGTGGAGAAGGATGCTTGACTACTGTTCTACTTACAACACAAGACAGAAGGTTCTGGAAGGCTACTGTTCTACTTACTACACAAGACAGAAGGTTCTGGAAGGCTACTGTTCTACTTACAACACAAGACAGAAGGTTCTGGAAGGCTACTGTTCTACTTACTACACAAGACAGAAGGTTCTGGAATGCTACTGTTCTACTTACTACACAAGACAGAAGGTTCTGGAATGCTACTGTTCTACTTACAACACAAGACAGAAGGTTCTGGAATGCTACTGTTCTACTTACTACACAAGACAGAAGGTTCTGGAATGCTACTGTTCTACTTACTACACAAGACAGAAGGTTCTGGAATGCTACTGTTCTACTTACTACACAAGACAGAAGGTTCTGGAATGCTACTTTTCTACTTACTACACAAGACAGAAGGTTCTGGAAGGCTAACGCCACACGGCATGGACTATCAGAAGAAGAATTTTAGACCCATCTCAATACTTTCTATCGTCCTTTTCAGGATGAAATTTTTTATTTGAAGCTCCACCCTGGCTTTTGCCGGGGGCCGCAATATAGGCAGGCCATAGGAATGGCCAGGTGTCTGAACGCGGTTTCTGGGACCTCTCCACGGCGATCCTCATCCGCATGGTGGCACTTTGTGTCATCGGGTGTTTGTCGCTTGTGTTATGTCCTGGTGGGGTAGAAAGTCAGTCAGTCAGACCCATGTTAATTTTTTGAAATCTGAATTGATGACTCAAATCTGTGACTATTTGCTAGCTACTATACTACCAAAAGTTCCTGAGGTAGGCAGTTTTTTTTTTTTTTCTTTTTTTTTTTTTCTAGTGACCAGCAGTGGTTAGTTCTGTCTTTTAAAATGTGTCTTTCTAATAGGAGTTCTTGGGGCCACATTCTTGGGGGGGGGGGGGGGGGGGGAGGGAATAAAAAGCATGTCGCGTACAAGGCAACTAATTAGGGGTGTTTCTTTAAAAGTCGGATTGCATATGCCTGAGAGGCAAGGAAACTGACAGTAAAACAGATGTACACTCAGGTTCTAGAACATGACTAATGTCCAGAATTCGATGAACAACCAAACAAAACTCCCCCCCCCCCCCCCCCAATTTTACAGATGATGGGCTGATGGTTGCTAAGAAGCAGAAGAAAAAGCTGTATATATCTGTTTTGTTTCCATGAAGTTTGACAAATTCTTCTATATTCTTTAAAACCTAGGCAGTCTTTCTTTGGATTTTTTATCATCTCTTTTTCATTATCAAGATTTCTGCACCAAATGGCAGGTTGAGGTTGCCGGGCACCATTTCAGGCAAAATAACAATAGACTCAGTCCACCCCCCACTACCCCCGCACCACTTTTTCCACCTTCACCACCAACCGCCCCCTAACAGGCATGCTGTAAAAGATAACTAATGAGAGATTTGTTTAAACCAGATGTTTAGGGTCCAAAGGGGCAGATCCTGCAGCCTAGTTCAGTGTTTTCCAACATGGCACCCACAGGGGGCAATTTGATTGTTAATGGGGACAGTTCGAAAATGGACTCTTGCAGGGTTAATGTATATAGGAGCATTCAGATAAGGCTTATTTACGGCATGGCACAAAAAAGGTTGGGAAACACTGGCCTAGCTAAACCATAACACAGTGTGGCAACCACCATTTTAAAAGTGAGCAAAGAAAAAGAAGAGGAAGAAAAACATGCATAATGTTTGACAGTTTAAGTTTATAAGATGGTTAGCGTTCTAGCTGTACAAAATTGGAAAATTTTCAGTTTATTAGAAACAGTACAAGTAAAAAATCTGGGATAATTATACTTCTGCTGCACCATCTGCCACCTCCCTGGTGCCCAGAACAGCTTTGACAATATTAACGCATCTTTTTCCGGAATCCGGCCAGGCGACACATTGTGTCATTTCCCTATGTCCCCTACCGATTCTGCTGCCCATTTGCTGGACATGGATACAAAAACTTTAAAAAAATTATGTATCTGCCAGGTTGTTGAATGAAACCAAAGGTTCCCTGCTGGATGATGCCCAGCTAGTGGACACGCTCCAGTTGTCAAAGATGATATCTATAGAAGTTACAGAGTCAGTGGCAGTCTCCGAGCAGATGGAGGTTAAAATTGATGCAGCTCGTGAGGTAGGCAATGCAATTTTCTGTTAAATGTTTACTGTTAAGTTCAGTATTAAACAGTTAACTTCTCAGTGTGGGTCCAGTTTGGGAGGAAGGGGAGGAGAATTGAACCACTAGCAGCGTTAAAACTATGTCCCACGTCTGATGTAATTCTTTTTTTCTTTTTTCAAAGCCCCACCCTGGCTATTGCCAGGAGCCTTAATATAACCCAGCCTATGGGTTGAATGAGGTTTTAGGGACCTTTCCAAGGTGATCCTCATCCAAATGTGTGGCACTTTTTGTCACTGGGTTTTTAATCGCTCGGTGTGGTGTCCTGGTGGGGTTGAACGTCGTCATTATCATCAGAACCAGTAGCCCTTAATAAGAACATTAGGGATTTGCTGAAATTGGAACACAATACAACATGCCTACTGCCCTTTTTAAGTGCAAAACGATCAGATAGAGGAACGAAATGCGCGTTTTTATTCTTTCTTTACTACTTAGTTAAATGGGATATTTAAGGGCACTAAAGGAGGAAGAAACCGTTAGATTCTTACTTAGTTAAATATATTTAACTAAATTCCCAGATTACTATATATGAAAGACATAATGTGTTAAAATAAGGGCAGAAAGTCAGCCCTTTTTCAAATATCTGGTTTAAAGCTATTTGAAGCCTTGCTTCTGCTAATTTTTAACTGGGCCCTAGAGAAAATTATAAGGGAAAAAGGAGCAAAGATTGAACTGTAGGAGATATTACTAGAATGCTTGGCTAAGCAGATGACATTGATATCGCTGGAGAAAAAGAACTAGAGGCAGTAAAAAACACTGATTCACTTAAAGGCAGCAGCTAACAAAATGGGACTAGATATCAGTCAAGATAAGACAGAATACATTATAATAACAAGACAGGGAAAGGATGTAAATTCTGGTCCCATACAAGTCGATAATATGAAAATAAAATAAATAGAAACATAAAACTGCTCCAATATAGTAAGAGAGTAAATACAATATAGAGTACAATCTGGAAATAAAGTATACTATGCCCTACAACATCTGCTAAAGTCAAAGTGTCTGGCTTGTAACAACAAGATCACAGTATTTAAAATGCTGATAATACCAGTTGTTTTAAATGGTTCTGAAACCTGCAGCACAACTAAAAGAGAAGAAGCCTCATTACATATTTATGACGACAGAGTTTTAGGACCATTCTTTGGACACATCAGTAAGCAAACAGCGGGAAATGAGTAGTGGGAAGCAAGAACAAAATTCATAATCAGTGTAAATCACCAATGATCAGTGTTATCATGAAGCCTAACAGACTCAAATGGATGGGGCATGTAAGAATGGCAGAAGAAAGAGAGGCAACAACTATATACACAAGGGAGTTGAATGGCCGCAAACCACGAGTCAGACCAAGAACATGGGGTTAAATAATATCCAGGCAGACCTTCAAACGTGGCATAGGCGTTGCTAGTCCGACTCGTAATTCCAACGTACCGCGATTGAAACCCACTGCTGGCTGCATGGATTGTTATCGTGGTATGGGGCGTCGCAGGTCCACCCAGCATAAAATGGTTACCAGAATGTATGTCGTGGGGAAGTAAAGATGGCCGGCATAATGCTGACCACATTACCCACCTAGTGCTGAATGGTCTGTAAAAATATGGGTGCTCATCCCTTATGCCCGATGCGCCTAAAAGGCACGAAAAGTGATCTTTACTTTATTTTTACTTTTTTTTAGACCCACAAACATTTGGATTCACTAACTCTAAAGAGATGGCCAGTAACAGAGATGAATGGAGGTGGATGATATCTACAGCAATGAACTTTAAGGGTTGGAATGCTGAGAAAGAAGAAGAAGAAAGTCTCAGTTTTCAGTAAATCATTAACCTTTCATATATTTGTAGACTGCAGTGGTCGGTGTAAACTTTTCATTTCAGTAGACACTAGTGCCTTCTCGGTTCACATATAATGAATGAAGCACACAAAAGTGAAACCTTTCCACTTAAATACACAGGTCTCCCTATGTGGGTTCTGGGGCCCTGTTGTAGGGTAAATAAGAATAGACCCACTGTCTATTCAAAAGCATGTCGTAAGAGTTGACTAATTGGAAGCTCCTTCGAAGTTGGAGTGCATCTGCCTGGCAGGCAAGGAACCTACAGTCTGTATACAAATGAGTCAGATCTGTAAAACAGATGTGCATGCAACATTCAGGTTCTGGAATGAGACTACAGTCCAGAAGTGGATGAACAACCACGGACAACCAGAACTTTCTGCTGGAGTTTACAGCTGGTGAATGCAAAGAAGAAGAAATACACAGATCACATTGTCTTCTCTAGTTACACTCTACATTTCCTCACAAGTAGTTTAAGATAACCATGTGGCTATTTTGAACTTTCATTTGTTAGATATAGTGTTATTCTAGTAACCATGTTAACATTGCTCTCAGTATTACAGACATGTATGAGAATTTATTGTTATCATGTTACAATTCTCCCAGTATTACATTCTGTGCACAGTGATTGTTACCTATTGTCACATTTCTCCCACTGTTACAGAACATGTGTCATGATTGCTTGTTACCATACTATACCATCTTTCTCCCAGTGTTACAGAACATGTGTTGTGATTGCTTGCTACCATGCTACATTTCCCCTAGTGTTATGGATGGCACACAGTGCTTGTTACCTATGCCACATTTCTCCCAGTGTTACAGACTATTTGTGATGATTGCTTGTTACATAAACATGTCTCCTAGTGTTACAGACCAAATACATTGAATACTTGTCACAATCATACATTTCGGCTATCCTCCGAATAACGGTCCCAAATTATCGAGGCCAAGAAAATACCCTAACAGAGCCTCAATGTTTGTGACTGTGCTTCCTGGAAACTGCGCTAAATATTTAGTAAACAACGCGACATTGTCTCCGCATAAGTTCCTTCCATAACCCTTCAATCGATAGTGTTGCGGTTCCACTGACAGATTCTATTGGAGGTGTTGTAATTGCAATACTCCTTGCCCTAACCCTAACCCTAAACCTAGGACCCAGGGGAGAAGTTAAACCTAGGACCCAGGGGAGATGTTAAACCTAGGACCTAGGGTTGAAGTTAAACCTACCACTCAGTGTTGGAGCTGTTGACAACCTTGATGATTTGGGACAATTATTCAGCGGAGTGTTTTCAGCGGTATACAGTATATTCGCCAGAAAGAAGTCTGCAATTTACTTATGATTGAGGCCCTGTAATGGTATTTTCTTAGCCTCGATAATTTAGGACTATTATTCAGAGGTTAGCCTACATTTTTTTTAGTGTTGCAGACCATGTGTGAAGACTGCTTATTACCTTGTTACATTTCTCAGTGTTACGGAAAATACTTGTTAAGATGTAACATTGTTTCTATTATTACAGATCTTGTATGATGATTGGTTGTTACCATATCACATTTATCTCAGTGTTACAGACCCTATTGATGATTGCTTGCTACCATATCACATTTATCTCAGTGTTACAGACCATATACAGTGAATACTTATTAACATGTAACATTTTTTTTCTAGTTTTACAGACCTTATATGATGGCTGTTGCCATGTCACATTTTTGTCAATGTTATGACCATTTGTGATGACTGCTTGTTACTGTGTTACATTTTCTCCAGTGTTACAGACTATGTGTGATGATTGCTTGTTACTGTGTTACATTTTCTCCAGTGTAACAGACCATATGGGATGATTGCTTGTTACTGTTTTACATTTTCTCCAGTGTTACAGACCATGTGCGGAGCAGGCTTCCATACTCTTCTTCATCTTGAATGACTTGGGAAACATTGATCCAATGTACCAGTTTTCCTTGGACACTTACAATGATCTGTTCTCTTTGTCGATTGAGAA